AGGCCTGGCAGAATTGAAAAGTTTTCAGCAGGCATTTAAAAGTTGGCACAGAAGGTGCCCGCTGAATCTCTAGCAGCAGAGAGTTCCACAGGGATGGCACTCAAGGCTCTACATACTCCCCTCAGGTGTCAGAAGGCAGGGTAAGGAGGTGCATCTGCAGTATCATCCAGAAGCTTCAGTATCATCTGGAAGCAATGAAGGTGTCAGATGCATCTGTGTGGGGAGATTGTTCCACAGCTTAAGGGCCTCCTCCCCTGGGCTGCCACCTTCTGAACTTCTGAGGGCAGAGGAACAGCTAAAAGGGCCCCCTCTGCTGATCAGCTAGCTGGCAGCAGACTATGTATTTGGAACCTACATTTGTGTGCACCACCCACATGCCTTCTAAATATTGAGCTCAGAGGATTTCAAGGATCTTTTTGCTAGAAACATAACCTGTGTTTGTTTATGAATACTGGCAACTCCCCATTTACGTGGGGGTTACACTCTGGGCTCTCCAAGCTCTTAAGTGAAATGCATACCCTCCAGCACTTCTCCAATGGAAACAGAGACGTCCCATTCCATAATGATAATTTTACTATTTATACCCCACACATCTTACTGGGTTGCACCAGCCACCCTGGGCAGCTTCCAACATATATAAAAACATAAAGCATTATTATTATTATTATTATTATTATTATTATTATTATTATTAAACTTCCCTATACAGGATTGCCTTCAGATGGCTGGGGGGGGGGGCAGATTGGATAGCTCCATACTCTCCAACATGTCTTCAATGAAAATAGGGACATCCTAATTCAAAGCGGGACATTTCAGGATCAAATCATAAACCAGTACAGCTTCTCTAAATCAGGGATGTCCCTGGAAAATAGGGTCTGGAAGTGGTGTAAGTGGGAAGCACCCTGGAGAGTCCTCATTGCTCATGAGGAGACCTTTCCCTGTCACTCTCATTTCGTATAATAAATAAACCTTTTTAAATTCATTTTTTGTGTGAACCTTTTGGGGCATAAGGTTCAGTTTAAGGTTAACTCCCCACTTGCGTGCGACCACACACACAAACAGCACTTGGAACCCAGAAGTGGCGGGCAGCTCATGAGGAGACCCTCCCCAGAACCCACTCTAGGGAAGGTCTCCTCGTGAGCCGGTGGTGCATGGAGGCTTTGTTGAGGCTGATCAGTGCGCATGGTAGTGCAGCAGACTCTTTCCTGTGCTCAGCTGAGCAGCCTCAACAAAGCCCTGCTGCACCTCTGGCTTGCGAGGAGAGGGAGGGTCTCCTCGTGAGTCGCCTGCCACTTCCAGGTTCCCAGCACTGCACGCGTATGTGGTTACGTGCAAGTATATCACATGCAAGTGGGGAGTTGCCTGTACATGTTTCACCTTAACCTTATGGCCCAAAAGTTTCACACGTAAATGAATTTTTAAAAGGTTGATTTATTACATGAAATGACAGTGGCAGAGTATCTGGATGCTGCTTCAGACATCAGAGTTACAGTATAAGCAGTACAGTACATACTGATCAAGAAATTGCAGTTACTGCAGAATGCTGCAGCACGATTGCTGACAGGAGTGAGGCCTTGTCCATGTATCTGCACTAGTAGCCGATTTGCTTCTGGGTCAAGTTCAAGGTGTTGCTATTAGTATATAAAACCTGACCCTGAGATCACCTTACTGTATAGGTGCCCACTTGACCGATCTGATCAGCAGAATTGGGGCTACTACAGTTTCCACATAGTACCTGTTGCACATTTAGGGGGGGGGATATTTTAGTGTGGCAGGACTTATACCCTGGAACTCCCTGCCTATTGACATCAGGCAGGTGCCTTCATTGCACTCTTTTTGGCACCTGCTAAAACATTCTGTTTAGTCAAGCCTCCCCAGATGTTTCAAAGGTTGATGTGATGAATTTTGATTTGTTTCCATCCACTGTTGCTTTAACTTCTTGTATGTTTTACAGTATTGTTGTAAACTTTTCTGGTGATAACTTTATTTTTTATTTTTTTGTAAACTGCTTTGAGGGTTTTTTTTTTAATTTCCACAATTAGGCAGCATATACATTTTATAAAATAATAAACAAGCAAACAAATACAGTGGTACCTCGGGTTAAGAACTTAATTTGTTCTGGAGGTCTGTTGTTAACCTGAAACTGTTCTTAACCTGAGGTACCACTTTAGCTAATGGGGCCTCCTGCTGCCACCACGCCGCCAGAGCACAATTTCTGTTCTCATCCTGAGGTAAAGTTCTTAACCTGAGGTACTATTTCTGGGTTAGCGGAGTCTGTAACCTGAAGCGTCTGTAACCTGAGGTACCACTGTAAAGCACACATTGAGCTAAAGAGTAAAAGAAGGAGACCTATCAAAAGCCTAAAGAAAGAGTAACTCTGACATTTTTCAGAGACTCGTATGTGAAGTAGAAAAGGGAGGGAAAAGGGTAAACCTGTCCGGAAGTGAAGGAGAGTGTCAAGCTTGTCCTTGAGAATGCAGATTGAAAAGGCGGCACATGTTGAAGCTCTGAGAGCTAACCAACCATGGACAATATGGGGCTTAAATACTATTCTGAGCCCATGTTAGGTTATGGACAAGGGATGAGTGATTTGCATTAACACCTATATTCCTTTGTTCTGTTCTTTCTTTTCCGTTAAGTTCCTGTCTGCTGGTTATTCTGTTTTTCCTTAGTTGGTAACTGAAAGAATACAATCCCAGTGAGAAATTACTAAACTGGTTATCTTTATTTCCTGAGTTCTGAATTTACCTTACTACTGCCTATGTGGAACTCATTCATTTTACAGGAGATGCAAATTAAATTTTGCTCGTGACACCAGATTGCTGTCCTGATCTTTACATAAAATCACAGGAGATCAGGAAGCCTTCCAGAACACAAGAAATTTCACTGAGGGGTATATTTTATATCAAGTTTATGCCAACAATAATGAACCATAGGAAAAGCTCAGATTAGCATGCACCAACTGGCACCTGTCCTGGACCATGAAGCCCCTTGGTCTTTTGAGGGCCTCTTACTTGGTCTTTTGAGGGCGACTGCTCTGATGCCCTCCTGTTGGCAGGGCCAGATTGTGGCTGTGATGCTGTCCACCTCCCTCCAGATGTTCTCGCTGTCTGGATAAATTTGGTCATTGGCATGGGAAAGCGAGCAAGAGTGGTCTGTTTACACACCTTCACGTCCAGCCAGGGCTAAAGTGAATTTTTGACCATCAGCCAAACAACAGCAAAATGGGTTTGCTGAGGCTTGGTGTTGGAGCCAAATTGAAAAAACGAGAAAGGGAAGAGAAGCCACATAATATCCTCCAAAGGATGCACATGTTTGCACATTATTATTATTATTATTATTATTATTATTATTATACTCTTCTAAGTGCTGGTTTGCCTAGGAAATGGTAAGGCCTGATGGTCAGGCCTATTATGGATGAGACACTGCTGTTTGTTCCCTGTGGGTTAAGGGAGAGGAAAGGGGGGGGGTGGGAAAAAGAGAAAGGGGGGGAAGGGGTGGCTCCACGTACTCCTTGCTCTGTCCCTTGACAGATTACCTCTGAGGGTATGCAACCACCCATACACACACACATACATACACACACACACACACACACACACACACACACACAGAGAGAGAGAGAGAGAATATTTCAGTTGTACAAGATAAAGTGAAAAAAGAGAAAAAGAAGAAGGAAAGTACAAAGAAAAAGAAGAAAAAATGCAATAAAAATACATAGTATAGCAGAATAAATGTAATCAGTTACACTTTCATGCATATTATATAGGTATATAAGTACCATTATTGTCCTAATACGTATATGATTGTTGATAACCTACAATAGTCATTCCAAATGCCAATATGTTTATCCAAACAGAGTCTGTATCTTTAAGCAATCCATTCATGTCATGTCTTCAGTCTATTGATTAAAGGGGACCATAACGTTATTCTTCCAGTTCATCAATGGCAGTCTTTTGGCCATAGTTGGGGCACGTAGAATCTGTTTTCATTGTCCAGTTGTCAACTTCCATACAATAGGTATATACAGTGGTACTTCGGGTTACAGGCGCTTCAGATTACAGACTCCACTAACCCAGAAATACTACCTCAGGTTAAGAACTTTGCTTCAGGATGAGAACAGAAATTGCGCAGCGGCGGCAGCGGGAGGCCCCATTAGCTAAAGTGGTACCTCAGGTTAAGAACAGTTTCAGGTTAAGAACGGACCTCCAGAACTAATTAAGTTCTTAACCTGAGATACCACTGTAATTAAAAAGAAAGGGTATGCAGCCCTTGACAATAAAAAACAGTTCCCTGCCCTCAGCCCAGGTGATGGGGATGGTGTCCATCTCTCTCTCTCTCTTAATAAACTTTATTAAACAAGAAGATATCTTAAAATACACACAAAACAAACATACAGTACAAACATTCTATAAGAAAAAAAGAACTTAATTACATATAGAATAAAAAATAGTAAAAGAAAAGAAACTTCCAACTAAACCCATTGTACTATTTCGCATTCAATTTTTTTACACAATTTCTTGTTAATATTTTTCTATATCTTAATTTAAACTTTTTAAAATACTTCCTTATATCACAAGACTCATTCAATGTCTGCCAGGAAACGTTTATTATCACAGTACCCTTTGAGATGTTCCTTAATCCATTCCTTATTACGTAACATCTTGTGTTGAGTTTCCTCTCACTGTCCCAGTTCTCCTTGCTAGCTGTAAATACTGTATTAATTTGGCTTGCCATTCAATCTTTGAAGGGATGGTATCGCTTTTCCAGTTTCTTGCTATTAGAATCCTTGCTGCAGTTGTTGAATACATGAATAATGGTCTAATTTTATTCTTGATCTCTGATGTCATGATTCCTAATAAAAATGCCTCGGGTCTTTTAGTGAATGGGATCTTAAACATTTTCTTTAACTCATTATAGATGGTGGGTGTCCGCCTTGCCACAGTGTGGTGTCCCATCCTTTTGTGTCATCTGCATCTTTTCTGTCTCTCTCCTCCCAGGGTGACATCCAGCAGCTCTTCGTGGTAGCAGACCACCGAGCAGCCTACGACTATTGTGAGCACTACAGCCCAGATTGTGACACAGCTGTCCCAGATACGCCGCAGTCCCAGGACCCAAACCCTGATGAATACGTAAGTGGAAAGAGATGAACGACTGTCACAATGTTGGTGCAAAATCTGGAGGCAGCCTGCTGGCTCACCAGGGAGACAGAAGATCCATTGCTCCCCATGCAATCCAGAGCAAGGGATGGCAAGGCAACCCCAGTGTAACCCCTTCATGGAAGTGGAGTGATGAGCTGAAACCACCCCTTCCCAAAAAAACACACACCACTTTTCTATGGGGAGGGAGGGATCTGCCTCTGCTTCAGTTTCACATGGGTTTATTCATAAACCCACTCCAGTCTGTTTTGGATACCATTCGACTCAAGGTAGATCCACTGAAATTAATTGAAATTTATTTTAATGGGTCTACTCAGAGTAAAACTTAGGTGAATACCACCCTAATTTTTTTGCTTTAAATACCTACGAAAATTCTAAGTGGTTAACAAATTGTCTTTTTTTTTTAACATGGGCTGTGTGCACAAGCAAGTGTAACAGACTTTCTGTAAGCATATACACCATGCATTCAAAGCATATTCCTTCCTGCAAAGAATCCTAGGAATGGTAGTTCACCCTTGCAAAGCTACAGTCTCCAGCACCCTTAGGTAATGAGACCCTGACCATTAGGTCCAGTTGTGGATGACTCTGGGTTGCGGCGCTCATCTCGCTTTACTGGCCAAGGGAGCTGGCATACAGCTTCTGGGTCATGTGGCCAGCATGACTAAGACGCTTCTGGCAAACCAGAGCAGCGCACGGAAACGCCGTTTACCTTCCTGCCAGAGCGGTACCTATTTATCTACTTGCACTTGGACATGCTTTTGAACTGCTAGGTTGGCAGGAGCAGGGACTGAGCAACAGGAGCTCACCCTGTTGTGGGGATTCGAACCGCCAACATTCTGATTGGCAAGCCCTAGGCTCAGTGGTTTTGACCACAGTGCCACCCACGTCCCTTAAACTACAGCTATTACTACTACTACTAATGCTACTATGTGGGGTGAGCTTTAAAAGTATGGTGGGTATGCAGCCTAAGCTATAGCAAAAGAAAATAGAAAATGGAAAAAGCATTAATGGGCAGGAGCCTTGGCTTTTAACTGCAATGAGCAGACTGTTCCATGGAGTCTACACTCACACAAGATTCCGTTGACTAACACATCCACTCCCAAACAAGGCTCTGCTTCAGCCATCTCTATTTCATTTGCAGATATTTAGGTTAGAAGAGCCCTTCTAGATCAGTCCCATTAAAGTCCACCATCCTGTTCTCACAGTGGCCAACCAAATGCCCCAAATAGGAAGCCCACAGGCAGGACCTGAACCCAATAGAGCACACCCCCCCTTGTGATTCCCAGGAACTGGTAATTAAAGGCATATTGTATCTGACTTGTATCTGAACTTGGCCACTGTGGTTAGTAGATGTTGATAGCCTTTTCCTCTCCAGATGTTCGTCTAATCCATCACTTTAAAGCCATCCAGGTTGGTGGCCATCACTATAGCTTGTGGGTAACAAATCCCATAACTTAACTCTGTGCTGTGCGAAGAGGTTCCTCCTTTTGCCTCTTCTGATCCTGACTCAGTGAAACTGTGGGTGGTGGTGACAATGCCTCACAGCCTCCCCATGTTCTAGCTGCTGTGCTTTCTGCCTTGCAGTACCCAGATGGAGATGGGAACCTCGAAGTGGAAGGAGAAACTTACTACTATGAATATCCCTACTATGAGGACACAGATGACACAGGCAAAGTGGTACCACCTACAACCCCAACTACAGATACTGAAGAAGTGGCACGGGAAACGGCTGAAACCACTGAGGTATGGAACAGGGGGCCACAGCTGGATTGGTGAACTGGTTCCAATCCAACCCCCTCCCCCTATTTTCAGATGCTGCACACATGGCATAGAAACATAGGCCATGTTTGAAGAAGCTTTCCCTGTGGCGTAGGGTGTAGAGATGCTATTGGTTCTCCCAGAGTGGCTTCCGTAAGCCCTGGTATTAAGATACTCTTTGAAATAACAATTTAATTCATAAGGGACACAGATGTCATCTATTTTTACTCTTTTGACATGTTGCAGCACTAAGCCAATGGTTTAGGGGGTGAAATATCCTAGCCTTTATAAATCCTAAAGTGGGGTGTCCAGTAAGTAGCAGTGCCCCCTCTGTGATCAGGCAACAGGGCACTGCAGAAGGTCATGCCTGGGCTCAGGCAGATGTTTCCACATGGTTATTATGTGATGTTGATACACAGAACTGGATGGCTCTCATTCTGGGGTGCCAACCCAATCCAATGTGCAAAGGTTTTAGTATTATTCCAGGAACGGTACCTCATGATTTGCCCCTTGTGCATTTACACAGGCTCTGGTGGCTTTTGACAGAATGTAGGTTAAATGCTCTGCAGGTGATGGGGGCATTATAGGACTCAGAACGGCATATATAAATATTTCATGGCCATCTGCTTTAAAGAGGAGAGCATGGTACAATTCTTAACAGAGTATACCTTGTGTTAGGAGAGCTTGAAGCTTGGGTGAATTAGATTGGAATAATCACTTACAGTTTCTGGAGTTCAAAGGGTTTATTTATATAGGAATATATTTACAAGATGAGTGTAGATGAGAAAGAGAAAATAGCAGGCATCTTTCTCAACTAGTCATATAGAACCGTCACATTTGTTAAACAGGATTCAGAGAAGTGAGAGCCATTGATTGCACCTAAAGATCACACTGAATAAAATGGATTTGTTGTTCTGATTTTGTGGGGGAAGTTTTGTGAATGAGTCTTTTATGACAATGTACTTACTTTGATGCTTACTTTTTTGCTTGTGATTTGTCTATTAATATGATGTGTGTGCGGCTTGGTTGGCCAGAAATCAATAAACTATTCCTTTTCATATTTTAAATATCTGTTTAATTAATTAGGGGGCACAGGTATCAGCCAGTTTGATTTGTCTGACATGCTGCAGTGCTAACAGTGTAGACGGGCACATGTCTCCTAGCTTGTGTGCATCCTAAGAAAGGGTATCCTAAATATCAGGTAACTGTGGCCTCTTCTTCTTTTTGTGGAAACAGGAACTTGCCCCTCCATCTACAGCATCCCCACCCATTGTGGAGAGAACTCAAGAGGAGACCACGGTGAAAGAAAGGGTAGAGAATCCACTGGTGGATGAATATAATTATGGAACCATAATTGATGAATATTACACTCCACTCCCTGATGAAGATATCAGCTATGATGACCTTGATAAGCTCCCAGAGGGCGGCGTCGAGGTGGAGGTCCCCACCAGCACAGTGATCACCCTCAACGGAACCAATGTAATTCTTTGTGGCCTCAAAACTATGATCCATGTTCTGGCTCGGTCTGTAGCCCAGGCATTTTGGGTTGTTAACCCAATCAAGTTCTACCCAGAGTAAATCCACTAGAATTAACAGGCCTGATTTTGTCATAAGGAGAACCTGCTAGATCAGGCCATTGGCCCATCTAGTCCAACATCCTGTTCTCACAGTTGCCAGCCAGATGCCTCCATGGGAAACACACAAGCAGGGCCTGAGCACAAGATCAGCACCCTCTCTCGTGGTTTCCAGCAACTGGTGCTCAGGAGCATTACCATGGAGGTAATGGCTTGTAGTTGTTGAGGCCAGTCAGTTTCAGATGAGTCTACTCTGTGTAGGACTAACATTGGCTACAGCCCACATTCTTGAACTGCCTCATGGGTTCTGAAGTTGCCTTTAAGTTGCATTTTAGAAAGTTGATGGCTGATGGTGGATCCTAGTAAATTGGTGATTATGCTAAAGACCGCTGCTCTTTTGCAGGGGAACATTATGCATACCTGGATCAACACAGCTGCCTGCATTTTCAAACCTTGGAGATGTAGCTGTGCTGCTTGAGTGGGGTGGGATGTCCTTGTGATGAGTTCCTGCTTTTCAGATTTTACAGTGAGAGTATTCAGTTGGGTTTCTGTTCATGTAGGGCAGCAGTAAGGCCTAATCTACAATAAATCCATAATTTAGTGTGGCAGCACCTTCACTTTGGAGCTGTCTTCCCTTGACATCAGGCAGGTGTCTTTGCTGTACTCTTTTTGACACCTGCTAAAAATATTTTTGTTTGGGCAAACTTTTTCAGACATGGGAAATGCTGACAGGTGTTTTAATCTAGCGTTTAGCTTTCCATTGACTTTAATTATTTTTTTGAAAGTTTTAAATAGTCATTATTCTATTCTTTGCATAAACTGCTTTAAGGTTGTCATGAATTTTGGGGAATTAATGAATCATAGAACTGTAGAGTTGGAAGAGAACTCAAAGGCCATCTAGCCCATCTCCCTGAAATGCAGGAATCACAGCTAAAATGTGCCCCCCCCAAACTTATGTTCTAGAATCCTCTGCAACCAGCAACGGCTTTGGTATGCAGAAGCTTATATTGGAATGGTCCACTGATGGTAGGAAACCTGGAAATCCCTCTGGCTTGGAGGAAAAGGTCTTAGCGCCTCCTGTTTTCTGTTCTCTTCCACTTAGGATGCAGAACAAGGGCGTGAAGGAGGAGAAGACCCCAACAAGGACTTCACGGAGGAGACCCTCACAGAGTATGAAGATGGGTACTATTACGGCAACTATGACCGGACAGACTCTCCAGACATTGGACCCGGCATGCCTGCTAACCAGGACACGATTTATGAAGGGGTAAGGGAAGACTTGGTTCCTTGAGAAACGAGGAGCATGCTGTGTGGAGGTGAAGCCAGAGCCTTGAATTAGTGCAGTGGTTCTGAAGATGAGCAGTTGTGCCCCCTGGGGAGACAGTGGGATTGCAGTGGGACTAAGAGGCAGGTGGATTCTTCCAGGTGGGTTCTTCCAGGAGGCTGGATTGCTTATTTACAATTGACTGGGCTAGAGTCTGGAGCAAAACACTTTCCTCGCTTCGTATTATGGTGGCCTAGTAAGCTGTTAAATACTGATAGGTAGATAAAATATTTTCTTTCTGAGTTATTTTTCTAAAAGGATCTGTTTAAAAAAATATGTAGATGTCAGAGTCTCATCAGACAGATGAGATGTTCTGCTTCTGCAACACTCTGCTTGGTGGTAATGAATGTAGCCAATGAAGTAGAGCAATGCTCATTGTTCAGTGAGTTCTTGCTTTTGTTTCCTGTGTCTGCTGCAGATTGGTGGGCCACGAGGTGAAAAGGGACAGAAAGGGGAGCCAGCCATAATTGAACCGGTAAGAGCTGTCGCTTTGCCTTTGCCTTGCAGCTGGAGAATCCATGTGGAAATTGTGCAATGATAACATTTAAAAATCGATCAGTTTATCAAACCAGGGTAAGGGTGGGGAAACCTCAAGCCTGCAGGTCAAATGTGGCCCTCTGGGCTGCTCTGTCTGGCTCTCAGGACAGACAGCCTCAACCCACAGTCCCCTTGAGTGTTTTTGCCTATTTGGAATATGTCCTTGAGCTGTGATAATGTCTCTTGCTAGCCAGGATGGAAATGTGTTTGTGTATTTGGCCCTGCCCACACCTGTTGCTCCACCTACTTTTTTTGCTTCTGGCCCCGTCCACCACTAGGGTTGCCATATTTCAAACAGTGAAAATCTGGACAGAAAAGTTGTGAGCTTCCTCTCTCTTTTTTAGTTTTGCCCAAAGTTGTTGAGCTTTATGGGCAAAATGGGGGGGGGAACCAAAAAACACCAAATTTTTGAGCTATTTTTAATGAAAAAGTGCAAAAACGACACTGCCGACATGGGCAGCCATACGGCTGGATTTTCCCAGACAATCCCCCAATGTTCACCCAGACACTGCTCCCAACTGCAGTATTCCGGACGTATGCACCATTGACTTATGACCCCTGGAAGGCTGCTCTGAGTAGAACAAGGCCCATGGACTGCTGAAGTTCTCAACCGCTGAAATAGTTGCAAGAGGTTCTCCAGTAACAAGAAGGGATAACTACAAAGCGATCTGTCCTGCATTTCTGTAGTTTGGTGGCAGGGTGGAGGTCTATCCTATCTTTCTGTCTTCTCCTTTCCCAGCCTCCAAAAGTTCTCTGCCCAAGAATATAGAAATAAGAATATAATGGCCCATCTAGTCCAGCATCTTCTTATCACAGTAGCCATCCAGATGCCCAATAGAAAGTCCTCAAAGCAGGTGCAGAACACAAGAGCCCTCTCCCTGCCTGCAGTTTCCAGCAGCTGGTATTCAGCATTGCTTCCTCTGACCATGGAGGCAGAGCGTAGTGACCCTGGCTAGTGGCCATCAATAGCCCTCTCCTCCTCCATGAATTTGTCTCATCCTCTTTTAAAGCCATACAATCTGGTCGCCATCCCTGCCTCCTGTGGGAGAGAGCGCTACAGTTAAATTATGTGCTGTGTGAAGAAGGCCTTTGTTTTATCCATCATCTTCCAACACCCAGCTTCATTTGGATGTCCACATCTAGTGCTATGAGACAGGAAGGAAACTTTCTTCATGCCTTGCATAATATTATAAACTTCTATCATGTTGCCTCTTACTTACATTTTCTCTAAGCTAAAAAATCCCAAACGCTGAAACTGTTCCTTACAGGGGAGTCACTCTGACCTCCTTGATAATTTTCGTTGCAATTCTGGTTGCCACAACATCTGGCTGCTGTCACCACTGTACATCTCCATATTGGATCTGACCTAGGTTCTGGACAACAGAGGCAGGAATGAAGTTGCAGAGTGCTTAGTGCTGAATAACTTCAGGCTGCAATTTGCAGATCACAATTTGGAGATCCTCCCTTAAGGTTAAAAAAAAATTCCTGCAAGGAGAAGTCTAGAAGAAAAAATCCCTGCAAGAGGAAAACTAATACAGTGGGAGGGAGTGGACTGAGCCAGATCCTTTCTCTCTGATGTTGAGGTTCCCCTCTTTTTTAAATTTGCACAGAATTGTTTATATGGGGGGGACATGACAAAATAATGGCATCTGTTACATGCAATCTCAGGTCTCATTAAACCAATTCATAGAGGGGAAGGCCATCAATGACTACTAACCACAATGGCTACATTCTACCACTGCGGTTGGAGGCAGTCAACGCAGCTTCTGAATACCAGTTGCTGGAAGCTGCAGGAGAAGAGCTGCTTTTGCACTCAGGTCCTGCTTGCGGGTTTCCCATGTTGGCATCTGGTTAGCCGCTGTGAGAACAGGATGCTGGACTAGGTGGGCTCCCTTTGGCCTGATCCAGCAGGCTCTTCTTATGTTCCTCAGCCCAGCTGCTTCCACACCCTTTCAACAGCTATGCCTTCTCTGTTCCGTAAAAAGAAAAAAAGCAACTCTGTTTTTCCAGCTCAGTCCTCCCCATCTGTACACTAGCGACCTAATTAACCCAGTTTTCTTCCTGGCAGACCAGCCAAAGTAACAGCAACCTTGTCTGACTTGCAAAGTTGAAAGGTCTCCGTTTGCTGCTTCTCCCTGATGATTTCCCTACAAGGGGAAATGAAGTCAGAACCAACTCCTCCTCTTAACTGTTTTCTAGCTGCCTCCCATTCTTCCCTCACCCCTGTCTCTGAGGGAGCTTGCAGCTGAAACACGTGTGTGTGTGTGTGTGTGTGTGTGTGTGTGTGTGTGTGTGCACAAAGAGAAAAATCAGAGATGCCCTCAGCATGGAGGGGGATCTGCTGAAAACGGTTGCATAAGAATTTGGCAGCTCTGAGCAGGGTTTGAAAATGCCAGACCACCGAGAGGCTGCTAGAATGTAAACAAGACCAAATGCTTGTATTTTCTCTCTCTCTCCACTGTCCAAAAAAAGAAACATTCTGGAGCTTTTTCCTTTTTTTTTTTTAATGCACTCCTTATCAGGCTTAGATGCATTCCAAGCTAGGCTTGCTGGATGCCTTCCCCCTCCCCTCTTCAACTCCACAGAGGCCCTGCAAGTCACTACATAATAAATTTACTTGAAGTTGAGGCCTTGGTTTTTTTTTTGGATGGGTGGGGGTTGCATTTCAACTGCTTACTGTACTTTTCAGAATGGCCACTGTGTGTGCCAGTTTTCTTGAGCTCAATGTGCAGCAAGATATTGGAGCCCTGTCATTTTTGCAGTGCATAAATGCTGCTGCTGCTGCAGAAGAAGAACATAAGAAAAATAAGAAGAGATGAGTTGCTGGATTAAGCACCTAGTCCACCATCCTGTTCCTACAGTGGCCAGCCAGATGCCCCAAATGGGAAGCCCCCAGGCAGGATCTGAGCAGAACAGCAACTCTTCCCTCTTACAGTTTTCAGCATCTAGGACTCAGAAGCGATTCTGCCTCCAGCTGTGGAAGCAGAGCATAGCCATTGTGGCTAGTAGCCATGGATAGCCCTGACCTCAATGCATTTGTCTAATCCTCTTTGAAAGCCATCCAAGCTAGCGACTATCACAGCCTCCTGCAGGAGGGAGTTCCACAGTTTAACTATGCACTGCATGAGTAACTCTTTCATCTGTCCTGAATCTTCCAACATTCAGCTGCACTGGATGACTACAAGTTCTACTGCTATGAGAGAGGGAGAGAAACTCTTCTCTATATACTTTCTCCACACCATGCAGTTTTGTACAGTTTTATATTACTCACCTTTTGTCTAAGCTAAAGTGTCTCAACTACTGCACCCTTTCCTCATAGGAGAGTTGCTCCATCCCCTTGATCGTTTGGGTCGCCCTTTTCTGAGCCTGTTCTAACTCTATTATTCAAAATATGCAATTTTGTACTATTGCAGAATTCAGTTTTTAGACTACAGAATTTTTTATTTTTTTAAAAAAAACAAGTTTAGATTCCCCACTGGCCTGTTTGTTAACTGTATTGCAATCTCTTTCTCTGTTTCAGGGGATGCTCATTGAGGGCCCATCTGGGCCAGAAGGACCAGCGGTGAGTTGCAAAATATGACCTATATATTCTGTGCTTTCCCCCTATTTTCTCTCACTTAGCACAACCTTGTCTCTTTGTGTGCCTTTTGACTGCTGCCTGAGTGCAGCTGTTCTCTGGGTTCAATTACTTCCATATGATGGGCATGGTTCTGCAAGCCTTGTGAGGTCAATTTGACCATGCTAAAGTAAACACATCCTTCTCATACTTTTCCTGTTCAGTGTGTGCACGCTCTCACTCACTCACTCACTCACTCACTCACTCACACACACTTCCTTTTGTCTTGCAGCTAATTTTCCTTCTTTTTTTCTTCCACATCAGGGTCTTCCAGGTCCTCCAGGTACGACTGGTCCAATGGGTCAAGTTGGAGATCCTGGCGAAAGGGTGAGTTATCTTGCAAATTCCCGATGCTCAGAGCACAGGGAGTGAGCCCTAGTACAAAATTCTGTTGCTGTCTTTCTGCAAATAATTTTTTCTGCCTTGATCTGAAATCACCACTAACCACACCTCTGACATTGATGGGACCGAGAAGATGTTCTTTCTCAAGGATCAAAGTGACTGGGCAGGTTCACATAGGGAGACAGGTAGTTTGGGCCCAATTTCTCCATCTGAAGTTGTTCCCTAAGGAGATTCTGGCTGAAGCTGAATCAGAAGTAAATGTTCAAAAGTTGAGTTGAAATATGTTAGCATAAATCACGCTGGATGACATTCTAAGCAAATTTGGTTCACACCGAAATTGGATTTCATGGGAAATGGCGGTTTCCTTTGCTGGCCTGCCAGAGCAAACTCAACAAAACTTCTTTGTTATTATTATTACTACCCAGTGTCCAGATCTTACTTGGACCACAACAATTGACATGGGTTTCTGTTGCAATAAGATGCTTGCATTTGTAAGATAATGTATTTTGTGTTTTTTTTTAAGCATGCTTAAATTGAGTTTTTGAACATAAGGAGAGCATGCTGGATCAGGCCCATGGCCCATCTGGTCAGCAGCTTGTTCTCACAATGGTTGGACAGTTGCCTGTGAGAAAACAGCAAGCAAGACCTGAGCACAAGAGCCCTCTCCCATTCACATGGTTTTCAGCAACTGCTATTTAGAAACATTACTACCTCCAACTGTGGAGGGCACAGCATAACCACCCTGGCTAGTAGCCATCATAGCCCTCTCCTCCTCCATGAATTCGTCCAATCTTCTTTGAAAGCCATCCAATTAGTGGCTGTCACTTCCTCCTTGTTCCCTGGATGCCATGTAGTTGCAGGGAGAAGGCTCCCTATGTGATTCTGACAATGGCCAGCAGGAGGAGCTCCAGTATGCAACCTGTTTCTTCTAAAAGGATCCTCCGCACCCCTGCCATTGGTGTAATAATCTGGGATAAATTTTCTGCTCAGTTTGGATTATTTCCTGGGCTGGCAATTGTTTCCGCTTGAAGTTCAAAAGCAACTCTGGATGCCTTTCTTATGACACCTACTCTAAGCCCATGTGACATGGTTTTAGAGCTCTTGTTCAATAAACAATGCAGATTAATCTGCAGGCAGCAGTCAATATACCATGTTATATTGTGTGCACGTAGTTATATGCACAACACACAAACACACATTTCAGGTTGTACCTAGGGAGGTAAGATGGTAAAGAGGAGACTGAGAGGAGTTACAATTTGTTGTTGTTGTTGTCTAGTCGTTTAGTCGTGCCCAACTCTTCATGACCCCATGGACCAAGAGCACGCCAGGCACTTCTGTCTTCCACGGCCTCCCGCAGTTTGGTCAAACTCATGTTGGTAGCTTCGAGAACACTATCCAACCATCTTGTCCTCTGTCATCCCCTTCTTCTTGTGCCCGCAATCTTTCCCAGGGAGTCTTCTCTTCTCATGAGGTGGCCAAAGTATTGGAGCCTCAGCTTCAGGATCTGTCCTTCCAGTGAGCACTCAGGGCTGATTTCCTTCAGAATGGAGAGGTCTGATCTTCTTGCAGTCCATGGGACTCAAGAGTCTTCTCTAGCACCATAATTCAAAAACATCAATTCTTCAGTGATCAGCCTTCTTTATGGTCCAGCTCTCACTTCCATACATCACTACTGGGAAAACATAGCTTTAACTATATGGACCTTTGTTGGCAAGGTAATATCTCTGCTTTTTAAGATGCTGTCTAGGTTTGTCATTGCTTTTCTCCCAAGAAGCAGGCGTCTTTTAAATTCGTGACTGCTGTTACCATCTGCAGTGATCATGGAGCCCAAGAAAGTAAAATCTCTCACTGCCTCCATTTCTTCCCCTTCTATTTGCCAGGAGGTGATGGGACCAGTGGCCATGATCTTAGTTTTTTTTAATGTTGAGCTTCAGACCATATTCTGTGCTCTCGTCTTTCACCCTCATTAAGAGGTTCTTTAATTCCTCCTCACAATACAATAGCCATCTCCAAATATCCCAAGGGCTTTCCCATGGAAGATGGAGCAAGCTTGTTTTCTCCTGCTCCAGTGGGTAGGACCCAAACCAATAGCTTTGAGTTACAAGAGAGGAGATTCATACCAAACACCAGGAATAATTTTCTGACAGTAAGAGCTGTCTGACAGTGGAATGGACTCCTTTTGAAGATTGTGGACTCTCCTTCATTTGGAGGTTTTTAAGCTGAGGCTGGATGGAGATGCTTTAGTTGAGATCCCTGCAGTGCAGGGATTGGGCTAGATTACCTTTGGTGTCCCTTCCAACTCTTTCAGTTCTATGATTCTGCTATGATTGGAGATATAAGAAGGCCTCGTTTTTCATCCCACTTGCATTTGTTGCACGAAGCACTATTTCTCTTCCACTGCAGTTTGTTTCCCACGAAAACCAAACAACGGTTATTCATCTCGCTGTCCAGTGTGACAAAATCATGGCACATTCCTAGTTCCTCTGGGCACAGTGGCGGAGGAAGCTGCTCGGGTGCCTGGGGCAGTGCGCTCAGGGGTGGAGAGAGCCCCCCGCAGGATTGAGGTGCACCTCAGGGTCTCCGGGGTCTGCCTGTCTCCTCCCACTCATCTGTCCTACAGCTAGGGGGGAGGCAGCAGTTGGACTGTTTGGGCAGCGCAGAGCCTGTGCACGCCCAAGTCACCGCTTCTCTCCCAGGAGAGACGCGTGGCTCAGGTGCGCTGCAGGCCCCGCGGTAAGTGCCGCCTGGCATTTTGTCACCCCCCTCAGTGGTGACACCTGGGGCGGCTCGCACCCACCGCATCCCCCTTCTTCTGCCCCTGTCTGGGCATATGCTGATGTCCAATGGTGGGAAGATAATTGTGCACCTTAGAAATGCAAACATGAAGGGATTCAACTTGTGTGAGATTGTATGGGGAAAAATACGGAATAACAGATACAATCTTGCTTAAAAATGTATATAGGAAGTGCAGTGTAAGCGAGGGAAGTCAATCAATGAAATTTTATTATTATTTTTATATTGAAATATCTGTAGAATAAACTTGGAAGAAATTCTTCCAACATTTTTCTTCTTTTTTCTCTTTATTTTTTCTTCTTTCTTCTTTCTTCTTTTCTTCTTTCTTCTCTTTTGTTCCTTTTTTCATATATATGTGCTTATTTGAAATATATATGTATGTATGTATTTGTAACATTTTGCTTATATTTTGTAACAATCATGGAGGGATTCAAAGAGACCTACTGGGTTTCCTTAGTAGATGAGTATTACTGTCACATCTGTTTTACAGCAATTGATTTAGGCCTGACACCTAGTGGCATCCTTGGAACACTGCAAGCAGTTTCTGGGTGATTGTTTTAGACTTTCTTAAAATAGAGCTGCACTGAACGCTACAAAAATATATTTCATTTATTTTAACCTTTCATTGAGTGGGTGGGGAGCGATACAATACCCTCCCTAAAAATAAGTTTTTTAATTGATGGTTTTGGGAGAGATTGCCCTGTACCATATTTACAAGGTGCAGGTAGTTTCCCTTAAAAAAAAAGTATTTTAAACATTTAAGGCACTCTCTGCAGCTTCTCAAAGGCTGAAGTTCCTGAAACATCTTGGAAATGATGCCATCTCACATTGCATTGAGGAAGTGTGGCCAGCAGGGGGCAGTGTGTGGCTCTTTCCACAGCTTACAAATGTCTGCATTCCCTGGTTGATACCCAGTTTTCTTTCTTTAATTTTTTTTTTTTAAATCAGCATCCTCCCTCTCCTAAAATTTCAAATTTTAGAGAAATTCCTCTCTCTCTGCTCCCAGAAATGAGGAGGAATCTCATCCATGCTTTAGCTGAAGTAGGCCTGGGTATATCATGACATTTAAGAGATAATTTTTGGGCTTCTTTGTTTCTGATCACGTCTGATCAGGTTTCCCTTCTGTCTGGTTCAAGACAACGTGCAACTGTTTTTCTAAACAAATAAGTATGCTTTGCATCTGTTAAAGACACAAATCCCTTTATTTTAAAAGGAAAAGGAAAATGGTGCTCATTGATGACATTGCAAAAGTATTTTTAAAAATCACAACAAAGGCTCTGAAAGAGTTTAGGAGAAGAGATTGCTAGATCAGGCCAGTAGCTCATCTGGTCCAGTGTGCAAGCAGATTCTGAGCACAACAGCACTCTCTCCACTTGTGATCCAACCCAGGGATTCTATAAATAACACAATGATGATGTAATTTAAGTAATTAATTGTGTAAGTCGTGTAATTTCACCACAGTGCATAGTGAGATGAATAGCATAGTTTCTGGTGGAAGACGCATTGCAGTGGAATGGAAACAGTCCTAGAATACAGGGTGAATACAGGGTGGGATGAAATATGATGCCTTTGTACATCCTTGGGAGAATAAACTTTGTTATGTACTGAAGTTCTCACTCTGGGCCAGCATGGGGATACTGTAGATAGTTTTCACTCAGGTCTACATATGCAAATAAGGGATTGAAAGTGATGTTCAGTGATTGGATAGTTACAGAAAGTTGTTACAGTTGCGTGGTAGTGGAGCTTTATATAAGCAGGCTGGCTGAACCCTTCAGTTCAGTTCAGTTCTGGCCTGTGAATAAACAAGAGCTGTTGAAGAATCACTGTGTCGTCTGATATGTTCACCCACAACTTAACAAACTTCATTCTGAATCCTCTAATAAGAACTGATCATACCATTGGTCCATTTCAATGGGGTCCAAATGTCCCTGTTTTCCAGGGACTGCCCCTGTTGTATGGCATCCAAGACCCCTATTTTTGTCCAGACCTACAAACCTGGCCAATCACCTTGCCCCAAAAAAGATGCAGATGTAGGAGAAAACGCAGGCTTTTGGCCCAAAGAAGGAGTGGTTGTCTACCAACCCAATAACCCATTGGACAGCAGTAGGCCAGAAAAAGCCATGGGCGAGACCTGGCCACTATAAAAAACATCCTGATCAACTTGTGCTCTAGTCTGAAAAATCAGGTGATTGCTATAATTTGGGTGAGGGATTTGGGGAAGGGCAGAGTATCTGCTTTGCATGTGCAAGGTCCCAGATTGAATCCCCAGAAAAGAGACCTCCTACTTGAAGCCCTGGAAAGCTGTTGCCAGTCAGTGTAGGAAATCTTGAGCTACCTGGACCCAAGCATCTGACATGGGATAAGGTGGCTTCTTACGCTGCTATTTAAATCTGCCCTTGATTTGGAACCATAGGGACTAGAACCTTGTTTATTTTTATGGGAAGGGATGTAGCTCAGTGGTAGAGCACTTCCCATCTTCCCAAGTTCAATTCTGGCATCTTCAGGTAGGGCTGGGAATACCCCTTGTCTGAAACCCAGGAGAGTCTCTACCAGTCAGTGCAGACAACCCTGAGCTAGTTTGACCAGTGCTCTGACTCTCTGTCCTTTGTTCACATTATCATTTGTTTTCTCCCGGGGCTTCCTTCTGCCCCCAATCCTGTTGAGGGTTGGGTCTGTCAAATGGGTGGCACTGAGCTATTGCTTTTCCGATGCAGCCTCTTGTATTTACGACTCTTCGAGGGCCCAGTAATAATCTTCCCCACGGTTGTGACATGACAGAGCATGAAAGACTCAGCCATGCCGCATCAATCCTTCCTTGTAAGGAAGTCAATACTGCAGCTTGTCCTTTCGGAAGGGGCTGAAGCAGGCAGCTCCCTTGGTGGCTCCACCTAGCTGTGGGCCTCGATTCCCTCTGACTTTGTATGGGGGAGGAGGGACAGGATTTGCACTTCAGGGCAGAGGAGGGAGACGAGTGGGATTTGTTTGGTCTGCTTTTCAAAATAACATAAGGGTACCCAGTGGATCTTCTGGTTGGCCACTGTGAGAACAGGATGGTGGATTAGATGAGCCCCCTTTGGCCTGATCCAGCAGGGCTCCTCTTGTGTCCTGAAGTAACATTTGTGAGATGGTTTATAATCTAGTGAATAAAGGAAGATCTATAACAGGGGTCCCCAAACTAAGGCCCATGGGCCGGATAAGGCCCGAGGGACTCATTTATCTGGCCCGCAGCAACCCCTGCTGCCTGCTCTTACCGGTGCTGCTCTGCACGGCTGCCCACTTCCGGGTCGGAGGAGCACCGGAAGTAGCTTGTGCACATGCGCAAGCGTTATTTGCGCATGCGCAAGCATTATGTGTGCATGCGCAAGCATTATTTCTGGTGCACATCCGGGTCAGAGGAGGCCTGTGCACATGCGCACAAGCTATTTCCGGTGCTCCTCTGACCCAGAAGTGTGCTGGAAATAGCATGTGTGCAAAAATATGGGCACGTGCTCCCCCACCCTCCGGCCTGCCGTGCGATTGGCGCTGGAGACACTGGCCCATGGCGCGGTAAGTTTGCTGACCCCTGATCCATAAATTTCCCTCTGCTTCCCACCACTTCTCCTCTCCCAACCAGAAAGTTCCCAAAAGGAAGAGAATAAACACTTGGGTCTCCACCTGACTCCTGCATCCTGCAGTCTCCACACCATTAATAAACCCAAAATAGTTGCATTGTCCAAAGTTTTTAACACCTGTTCTATGTTCTGTTCAATTTGCAGGGGCCTCCTGGACGAGCAGGCCTGCCTGGGGCAGATGGTTTGCCAGGACCTCCTGGGACTATGTTGATGCTGCCGGTGAGCACCCGTTAACTGGCAATGTTGGTGGTTTGCAACTACAGTGTAAAGACAACTTTTTTCACACAGGCATTTGCTGTTACCTGATACAGCATCTTAAGGTCATTCGGCTGTGTGGAGGAGAATTCCAGTGACTGTCAGTGGGGGGAAAGACCTGATGGTTGTAAGATGAGGTGGCAGAAGATTATTAGACCAGGGGACACACACGTCTTTCCTTTACAGTCAAAAAGTAAATCTCACAGCCACTTGAAACAGCAGGTGTTGGGTTTTTTTTGCCCCCTACCATATCCTGTTGGGAATGGTGCTACCAATCTACTCTCATTCCCAGCAGCCCTCCAGAAGTGAGATAATGTTGTCTCTTCCCAAAAGGATGTCATTCTCCAACTGATCCTCTTCTCTCTGGTTTGTCCACTTCAGTTTCGGTTCAGCGGGGGAGGTGATAGCGGCTCAAAAGGCCCCATGGTGTCTGCTCAAGAGTCCCAGGCGCAAGCCATCCTCCAACAAGCCCGGGTAAGTGACAGGCGCCACTTTGGCATGTGGGGAGACTGGGCCAGCTTCTCTCTACTTCGTTCGCATGGTGGTGGATGGCATAAAAGCAGTAATGAAATTTGTGTTTGTAAAACAACTACGAAATATATCACCCATCAGCTGATGAGCTCTGATTCCTGCATTGCAGGGGGTTGGGCTAGATAACCCTTGGGTCCCTTCCAACTCACCAATTCTCTAATTCTGTGCTCAGCTGAGTATGCCAGATATAGCTGGATCACCCCTAAGGGAAAGGCTGTGTGAGCAGGTGAGGTTTAGGCAGGCACCTGCATGACATTAATGTAGACATCTGCTTGCTGTTTGCTCAGGGTGCATTCCAAAAGGAAAGTGCCACCATGCTAAACACCCTGCTTTTAATCAATGTAAGATGAATCTCAGGAGCATACAGCAACCCTAAGAGCGCCTCTCCTGAAAACTGAAGTGACAGGGCAAGGATATACAAGGTCAGGCTTTCCTGGGCAGGGTTGCCAGGTCAGAAACTACCAGCCTCTGAGATTTCAGGATTCAAAAATCCTGAGACTTGGGGGAAGCCCCATGTGATGTCTTTGCGGTGGACCCGGGAGACAGAGGTTAATTGGGAGAAGGGAGCAGAAGAGGGCAGACCCAACCAGAGTGTCTGTGCTATAATTTGCAGTGGTCTCTTGCCTGGCTGAAGTTTGCAAGCTGCATTCTCAGTCTTCCTAATAAAATAGATAGATAGATAGATAGATAGATAGATAGATAGATAGATAGACTCTCACCCATAGTCCCTGGAGATGGAGGTTAATTGGGAGAGGGGGCCGGAGGAAGGCAACCCTCCACCACTTTGTAGCCAGCTCCTGGTGAGCTGAAGTTTGCAAACTGCATGCACAGTCTTCATAATAATTTTTAAAATTATTATCAAAGGCACTTCTGTCCACCTGGAGATTCAAGACCTCCCCTGCTACCTGAAGGGGGCCAGGCAAAGAAGGAAGTTTCAGGTCAGACCAGGAGATCTGGCAACCCCATTCATGGAAGTTTGTAGAACAGTAATGTCTGTCTCCAGAAGTCACTATTTTAGCATTCAAGTGGCCTGCCCAGATCCTAGGCTCAGGGAAAGGGCCATAGCTCAGGCATAGAGCATCTGCTTTATATGCAGAAGGTCCCAGGTTCAATCCCCAATGGTGTCTCCAGGTAGGGCTGGAAATTTCCCCTACTTGTGGCTCTAGAGAGGCATTTCTAGTCGGTATTCCTGGCATTTCCTGACAATATGGAGCAAGATGAATCAAGGATTTGACTCTGCATAAGGCCTCCTACTTACCTCAGCCCCTATATTCAGAACTATGAGGACTAGAATCTTACTTTCTAGGGGATGGACCACAGCTCAGTGCCAGGGCCCAAGCTTTGCATGCAGAAGGTCCCAGATTTGATCCCAGGCATTTCCAGTAGGGCAGAGAGAGACCTCCTGTCTAGAACTTTGGAGACACAATGTCAGTCAGTGCAGATTGTATTCGGCTAAGATCTGGGTGAGGAATCAATGGAAGAGGACTGGAAAAAATGTAAGGACTATTTGCAAAAACATTATAAGTTGTATGAATGTTAAGAAATATGCACGATTAGGAAATTTTGGCTTTAGCAACTTGTTTAGGCAAACTGAAAATTAAGACAAGAAAAAAGAGGTGGTAATATGAATCAACTTTATTATGTTAATTTTAAATGAACAAAGTTGGGATACGAGATTGTGAATTTGGGAACATAATAACTGAAAGATACAGTAAGTTAAGAAACAAGGTAACAAATTGCTGAAACTTTTATTGCAAAGAACGCAGAGTCTGGAGGATGTGGGGAAGTCCATTTGGAATACTGAAAAAATTATTGAAAGTTGGATTGAAATAACCTTTTTTTCTATTATCTTTCTTTGTATTTGTTTCTTGTACTTTCTTATTTTTATCTTGTGTATATGAACCTAAGAAAAGAAACTCAATAAAAATATTAAAAAAAAAAACAGATTGTATTCGGCTAGATGGACCAATGCTCAGACTCAGTGTAAGACAGCTTTCTGTGTGGCTGCATGAAATTTAAGTCAGGTCTCAAATCCCACCGATATCAGCTAATTGTTCTTTGCTTTTCACTTTATATATATTTCTCCATAATTTGGATTTGGCCTCCTAAGACCAAAGCAGTGACTTTCCCCCCATTGGCCTTTTAATGGTAGAGCAGTTTAGTTAAACTCACAGCACACAGCTCACTAAATTATCTTGCACTTCTCTCCGCCGCTGCCGCCCCTCCCCCATGCATTATGATTGCAGCCCTTGGTTGGATTTTAATTACTGGAGAACACAGATAATTACAGGTCTTTTAAGGGATTGAATTCTTGCAATGGAACAAATTTGTCCTGGCGACGTTATAAAGTGCGGACAGGCCCATTACCTGCCAAAAGATTTATTGACTCTGGCCTAGCTACATGACTTTTTAATTAGTAGTTGAAAACAAAAAACAAAAAAACCAAAGATCCCTAGACTGTGACAATTTCTGAAGTTCTGGATCCTTGCTCTTTTCATAGAGGGCAGCGTTCCCCAACAAGGCACTCTGTAGGTGTTGTTGGAATCCAAGTCCCATCAGCCCTGGTCATTGCCATCAATATTCAGGGGTGATGGGAGTTGTAGTCCAAAAATATATAGGGAGCACCAAGTTGCAGGAAGCCTGGCATCAGGGTACAAACAAGGAGCTGATATTCCTAGATCTGCTCTCTAGTCCCAAGATTCTACTCCTGTAAATGTCGCATTTACCTATTTATTACGTATTTACTGTATTTTTTTGCTCTATAAGACGCACCAGACCACAAGACGCACCTAGTTTTTGGAGGAGGAAAATAAGAAAAAAAATTCTGAATCTCAGAAGCCAGAACAGCAAGAGGGATCGCTGCGCAGTAAAAGCAGCAATCCCTCTTGCTGTTCTGGCTTCTGGGATAGCTGTGCAGCCTGCATAAGATGCACACACATTTCCCCTTACTTTTTAGGAGGGGAAAAGTGAGTCTTATAGAGCAAAAAATACGGTATTTATTCCATAAAATGTATGTGCCACATGATTATTCCATAAAATGTATGTGTTGCACGATTGTAAAAAGAATCTCAAAGTGATTTTAGAAAAAGATAAAATGATAACAATTCTTACTAACAAAAGTTAACCACAATAATTTACGACTTTTGAAAAGCTGAATTAACAATAGGTATATATATATATATATATATATAGGGACGCGGGTGGCACTGTGGGTAAAACCTCAGCGCCTAGGACTTGCCGATCACATGGTCGGCGGTTCAAATCCCCGCAGCGGGGTGAGCTCCCGTCATTCGGTCCCAGCTCCTGCCCACCTAGCAGTTCGAAAGCACCCTTAAGTGCAAGTAGATAAATAGGTACCGCTCTGGCGGGAAGGTAAACGGCGTTTCCATGTGCTGCTCTGGTGCCAGTTCGCCAGAGCAGCTTCGTCACGCTGGCCACGTCACCCGGAAGTGTCTGCGGACAGCGCTGCCTCCCGGCCTCTAGAGTGAGATGAGCGCACAACCCTAGAGTCTGTCAAGACTGGCCCGTACGGGCAGGGGTACATATATATATATATATATATATATATATATATATATATGGACTCAAACACACATCAACTTTCTGAACATCTGGGGTGGCTTTTCTAAGCAAGAATATTTCTAGCGGGCACTGAATAGACTGATGTCAATAGGCAGGGAGGTCCAAAGTCTAGGCACCGCCGCACTAAAATATTGAATTCATACAACTGCGGACAGGGTATTTATGTGGCGGCCCCTGTAATAGTGTCAATTCCACTGATCAAAGTGGTCAAGTGGGCATACGTGGGGTAAGGCAATGTAAAATGCAGGTAAACTGGTTCCAAGTTCTAGTTATAGGTAGGTAGCCGTGTTGGTCTGCTGTAGTCGAAACAAAATAAAAAAAATCCCTCCAGTAGCACCTTAGAGACCAATTAAGTTTGTTATTGGTATGAGCTTTCGTGTGCATGCACACTTCAGATAACTTGGTCCCAAGTTGTTAAGGGCGTTATATGCTAATGGCAACACCTTGAATACGGCCCGGTAGCAGATCAATAACCAGTGCAGATCTCTGAGCACAGGTGCTATGTGGTGACAAGGCCTTGCTCCTGTCAGCTATCGTGCTGCAGTATCCTGCACTAACTACAGCTTCCAGATTGAGCAAAACGGGAGCCCCCCCCCATATTTATCGTCAACACTTTCACCAAGGTAGTGTCCAAAATACTATATAATGTATTTATATAATGAAATCAATAAATACTGGTTGGTTAATATGAAAGGAAAAGATTCGTAATTGCAAAGGCACATCCATGGAAGACAGTTTTCAGAAGAGTTCTAAAAGAAGGTGTGGTTGGTTTCTGCCAAACTTCCACTGGCAGGGAGTTCCATTGGGCAGGGCCTGCCACATTGAAGGCTCCCTGTTTACCCCCCGCCCCCCACCCCGGTGCTTTCTTAAGGGTTAAAAAAAAAGTCCCAGCTGCATTCTGATTTTATCATTTTAACTGACAATTGTAATGGGATAGCATATAAATTGTCTAAAAAAGTAAAGTCGCTGGGTTTTCTAACCAATGCTTTTCCTACGCAGAGTAGACCCCTTAAAATTAATGGAAATGACTACCTTAGGTTGATTCATTTCAGGGGTTCTTCTCTGAGTATAATTTAGCTGGGTAACAACCCAGAGGAATTACTTCTGAGTAAACCTAATTCAGAGAGCACCATGTGGCTTCACCACTATGAGTAGCTATGTCCTCTAGCTGGCATGCAACTCTAGCAAGGTGACAACTGCAAGTGCCATTTTCACACCCTCTTTTCTCTCCCCCCCCTCCACAGTTGGCGCTGAGAGGACCAGCAGGCCCAATGGGTCTTACTGGAAGGCCAGGCCCCATGGTAAGTAAGCAGTGCAAAGCTCGCTATTTTATATCTTTCTGTATACATAAAAACCTGAGGCTGTCATCACGTTCTGCAGTCTGCAGCAGCAGGCAGGAAAGTGAGGAAGTAGCTCTGGTGGCTCGCCTTTCAGCAAGCAGGTAAAGGTGCTTTGAATGGTGGTTCAGCAAGCCACCTCTCCGTTTTAAAGGGGGGCTGGAGTTTGGGAAAAGCTGTGAGTAGAGGGGAGGGGCTTTGGGAAGACTACTAGACTAGAGGAGCAGTAAGGGACAATCGTGGGACAGAATGTTCTGCACCCGCCTCCACTGAAGGCTCTAGGTGTAAATGTGTGTAAAACAAGCTGTATTTCTTAAAGACACTAGTCTCTCCTGTGTCCTGCTTTCCCAATGGAAGCACAAACTCTGGGTAAGCATCCGTAACCTCCTGGAGTCTTGTTACCACTCAGCAGAAATTGGGAGTGGCATGTAACAATACGCATGGGGCTGCAGGGGGGAAATGTGTATTGCGATGCACACGTTGGTGCAAATGATGTGCATTGTTATGAGTGGGAAATTGCTTGCAAAAACTGGTGATTTGGGCATGGAAAGGATGTCAAAATCACCAGTAACCATCAGCCAGGAATGAGGAGAGTTGGCTGGGGTGGGGTGTTGGGGTGGGCTAAGAATTTACTGATTAATTTTTCAGTTCGTTCCTTTTCCCTTTCTTTCTGAATATTCCTCTTCTCTTAGGGACCCCCAGGCAGTGGAGGCATAAAAGGTGAATCAGGAGACATGGGACCGCAGGTTTGTTTGTTTGTTTGTTTGTTTTGTTGCATTTATAGCCCACCTTTTCCTCCATGGAGCTCAAGGCGGCTTACATAATTCTTCTGCTCTTCATTTTATCCCCACAACAACCCTGTGAGGTAGGTTAGGCTGAAAGGCAGTGACTGGCCCAAGGTCACCCAGTGAGCTCCATGATTGAGTAAAAAATTGAAACCTGGTCTCCTAGGTCCTAGTGCAACACTCTAACTGCTCCACCACATTGTACTTTCTTTAATCAATCAACACACTCGTTTTGAAAAGCCTCTGTTGACAAGGTCTAGATAGGCAGGTGACGTTTAACTCACCTCCTCCCAGGATGGATCACGAGGAAAGATCTGACTCGCAAGATCTGCTATTAATTTAAATCATACACAATAGAGCCATTTTTACCTATGGGGTGTGTGTGTGTGACTTTGCCCTCCTAAGAAAGGCTGCTCCATTTATCTCAGAAAGGATATGGATACCTAGCAGCTTAATAAGCCCTAAAGGGCCGTCCCTACAAATTAATCTGAATGTGGAGCTTGAAGAGAGTAGTTAGAGGAAGCTATTATCCTCTTACTTTCCCTTCTGAGTTGCCTGTTCAATGCCTTCATCTCACTGCATATAACAAAATGAAATACCTTTAGGAGGCTTAAGTGCTCAGGGGCTGGTGATAAACTGTGCTTATCCCTTTCCACCTTGCAGAGCAAAGATGTTGCTCTTTGCACATAGGTACTACATGGAGCCAGGGATGCGGGTGGCGCTGTGGGTTAAACCACAGAACTTGCCAATCAGAAGGTCGGTGGTTCGAATCCCCGCGATGGGGTGAGCTCCCGTTGCTCGGTCCCTGCTCCTGCCAACCTAGCAGTTCGAAAGCACATCAAAGTGCAAGTAGATAAATAGGTACTGCTCCGGCGGGAAGGTAAATGGCGTTTCCGTGCGCTGCTCTGGTTCATCAAAAGCGGCTTAGTCATTCTGGCCACATGACCCGGAAGCTGTACACCGGCTCCCTCGGCCTACAGAGCGAGATAAGCACGCAACCCCAGAGTCATCCGCAACTGGACCTAATGGTCAGGGGTCCCTTTACCTTTACCACATGGAGCCAGGATGACTGTGTCAGTGGCCCTCTTTGAATGGTCACTTGTTTTGCATCCTTGCCCTCCTTTGTGCTTCACTTGAGGGAAGGGCTGTAGCTCAGTGGCAGAGCATTGGCTTTCCATGCAGAAGGTCCCAGGTTCAATCCATGTCATCTGTTCAGGTTCATGAGGACTGGAGCCTTACTTCCTTTTTAGATGAGGGGCAATCATTCAATGCAAAGCATATCAAAATATCAACAGTACTGAACTAGGTTAACAAATGGTCTGTCTCTGTGTAGGCAAATTCCTATGTTCCTGGTCCTATATTGCAAGAAACTGGGAATAGCCATAGCTCAGCAGGAGAGCATCTGCTTGGCATGCAGAAGGCCCTAGGTATAATCCCCAACATCTCCTGTCTGAAACCACACAAAGCCACTGACACTCAATGTAGACAATACTTGAATTCAGTGGACCAATGAACTGACTTGGTGTAAGGCAGCTTGCTAACTTTATTATTATTTATTAAATTTCTATACCGTACTGCACAAAGACCTGAGGAATGAGATCGACACCCCACTCGTTCTAACCATTCCCAGGGCGCTCAACCACTGCCACAATGTCCTTTCTTCTATCAGATCAAAATGAGCAGATAACAGCAAAGGTTGCTAGGTTCATAGCAGGGGCAATCAGAATAAGGGCCACTAACTGCTGATTCAGGACTTTAAATTGTGTTCTTATATTAAATTTCCTTTTCTGCGTATACTGTAATGTTTTACTGTTGCTATGGCCATTGGCTAATGCGAATAAAGTTTTATCTCTATTTCTCTCTACTGTTCTGCCCTTCGTCTGAAGATTACAGGGCAGTTTACAATATAAAAACACAAAAATACATATCATAATAACAAGCAACAAGGACACACCCACCCACCCCACAGTTTAAATGGCCATAGATTGTTTGATTAGCCAAATGCATGTGAGAAGAGGAATGTTTCTGCCTGGTGCCTAAATATATTAAATCATCCCTTTATTCAGAGCAATGAGGACTAGAATCTTACTTTATTTTTTATGAGAAGGGCACATGGTAGAGCATGTCCCAAATTCAGTCCTCACTGGCATGGTGGATGAGTCATTGGTCTGCCTCCATATACAGCAGCTTCATGTGTTCCTATGCTTATCTTTCCCCCCCCCCCATGCTCTGTTCCATTTGTTTCAGGGACCACGAGGTGTACAAGGACCTCCAGGCCCATCGGGGAAACCAGGACGACGAGTATGTGTGCAGTGAGATTAAAAGCATGCTTGGTATGGTCTTATGAATTGGGTCTACACAGAGTGATCTGGAGCTGTCAAAAAAGTGCAGTCTGATGGCAAAATGCGGGGAGGAGGATATGTGCAGGCATGTTTAATTGTAGGGAAACATTTCCCACACTTCTCCTGGCTGCATGACTGTGGAAGGCCCCCTGAGGCCCGGATTTGGTTGGCCCTCGATTATCCTGCTTTGGAGCTGCTGGATTGATCTCCAAATCAGATTGAGGAGAAGCCTCTGTCCAGCCCTAAAGATGGTTGGTTGGGAGGGTGATATGAGATTCAGTCAGCCCCAAAACGGGGATCCAGAGCAGCAAACAGAGTTCAGAGGGGGCAGAAGCAGTGGCGCTATCAATGGCTCTGTTGACCCCCTTTGGCTCCCTTTGGGGAGGGATCCCTGACTCCCCAAGTTCACAGCAAATTCACTTTTGGGAAAACGCAGGTGTCCATTTCTAATTCCTATTCAGTGGAGGTACCGCCATCTGCACCTCCAGCTGTTCCTGAGTTGCATTATGTAAGAGGGAAGCAGATCCTTTTGTCAAGGCTTTCTGCAGAAACATGTGACTCTCGCAGTTGACTTCTCTCTGCTTAATTTGAGTTAGTGGCCAGTCCTTGTATGTTTAATTGAAAAATTAAGAGGCCGTTGGGCACATATTTGCACTGCTGATCTTGGCAGAACCCATCAATACTGAAATCATCATCTCTTTGGAGTGATGTTCCATGGACCTATTCTGTGATCGGGATTGTGAGCTGTGCCAGTCCCCCATGTTCTGCCCTGCTCTCAAAGAGCTGTAGAATTGGAAGGGACCCCAAGGATCATCCTCTGCAATGCAGAAATAACAGCTAAGGAGTCTCTGGGAGGTGTCCTTCTGACATCTGCTTAAAAACCTCCAGTGAACGAGAGTCCATGTTCCAGGTTCATAGAATGATAGAATTCAATCCATCAAAGTTTATTGAGAATGATAGAATTGTAGAGTTGAAAGGGACCCAACGGTCATTCAACCCTCCCCCCCTGCAATGCAGGGATCCCAGCTGAAGCACCCCCTGACAGATGACCATCCAACATCTGTTTAAAAATTCCCAACAAAGTATAGCCCACCTCCTTGTAATGTTGATTCATCCTTATTCCTCTGGAATAAGACTAATGCACCATATACCGAGCCATTCAGCTAACCATGATCAAAGTCATAGTGATGTGCCCTTTGATGCCTTGCTAGTGTTGGTGCTTTGTATAAGGTTACCAGATTATTTTTTCAATGAATCTGGGGACACTTTAAATAAATAAATAAACAAACACATACATACATACATACATACATACATACATGCTACACGCTCAGGACATTGATGCTGCAGTGATAGCAGTGGCAGAGGGGCGACCACCACCTTGACCTCAACCGCCATGTTTCCCCTTCCTCTGAGGCTTCTATCTCCTTTCTCCATGAGCCTGGGCAGCCCCTGAGTTGTTGGTTGTTCGGTGGTGGTGGGGAAGCGGTGTGCGGTGGGTCAGGCATGGAAGGCGGAGAAGGAGGGCCGAGAGCGGCGGCGGCGAGGCTCAGGCAGTGCGATGCCTCCCTTCCCATCGGAGCAGCCCCAATCCCATTCCTACTTGCGTGCAAGCAGAAGGGGGCAGGGATCCCTCAGCTGGGAAAGGAGGTTTTCCGTTGCCTAACTGCCCCCTCCTGCCTGCACGCAAGTAGGAGTTGGGAGGCTGCTCCAATAGGCAGCATGAAGCCTCCCTTCACAGCTTAGTTGCTGGGGTCAGGGAAGGTGGAGGCAGCATCTTTGAACCCCTGCACCACCATCATATGGGGACTTCTGAGCAGCTCCTGGAGCCAGCCAGAGCCAACTGCTCCAGGCTGCTGAGACTGCCGCTGCTGCGTTTCCCAGGGACATTAGATGAAATCCGGGGACATTCCAGGGATGGAATTTGTCCGGGGACTTATTCACAAATCCGGGGACTGTCCCTGGGAAAATCCGGGGACTGTCCCTAGCTTTGTGCTTAATTTCTTCCCCTCTCTTTTTAGGGACGTGCTGGAAGCGACGGCGCTCGAGGGATGCCTGGCCAGACTGGGCCAAAGGTATGTGCGCCAAATTGTTCAGGGTCTTTTTTTTTTTAAAACCCCCATTTACTCTAGGAAACATACTGCTATTTACAAGGAGCAATCGCATTCCGGGTGGGATGAGCCTGTCGCCTAGGGGCCTGGTGCTCCCGTCAGCCCAAAAGCTGAAGATTTGCAACTGCAGATTTAATGGCCGCACCTGCCCTTTGTGCTAATTTATATATCTAGAAAGAAATTTCCCTTTTTTCTTTGCTCCTCACTTCCTTCAGAGTTCGCTCAGCTATCATCAAAAGGGACAGAAGCCACTAAACAGGAAATTTGAATATGGAGACATTTTGCCAGTGAGCTGCATGTTAGAAGGTTTAAGTGTTTGATTAAGTTGGTACTTAAGGTGGAAATGGATGGAGACAGGGACTGTTGCAAAGGAAGAGGACCACAAATCATTTGGAGATGTGCAGCCACCATTGCCCGGTCCCAAAAATATTGAAAATTAGGGAGACGTTTCAGGGTCAGGGTAGAGGAGAGGTGGCTAAATAATTTTAAACTACAAAGACAGAGATTTTTCTGTGTACAGGCTTGGTAGTCTGTATCCAGCCCCTGGCCCAGAGGTTGCCCACCCCTGTTTATAGATCATGGGTAGGAAACCTGCACCCCTCTAGATGTTATTGGACTACATATCTCATCCATTGCTAGCTGGCACATCCAATGCTCATGCATAATGGGAGTTGTTTTAAGTTACTTTTAAAATTGTATTTTAATGCTGTAACCCGCCTTGGGACCTTCAGGTGAAGAGCAGGTAATTTTTTAAAATTATTATTATTATTATTATTATTATTATTATTATTATTATTATTCCAATAATGCCCAGAGGGTCAAGGTTCCTGACCCCTCTTACAGATAAATCTTGTTTGAAAAGCTTAAATATTGTGGGTGGTATTCAACAAAGTTTTGCACAGGGTAGGTCTATTGAAATGGATGGACTGAACTTATTCATTTTAATAATTTAATGGGTCTACTCAGAGTAGAACCTAGGTCCTACCTGCACCATATATTTAAATCAGCATCGCACTTAAAAGAATGGTGCCTCCTTTCAAAGCATATTGGGAACTGTAGTTTCTTAAGGGTGCCGAGAGTTGTTAGAAGACCATTATTCCCATAAGTAAAGGTAAAGGGACCCCTGACCATTAGGTCCAGTCGTGACCGACTCTGGGGTTGCAGCGCTCATCTCGCTTTACTGGTCGAGGGAGCCGGCGTACAGGTTCCGGCTCGTGGCCAGCATGACTAAGCCGCTTCTGGCGAACCAGAGCAGCGCACAAAAACACCGTTTACCTTCCCGCCGGAGTGGTACCTATTTATCTACTTGCACTTTGATGTGCTTTCGAACTGCTAGGTTGGCAGGAGCAGGGACCAAGCAACGGGAGCTCACCCCGTCGTGGGGATTTGAACCGCCGACCTTCTGATCGGCAAGTCCTAGGCTCTGTGGTTTAACTCACAGCGCTACCCGCATCCCTGTTCCCATATTCCCTATTCCCATAGCAGAGCTTCAACTCTCAGTTCCCTGTGAAGAAGGATTGACTGTTAAACCGCTCCTGGAATTGTATCTGAGGGATAATAGGGGGCCTCCTGACAACTCTCAAACTAGCAAATTACAGCTCCCAGAATTCTTTGGGGCCAGCCCTGACTATTTAAAGTGGTATGAAGCTGCTCTAAATGTGTAGTGCATATGCAGCCTTCATTGACTACCACCATATGTGCTAAATATCTGCTAACTTAGCACAGAATTAGCTGTTGCTCCAAAGCTGTGGCTATTGTGGAAACAGAGGCCCTGAGATGAGATACCTTACCCTCATCCTTCCATCTTCCTTTGCTCATTGCAGTCATGCCATATGTGACTTGATGGACATCCTCCATCCATGCCTGTTGTAGGCAGCATCTATTCTGGGATGGGTAGCTCCCAATGATTTAACCAGGCAACAAAACCTGGATGCATTCTGTCTGAATGCTCAGCATATTTGGCAAGAAGAAACTTTGCCATCTCTTGGTCTGACAAGCTGCTAGGAGAGCTCATTCACTTACAGCTTTTAGGAAATGGTAGGTGATTTTGTTGTTGTTTTAAAAAAAGTTACCTCTCCTTAAAATTTTACTGTAGGGTGACCGAGGTTTCGATGGTCTCGCTGGATTGCCAGGGGAGAAAGGCCACAGGGTAAGTCAGTATTACAGGTTTATATCTTGTTCTGGCTGAATTACTTTATATGCCATCATGAAGAGGCTGACTGGTTTTGATAACCTCAACTTGGGATGGGGGGGCGGGTGGAATTCAGTTTGGTTCATTAACCTACCTAATTCAAAATGCCCAAAGCAGGGCATTAAACCAAAATACAGCTATCCTTCAAAACTCACGCTTCTCTGAATTTTGCAATGCAGTTCTCAAACATTAAAAATGTGTATAAAAAAGCATACATTAGTGAAAGTAATATGCATTGTTTTAAGGGAAATTGCTTGCAAAGATGGATATATTAAGATAAATAACATTTCATATAGCCATTTGCAATTTTATAATGCTGGAAAGCTGTATATTATGGAAGGCATCTGAATAAAATTCTTTATATTTTTTCTATACAAAAAAATTAGAGGCTACAAACCCCAAAGACAGAATGCCAGTGGCTGGAATCCACAGGAGGGGAGATCCTGCTTGCATCCCACTGGGCATTTGGTTGGCCATTGTGAGCAGAAGAAGCTGGACTAGATGAGCCATTGGCCTGATCCAGCGGGGCTCTTTCTAGGTTCTTGTGTTCTTCAAGAATGTGGCTGATTCTGTCCTTTGTTTTTCTTAGGGTGAACCAGGCCCTTCAGGACCCCCAGGAGCCCCTGGAGAAGATGGCGAGAGGGTGAGTCCATTCCGCTCTTCTTTTGTCTACAAGGAACCCAGGCAGGTTCAGATGTGCTTGTTCCTCACTCTCTGACTGCAACCCCAAGGGATAGCCCATGTGTGCAAATGGAGCTCTTGCAAATCATTCACTACATTTCCCATGCATTTAGGGATGTGAGAAGGCATCGCTTTCTGTCATGCCTTGAATCCATCACACGCAGCTCTGTTTCCATTCTGCTGCAGTTTGACTTCTGCCCCAAACTCCCTTTTTCATCCTGCTGTAGCAAAATGACGTAACTTACGGAATTGATTACAGCAGATCCATTATAATTACATTCTTACACCTCATTAATTTCAATTCAGTGCAAATTTGGGGAGTAATCAATTACGTATTGTTTGCAGATGGACAGCACCAGCAAATACCAATCAATTGGATGGATTTCCATTCTAGATATGAACAATAGCAATTTCTGTTCCCATTTCTATTTAGATTTAAATTCCTGAACATCCTTACATTCATTTCCTGTCCAATGGAGACCTGTTGGTATAATGGGAGAAAGAGAGGAAGACCCTATATTTAACCCCCCTGTTGAGTTTGGATCATTTGATCCGTTAGCTGGCTATTTTTCAATGGTTCCCCCATTGGTTCCAGCCATTTCTTCAGTGGTTCCCCCTACCCTATGCTATAAAAAGTATTATTCAGGTCAGTGGTTTGCAGGACCCATTAAGGAACATAATAACACAACAAAATATAAAACAGTAACAATTAATTGCCCATTTATTCGAAATCCAATTAAAACTAGTTTGATTAATTTAACAAAGCTGGTGAACTTGATTCAATGATACCAGGGGTCAGAAGCACTTTGGGAACCACTGTGTAACATATTAACCTTCATTTATCAAAATTACACACACACACCGCTCTTTGTTTAAGCAAATCTTCATAAATGTTGGCATGGATTATGATGATATTGCTTACAGTTTCTCTGATCTCATCAATTCTACACATGCTGTATTATACTCTTAGTTGACAAGGTATTCTTTATGCATGGGCTACTCCTTATCACTCTCACAGAGCTGTTTTGCCTGTGCAATTATTTAATCACAAATGAAAACACCTGTGATACAGTTGGTAGAGCCCATTTCTGATCTCTCTCTCTTGCCTTCTTTCTTCCCATTTCTTTGCATCCAAATAGGGTGACGATGGTGAAGTTGGACCCAGAGGTCTCCCTGGCGAACCCGTAAGTTATTCACCACAGCAATAGAAACAAAACAAAATACAGCATGTATTGCATTAGCTATGTATTAGAGGTGTATACCAAAGATTCTTCTCTAAGATAGTATAATGTATGAATCGGACTGCCCGGTGTCTCACATGAGTGCTCATGAAGCGTTGGAGATGCGATGTACACCCCCCCCCACCCGCAGAGCATATACTCAAAGGCAAACCCAGGTTTGCTAAAACATAATGTGTGAAAAGGTCCTCCGCAACTTACCGGTACTTTGTCCATTTTGGCTAGCTCCCCACTGAGTCCCCATACTTCAGACAGGAGGACTGAGGCTGAATGAGAGAACAGGCTTCCTTATGCCAACTTGATAAGTTCATGGCACAAATGACACTAGAACCAGGTGTTTCCTGGGTCATATCTCCTATTCATACCAGTTGGACTAATACTTGGGAGAGCCAGATTCAAATTCCCCATTCAGCCGTTGGGTGACCTTGGGCCAGTCACTGTCTCTCGGCCTGACCTACCTCCCAGGGTTGTTGTGAAAATGAAAATATGGGGCAGGAACCATGGACCTTGAGCTTTTTGTAGAAAAGAGGGGGTTACTCATGTAACAAAAAAATACATAGATAAATTACAGAAGCTGTCGATAAATCTGAGTGACAGATGCACAACTCTCCAGTTTTTTTTCTCAGCTCTAACAGAAAGCTGTCAATGGAGTTTTGAAAACATTTTAAAAGATTGCTGCTGTTGCAAAAACTGAGCTTACCAATATGACAGCCTTTGTCAAAAATGTTAGGAACTCTTCATTTGAGGCATGGAGCAAAAAAGTGTGTGTGGTTTTTGTAGCGGGGTGGGTGTGGGGAGGAGAGATATGAATATCAAAAAGCTCCATCATATCTGGATGAGATGAGGTGGCTGGTTAAGATCTGCCTTGGTGACGTCATCCTTCCTGTTTTCTTCAACATACTTTTCTAAGCAACAACTTCTAGGCTGTTTACCTGCCTTTAAAAACTGCTTTAAAATCCAGCAGGTACTGACAGTAATTAGGAAGGCATTTAGATGTGTATAAATAGCCAGGGCACTTTTCTGGATCATTCATGGCTGGGGGAAGAAGGAAGAGGATGGTGATGAGGGAGGGACGGGTGGAGCCTGATGCTCTTAATGTAGCTGCCTCTCAGTCTACCTCATAGGGTGGTTGTGAGGATAAAAGAGAGCAGGGGAAGTGTGTACACACCACCTTGAGCTTCTTGGAGAAAAAGTGGGATATAAATGCGATAAATAATGATAATGATAACAACTTCACAGTATGAGACCGGGATGCAGCTAACTCCACACAGGGCCTGGGTCCCTCTTTAGCCACTGGGGCATGATGGATTGTCTTAAAATGCTAGTCCTACTTAGAGTAGCCCTATTGGGAAACAGTGGACATTACTAAATCAGATCTATGGATTTCAGTGGGTTTACGATGAGTAGTACTTGATTACAATTTTATAGAATAAAAATAAATGCAACCAGAGAGACAGAGAAAGACAGAGACAATGTGGTATAGTTAGAGTGTCAGACTTGGACCTGAGCCATGAAAGTCACTGGGTGCTGACTTTCGGCCAGTCATTGCTTCTCAGCCTAGCCTACCTCACAGGGTTGTTGCTTTTTGTTGACCCACAAAACCACATAGTCTTTGACTGGGCTGCAGCTAAGGAACTCCCTGTAAATTATAGTTTCTGCACAGGCTTTGGCACTGAAGGTACCGTAATGGGTTGTCTCCAAATGCTCATCCTACTTAGAGCAGACCCACTGGGAAATAAATGGGCATGTGGGGATTAAATGGGGGGGGCAATGTGTGCAACTAGGTGCTTCTTAGAGAAAAAGGTGGAATGCAAATGCAATAAATAAAACAATAAATAAATAGTAACCAACTGAGTTCTACTCAGAGTATACCTGCTGAAATTAATGGATGTAAGTCCTGTCCATTATTTCCTTTGAGGAAAAGGTGGGATAGAAATGCAAACAATTTATCAATAAATCACATGCAATCAATTTCAATAGAAACAGAAATTTCAAAACCAATGCAGAGAATAATGTAATTATATCTATGCAACTTTTTAAAAAAACAAACAAACCCACAATGCTGCTCATTTTCACTTGCATGATTTCCATTCCTGACTTCAGATGAACATGCGGATTGGGGAGCAATTTCTGTTCCCATTTCTGATAGAATTCTCCAACATCTTTGGTGGGCACTGAACAGTCCTTGTTTGGCTGTTGGGGGAAAGTCCCACTCCTTTGTTTGTTTGTTTGTTTACACTCCGGCAAACCTCAGGATCACCCTGAGACTCCTGTTGTTTCACTCCATGTATGGGTGAAATGTTTTTCAGCTACAAAAGTGACAGCACTCAGAGAAATGGATCAGAAGTCGAATACAGAACGTGATCTCTGTCTCACCCTAATGGACATGTTCAGACTCTTATTTGCTTCCTCTTATAGGGACCCCGTGGTTTGCTGGGACCCAAGGGACCTCCAGGACCCCCAGGACCTCCAGTGAGTAGCATTAATTTTTTAGTGTCTCCTCCCCCTGGCTTTGGAGCACGTCCTCATCTTATAAAAGAGTCATCTTAGCTGAGATAGCAAAAAAATAATAATAAATGCTCCCACCCCCCTGTTTCTGTCCTATCAGATGTTACAATGTTGTAATGGAGGGGATTTAAGTAATTGGAGAAGAGCAATAGTGCATTGATGTAGTATTGTCCCTGGGGAGCTTATGGGAAATAAAAATGGGAGCAGGGGAATAGGTCAGTGGTCAGACAGTTGCTTTGCATGCCGAAGGAGCCAGGTTCAATTCCTAGAGGCACCTTCAGGTGGGGTTGGGAAAGACTCCTTGCCTGAAAACCTGAAATGGTGCTGCTGCCAATCAGTGTAGTTAATTCTGAGCTAGACACCCTACAGATTCGCTGCTAGGGATGTGAGCAGGCAACAGTTTCCAATCCGTTCTGTGTTGGTCATGCTGTTTTTGTTCCACTACAGTTCCACTTCCTCTGAAACCTATACTAAGGTTACCAGACATCCCCGTTTCCCGGGGACAGTCCCCGGATTTACAAATCAGTCCCCTGACATATTCCATTTATTAGGAGGAAGTTGAAAAGTGCCCCCGGAGTCACTGAAAAAAATCTGGTAACCTTAACCTATACTGTATGTCCCTCTGTCCTCTGTGGCTGAAACCTATGTGATAAATCATGTGATGAATTTCAATGGAAGGGAAATGTCAATAAAATGTTGCAGAAAATTAACACAATTATTGGAGCGATAGTGACTACCACTCACAAACGCAGGATTTCCTATCTTCCTACGTTTGCAAGCTCTCCAAGGGGGCCATTCCTGCCTCTGTGCCTGTTGATTGGAAGGAGAGAGTGCTGTGATCCCTGCAGAGAGATGGCATCCAACCTCTTGGAGGCTGACTGATTAGGGCAAAATGGGACACTGCCCCACTATTCTTGCTCTGAGTTTGGCCAGCCTCCACCCGCTTTCCTTCATATAGAATGTGTGGCTCTGGCTGTCATTGTTTCTGGCTCTGGCTCCCATTTGCTGTGGCTCCTCCCACTGTTGGTCTTCTCACCTTCTGTCCCCGTGGGAACCAGCCTCACTGATCCAAGGTGGTGTGGAGTCTCCTCAGCTGGAAGTTTTTAAGCAGAGGTTGGATGGCCATCTGTCAGGGATTCTTCAGCTGTGATTCCTGCATTGCAGGAGTTTGGACTAGATGACCAATGGGGTTCTTCCTAACTCTGCAATTCTATGATTCTACGTACCTCATCTGTAGCTAGAGCTGATCATGACACACTGGCAGTTCTGTTACAGCACGAATGGGGAACCTTTGACCCTCCAGATGTTGCCAGCGTACAACTCCTATTAGCCCCTAGCAAGCATGGTCAATTATGGGAGTTGTAGTTCAGCAATATTTAGTGGGTCAACATTTCCCCATACCTTTATGCCCTGTGTTTTGGGAATATTAGCCAGTTAGGAAGTTGGATCAGGTCTGGAGCTTCTTGGTTCTGTTTGATTTTCTCAGAAGATGCTGAAAACGTCTCACTTTGCCTTGATTACCTATATTAAATTTCCTCCCAGGGCATAGCTGGCATGGATGGGCAGACGGGTCCCAAAGGGAGTGTGGTAAGTTCTTTCCTCCACTCTGTTTAACTATCCAGGTTTCGTGTGTATGTGTTGTGTAAATTACATTTACTAATTGCTTTCCTGAGCTGTGTTCGTTTCACAGCTGGTGAATGTTCAAGGTGCTGTTTTCTGGAAGGAAATGGTTGCTAATTAATTTTTAATTTGAAATTGATTTTCCAGTAGTGTTGCACATCCCTTCCCTTTGTGCGGGCAATATATCAACTAACACACTGGGGTAATTTATGGGCATCAAAACAGCCTTACACCAAATGCCAGTCTCTCTCGCTCCTTCTTTCTTCCTCCCCCCTCTCATTCTCTCTGATACACATAGCATTTGTCAGTGTGCTGGGTTGTATGTATGACTTATTCATCCCATACAGTAGGGCACTGAGAAGGAACACTAGAATTTGTGGCCATCTAATGAACTTAATGTTGGAAGATTCAGGACAGATTACAGAAAACCATCTTCATGCTGTACAGTTAAAACTATGGAACTCACTCCTCCAGGAGGCAGTGATGGCCACCAGCTTGGATGACTTTAAAAGAGGATGAGACATGTTCATGGAGGAGAACAAGGCTATCAATGGTAACTAACCAGGATGCCTATGCTCTGCCTCCCCAGCTGGAGGCAGCAGCGCTTCTGAACACCAGTTACAGGAAAGTGCAGGAGGGAAGAGGGGTCTTGTGCATGGGTCCTGCTTGCAGGTTTCCCATAATGAGCACCAGGCTGGCCACTGCGAGGACAGGGTGCTGGATGAGATGGGGCCCCTCTGGCCTAATCCTGATGTTCTTGTGTGATGTTCTAATCAACCCCTTTCATTAGGAGCAGAGGAGAATCTCAACTGAGTTTGCAGCTAAAGTGCAAACCCTACCCAACTTGGATGGCTTTAACAGGGTATTGGACAAATTTGTGGTGGCTGCTAACCATTAAGGTTACGTTCCACCTCCACAGTCAGAGGCTATAATGCTTCTGAATACCAGTTGTTGGGAATCCTGCATGTGATTCCTGCATTGTCTTGAGCTAAATGACATTTTGAGCCCTTTTAACTCTACAGTTCTATGGTTCTATCTATGAATCACAAGTGAGCAGAGTTGCTATTCTGCTCATGTCCCGCTTGGGGCTTCCCATTGAGGCATCTGGTTGACCACTGTGAGGACAGGAGGCTGCACTAGATGGGCCATTAGCCTGATCAAGCAGATTTTTCTTATGTTCTTAGGGACCTAATTTAACCTCAAAATGATCCTTGTACAATTGTAACAATCCTCTACAATGCCCTGTCTTTGTTGTAATTGCTTTTGGGTTTGTCTGAAATTAATGAAATGCACAGTGTTTTCTGGGCATATGGATTTTAAATTTGGTCTTCTTCTTCTTCAGGGTCCTCAAGGTGAGCCGGGACCCCCAGGTCAACAAGGAACTCCAGGTGCTCAGGTGAGAGAATGCTTTTTGAGCCAAGTGAAAAGAAAAACCTTTGTGTCCATTAGATTGAAGTGCATGATGCAAAATTGGGGGTCAGTCATCTTGCTGCAGGATTGGAAAATGGAGATCAAGAGGAGTTTCGTTTTCCTAATGTGGATTAATTGCTATGTCAGGAAACTGCTGCATTTAGGGAAGCAACAAAGCTCAGTGATAGGACACCTTTGTTGCAGGCAGGAGATCCCAGGGTCAGTCCCTGGTAGCTCTAGGTAGGAATGAGAAAGACCCATTTCAAAGTGCTGGTACTGACCTATAAAGCCTTAGATGGCCCAGGACCTCAGGACCACAAAGACTATGTCTCCTCATGGTAATCATCCTCTGGGCCCCTTCTTCACGTGCTTCCTCCATGAGAGCTCCAGGGGGTGGCAACACAAGAAATGGCCTTTTCTGCACTGGCTCCCCATTTGTGGAATACTCTCCCCAGGAAGGCTTGCCTGGTGCCTTCATTAAATATCTTTAGGCACCAGGAGAAAAAGTTCCTCTAACCAGGCCTTTGGCCGATAGAACGTTCTATAGTCTTATATTGTATGGGGGGGGTATTGGTTTGTTTTTGTGTTTGTTTTTATTATGTATTTTGTGTTCTCATTTCATATTTTTACATCGTGAACCACCCTGTGATTTTGGATGAAGGACCATATACAAATTTAATAAATAAGAATAATAGATTTATATGTGCTATTTTATAATGAGTTAATTTAATCATTGTTACTGAACACCAAATGTTATCAAACTGTTCACATGCAGCAGATGTACATTTTCCATAGTTCTTAGTGATCATAATTTTTGCTGCTGTTATAGTTTCCTGATCGTTTTCAGAGATAATATCTTTCAAATAACAGAATACAACAATTTGGGCTTCTTAGGGTGTATGCTATCCCTATATGTCTGAAATATCCCTTTGTTTTCTAGGGTCTTCCTGGTCCTCAAGGTGCAATCGGTCCACCCGGAGACAAAGTATGTTAATTAAAAGTAGTTGCTCTTTACAGTATTCTCTGTTGCTCTGAGTGCATATTCAGTCTTTGAATAAGTGTTTGTTTCCATGTTCAACATCTGCTTATTAAGATTTCTGGAGACTGTTCAGACTTGATAGAATCAACCCCAAAACAGTATGTTGTATTCTTGAGTTGCAACTTAGCCAAAGAGTGAGAGACTGAAAACAGAAATCAGCCTCTGGTGAGAGGTTGCTTCTGTAGGGTAAATATACAAAGGGACGCCCTGGGCTGTCTTTGTTCATGAACACATGTTCAAAGTGATGTTCTAGCACATACAAATAAACCATTACGGTTCCATCAGTCTCCACACAAAGAACTTTCCCTCCAAGGTCACATCCACACCACACATGTAAAGCATATTTAAGACCCCTGGCTTCAGCAAAAGAATCCTGGGAACTCTAGTTTACCCCTCATGGAGCTACAATTCCCTGAAGCCTCAACAAACAGTATTGGTTCATGCAATGGTTACTTCAAGACTGGATTACTGCAATGCGCTCTGTGTGGGGCTTCATCCAGTGCTTGATCCAGAAACTGCAGTAGGTGCAGAATGCTGCAGCACAATTGCTGAAGGAGTGAGGCTTTGTCAACATATAGCATCTGTGCTCAGAGATCTGCACTGGTTGCCCGTTTGCTACTGGGTCAAGCATGGGCATAGCCAGGGGGTCAGCTGCCCCCCCCCTAAATCAAGAAAATATATAAAAATTCTTAACTAACTGACCAATTGCATCACAGATAACTTGGTTCTGCCCCCTCCCATCTCCCGTGGGTCTACTCTGAGTATAGTCAGTGTTGAATACAATCTATAAGATTGGATTGAATTGAGATGCAATGAATCGTGTCAAGGATCTTTGTGGTCAGAACACTATCAGCAAGGCAGATCAGGTTGATGATGCTTCCATGGTGGACATCAGTTGTAGAAGTGACTCACCTTCCTGTTTCCTTTTTTTCTCCCTTAGGGTCCACTGGGGAAACCTGGACTTCCCGGTATGCCTGGAGCAGACGGTCCCCCGGTAAGCCTTCTTGGGGATTTTTGGTGACCTTTCTTGCTCCCAGGGCAAGGCTGGGGAACCTTTTTCAGTCTGAGGGCCGTGTTCCCTGGTCGATGATCTTCTGGAGGCCACATGTCAGTGGTATAGTAGTAGTAATAATAATAATAATAATAATAATAATAATAATAATAATAATAAATTTATTACTTATACCCCGCCCATCTGGCTGGGCTTCCCCAGCCACTCTGGGCGGCTTCCAACAAAATATTAAAATACCATAATACATCAAACATTAAAAGCTTCCCTAAACAGGGCTGCCTTCAAATGTCTTCTAAAAGTTTGGTAGTTGTTTTTCTCTTTGACATCTGGTGGGAGGGCGTTCCACAGGGCAGGCGCCACTACCTCAGTGTCTGGGCAGAACGATGGGGGTGGAGACGTTCCTTCAGATATACTGGACCGAGTCCGAGGGCTTTAAAGTTCAACACCAACACTCTGAATTGTGCTCAGAAACGTACTGGTAGAAGTAAAAGTCAGAGCCTCTCCACCCTGGGAGGCACTATCACAGTTCAAGGATACAGTCAGACAGAAGCAGCCCAGGAAGGTGTGAAGCTGAGCTGGTGAGGGGTTTGGCATCAAGAGAGTTTGGAGGGCCAGATTCAGAGTTCTGGAGGGCCACATTCACACCCTGGGCCTGAGGATCCTCACCTCTGTTGTAGCAGGCAGCATTTCCTCCTGGGTGACCTTCCGACAGCAACATCCCAGTTGTGGGCAGGGCCAGGGGGGGAAGGTGGGTGGAGCAATCAATTGTATTTTTGTACAGTAGGCTAATATATACTAAACTTACAAACTCCTCTTAAACTGGAAGCATGATGAGAGTTTGCAGACATGTTCCATCCAGCCAAAAACATTTGGGGTATGAAGCGGGGCCAGTAGCGTGTGTTGCCTGGGGAGAGACTGCCAGGCTCCAGCTAGATGGACCTGTAAGGCCACATTTGGTAATACAGTGGTACCTCGGGATGCGAACGGGATCCGTTATGGAGCCCTGTTCGCATCCCGAATGGAACACAAGATGTGAGGGCGCAACGGCGCATGCGCAGGTCGCGTTTTGCTGCTTCCGCGCATGCGTGTGATGTCATTTTGAGCATCTGCGCATGCGCAAGCGGCAAAACCTGGAAGTAACATGTTCCGTTACTTCCGGGTTGTCGCGGAGTGCAACTCAAACATGCTGAACCCAAAGCACATTCAACTCGAGGTATAACTGTAGTGGAAAGTGCCCATTTTGCATCACTGCCTGATAATGTTCTGTAGAGTGCCATGCCTTGAGTCCAATTTCCCTTGGAAGATCTAAATCATTGTTCTTCAACATTGGGTAGGTGAACTGCAATTCCCATTGTCCCTGACCATTAACTAAGCTGTCTGGGGATGTTGGGAATTGTAGTCCAAGAATGGATGGGAACCCAAGATTGGCAAACACGGACCTAAGCCAGTTTGGGCGGAACCACTGATCTAAGTGACCTTATGGGGTTTATGGAGGGTCAGGCGGTCATTCAGGTAGTAATACATCAGCTGATGTATCCCCCCCCATTTTTCTTCACAACAGGGTCACCCTGGCAAGGAAGGTCCACCTGGTGAGAAGGGAAGTCAGGTACGTATCTAGCCTACGGACAACCTTCAGCATGCTTGAATTGTGTTCCTTAGAATTGTGTAGTTAGAAGTGTGTGTATGAGGGGGAGTTTAAAGACTGGGACTCAATAATTAGTGAGATCAATATCTGAATGGAACACCCTCCCACAAGAAGCAGGGATGGCCACCAACCTAGATAGCTTTAAAAGAGGATCAGACAAATTCATGGAGGAAAGGGCTATTGGTAGCCACTAGCCCCAATGGCTTTGTTCTGCTTCCACAGCAGACTAAGGCAGCCTTCTGAGTAGAAAGGCCTGTTTCTCCCTCTCTCATTAAACTGGAACACATGAGCATAAGAATAATAGATTCTAAGAATAGAATCATAGGATCATAGAGTTGGAAGGGCCATCTAATCCAACCACCTTCAGTGCAGGAATGACAGCTAATGATGGAGTCCAACAACATCTGGAGGGCTACGAGTTCCGCACCCCTCCCTTAAGCAGAATGGATGGAGAGGTCTCCTAACAAGCCCCTACAGAGTGAAAGAACACAAGGGAGAAGAGGGAAGGGAGTCTTCCACTCACCCCTTTCCATTTTAAGGCTACAGGGAGGTGTCGCCTAGCCTTATAGCAACATAAAGGCCTCTCAGTAGTCTCTGTTGAGGCCATGGGTCTGTTTCCCTCCCTCTGCCAGCTGCTGCACCTTAGCACAAGCAGGTCACAGGGGGTTGGTCTAGATGACTCTTTGGACCCTTCCAACTCTATGATTCTATGGTTTAGCTCCCTCCTCTCCAGCATGAGGGTTGACCATAATTTAGAAAGCTTTGCTCAGGGACTTCAGTTATTTAGCTGGCCAGTCTCCACACCCCATCCATTTATTTCCAAAGTATTTCATTATGGGTGTGTGTTTGCTGAGCTGATTGAAGTTCAGAGCAGCCTTGCCTTGGGACTGAAAGAGAGAGAGAGAGCCATGAAGAAATTGCAGCTGCGACTTCACTCGGAGGGCGTCCTGTCCCCATCTTGGCTGCTCACAAGGACAGGAATCTGCAAAGCGTCTGCGCCCACAGAATCCTCAAGCAGGCTCATCCATCATGGAAGTCACTGGCAGGGCTGGAAGTCATTTAGCAAATGGCAGGCAGTCCGCAGGTGTCCCTGGGATGGGAGAGGCTGCCACATTCTCTGCAGATTGCAGGACAGGCTGTTTTGACCTCGGAGCAAAAGCTGCCCACCTAAGGCTGTTCTCGTTGACTTGGATATGAGATGATGGAGACACCTGGGGGGTGACGGTGTGGGCTGGTTGGGGGTGGAGAGGAGAGAGGCAGCAGGCACTTCCTTTCTTCAATCTGAGGGAGAACTGGAGCCAAAGTGGAAACCATGTCAATGTGTAAAAATATATATTTTCACATTGAATGGAGGGAGGGGAAGCAACGAGACTGGGGCATGAGGGGTGAGAAGCTACAGAAGTACACTGACACACACTCTTTGTCTGTCTGTTTCTCTCCCCCCCCCCCATTTTTTCACACACTCATACACACTTTCTCTCACACACCCTCTCACACACGTTTTATCTGCCACACACAGAGACTTTCACTCACTCAGTCATGCAAACTCCCACACACATCCACACACATCCACACACACACACCTGCCCAAAGGGGAAGAGAGTGTTACTGTGGGAAGCCTCTGTTGGTGCAGCAAATCAGCCTAAAATAATTCCTTAGGAACAAGAATGCAGAAGACAAATGCATAGCGCCACCAGAGCAGTTTCTTGTTTAAAAAAAGAACGCCCAGAATACTTTTAAAGGGGTCAGCGGGGACTTCTGTTGTTGAGAAATCATTAATTTATGAACTGTGCTTTTAAAACACCAACACCCACACCAACACCCACCCACACAACACAGCTGGAAATCAGTTTGAAAAGTGAATCATAGAGAGCTGTGTTGTGAACAAAATTCACAGAGATAGATTTCAAAGGGCCCTGGCTGAGTGGGTAGAGCTCCTGCCTTGCATGCAGAAGGTCCCAGTTTTAGTCCTCATTAGCATCGCAAGACATGGCAGAGAAACAAAACCGTAGAGAGGCACTGCCAGTGTAGGCGATACTGAATGGGAATAAGGCAGCTTCTTGTGTTGCTATTTAAATTAGCCCTTCAGAAAATTCAAAACTATGAGGACTAGAATCTTGCTTTATTTCTATGGGAAGGGACACAGATCAGCAGTAGAGCCCCTGTTTTATATGCAAACTGTCCCAGGTTCAATCCCCAATAGTATTTCTAGGTAGGGCAGGAACTCTCCTTTGTTTGGGATTCTGGAGAGCTGAAAGGATGTTTTCTCTGGGTGGGGTGAGAGAATGAGAATTACCACTGCTGAATAAAACCAGAAAAATCTCTTTTTGTTTTAATCGTAGGGTCCAGCTGGCCCCCAGGGCCCAATTGGATATCCTGGCCCTCGTGGTGTAAAGGTAAGAAAGTGGGGGGAAACAAACCTTTTGGTTCTGCTGAATAGAGAGATGCCCCTGGAAATCAAAACATTCCCCTTCTGACCGAAGTACAGAAGGTTGAATGAGCACTGGAAGAAATCTTTTGCGACCCGGGTGAAAAAAATGGGTGTTCCCGCCCCACGCATCATCACTACCATCTGGTCACATGACATGAGAATTGGTGCTGAGAAACTGGAGTTAAACAGGAGTGCTTGAAGATGCCTTGGCGATGCATTGCAGGTCTTGTCATAAAGACCTAGTTCACACCTAAGGAGAGCTTTGTTGAATTCGACCAATGGCCCATCTTAGTCCACCATTCCGTGGTGAAAAATGTGTCTCCAGGTATGGCTGGGAAAGACCTCTGCCTATAACCACCTACCTAAACAACAACAACAACACAAGGCCTTGAAAATTAAATTAGATTAATATTTTCTGTATTTTTTCCAGTTATTTCCTTTTAAAAACAGCAATCCTCTTAGCACAATGGTTGGTCTTTTGCTTGCCCAGCAAATAGGAATGTTTTCACAAAATGTTGTATCCTCAGCAAAGGCAACCCTAATGCCGCCCCCGCCCCCTGGCCTGGCCCCTATTTTTTAATTCATTTGGTTTATTTTTCTCTTGGTGAAAAGAGCAGACCGCCAATTGCTTACGAAAGAAGCTGCCTTCTGAGTGGGGGGAAGGGCACCCTTCCTCTGAACCGGCACAACGCATAATTTGATCTTCCTTTCCGTTTGATCAGAAATTTCTTTCCTGCCACCTGAGGGATGAGGCAAGCTCCTTGACGAGAGCTGATCGTGCAAAAAAGCAAAACAAAAACCCGAAGTCTCAATAAGAGAAAATGTCTTGGGTAAAAGCAAGAGAGTGCGTTGCAATGGTGTTGCAAACCAGCTTCTGGAAACCAAAGGAGGCAAGAGCTCTTGTGTTCGGATCCTGCTGGTTGTTTTCCTTTGGGGCATCAGGTGGGCCACTGAGAGGACAGGATGCTGGACTAGATGGGCCTTTGGCCTGATCCAGCAGGACTCTCCTTAGACAACTACTGTGATAGCAGAACCTCCATGCTCAGGGGCAGTCACCTTTTGAGTACCAGACAATGGGGGACACAACTGGAGAGGGCTCTTGCACTCAGGTCCTGCTTACGGGTTTGCCATTGATGCAACTGGTTGGCCATGGTGAGACCAGAAGGCTGGACTAGATGGGCCATTGGCCTGATCCAGCGTATGATGGGGTGCATCTGGTCAGCAGCAGGTATGTTCAAAAGCAGCTGGAAAGAGAACCTTTGGCCCTCCCAATGTTGCTGAATTCCAACTCTCATCAGCCTCAGAAGGTAGCATGGCCAATGGTCAGGGACAACCAAGGGTTGTAACCACCCAGAGTGGCTGGGACAACCTAGTCACATAGGTGGAGTACTCCTACTACAACTACCCAACTAAGTTTTGCACATTAATGCACCTGTTATTTTATTTAACAACATAAAATGCCCTAAAGGAAAGCCCTCAAGCATCCAAGCACCAGAGCATTCTCCACTCCTTTGGTTTCCACAACTGGTACTCAGAAGCGTTTGCTACCTTTGACCATGGAGGTGAAGCATAGCCATTGTGGTTACTAGCCATTGATAGCCTTATCCTCCATGAGAGAAGTTGAGAAATAGCAGCTCTTGCATAGGGTGGCCACAGGAGAGGAGAGGGCTCTTATGCTCAGGTGCTGCTTAAGGGCTTCCTACAGATTTCTGCTTGGCCACTGTAAGAAGAGGATGCTGGACTAGATGGGCCATTGGCCTGATCCATCTTCAGGGATCTTCTTAGGTTCTTAAGATGGGCAGCACTCTGCACTGCATTTTGATATTACAGTGGTGCCCCGCAAGACGAATGCCTCGCAAGACGAAAAACTCGCTAGACGAAAGGGTTTTCCGTTTTTTGAGTCGTTCCGCAAGACGAATTTCCCTATGGGCTTGCGAGTTTGTTTCCTTTTTCTTAAAGCCGTTAAGCCGTTAATAGCCGCTAAGCCGCTAAGCAGTTAATAGCCGCTAATAGCCGCTAAGCCGCTAATAGCCGTGCTTCGCAAGACGAAAAAACTGCAAGACGAAGAGACTAGCGGAACGGATTAATTTTGTCTTGCGAGGCACCACTGTATTATTATTTTTTTAAAAAAACAACATATGTATGCAACAGTACCTTAGAGCTCCTATTACTAATGCATCTCATCCACTTAAAGAAATAAGACCAAGGATTTGAAACTTTGGAATCCAGGAAGAATAATTTCTGACCGACTGATCCTTTTTCCTCCCACTGGACTCTTCCAAGGAACGGCAGATGCCTCCTTCCTGTCTGCTATTGGCTTGATGATGCTCCCTAGACAGAGCCCCTTCTTGCAGCCTTTGCCTTCCTCACCTTTCTTGGCGCCGCAACAGCCAGCTAAGAATTTTGTAGGCTTTCAAATCTATTAATATTGACTACATTCTATGCCAAGCAAGCTCCCCACTCCCACCCCTCAAGCCAATCCCTAGAGAAGCTGGCAAGATGTTGAAATACATGTTAAAATGTACACTGAGCCTGCCTGTGGATGAGATTCCAAAGCGCTCTCTCTCTCCTTCTCCCTCCCTCCCCGCCCCTCTTTCTTGGGCCTCTACCCAAAGGGCACAAGAAACATCAAGTAGGCATTAGTTGGAGTAGTGATAGGAATTGGCTGCCAATTCAGCCAACAGGGGTTGTATCAAAGTCTTTTGGGCCATGGTTCAATGGCAGAGCAACTGTTTTGCGTGCAGGTCCCAGGTTCAATCCCCAACGGCATCTTCAGGTAAGCCTGGGAAACACCTCCTGCCTGAAACCATGGAGAGCTTATGCCTGTCAGCAGGGGTAAATCTTTCACGCGGCTCAAAGACCCACCTTTGCACATTTGCACGCACACACACAGGCTGAGAGCCTCAATGGCGGCCCTCTGGAGATTTCACCTGGGGCAAAAAACCTGGCTACACACAGAGAGAGAGCTATGGCTCTGCCTGTCCGTCTAGACAACACTGAATTAGATGGATCAGAGCTCTGCCTGTCTGTGTAGACAACACTGAGATAGATGGAGCAGAGGATCTGACTTGATATAAGATGGCCTACAGCTTCCCATTTAATTCAGAACCATGAGGACTAGAATACTTTATGTTTAGGAAAAGGTCCATAGCCCAGTGGTAGAACATGTGCTTTATATGCAGAAGGTCCTGTATTTAATCCCCAAGTGCTTTGCTAGGTAGGGTTTGGAATGTCCCTTGCTTGAAATCTTGGATAGCCACTGCTGCCAGTCAGTGATGACAATGCAAAGCTAGATGTGCCACTGGCCTCATTTGGTATGGACCTTAGTTGCAACTGGCAGCCAAATAAACAAGGATTCTCTTACCTTTGTAGTGTTTGCTTGATTCTAATGGCAGGCATGACACATTTGTGCCACAAGAGGGGGCTTGGCCAATTGAGTCTCCCCCAACTTCTCCTTAATGCAAGTCTCTTTGATCTGCCTTAGAGAGAGAGGTGTAAATTATGAGTGGAAGAAACTCACCTACCTAATACAGATCACAGCTTGAACCCCCTTTTTCTTATTATTATATTAAATAAAGGGGTTAAATAATTCAGAAAGAGAAAAGTGTTTAAAAGAATCTGTATGTACAATGGAGATGGCTAAGGAGGTTTCCTCTTAGCTATGGGAGCAGCCTCAGATTCTGGCTTCAAATCTTGGAAGAAAGGCTGGCTAAGGGCAGCAGGAGAAACTGGAGGCAGGAGAGAGGAGGCAGCAGGAGAGGGGGCAGGGGGGGGAATCTGCCTCCCCCATCAAGTAAATAAAAATACATATACTTAACTAAGAATAGAAATTGTATAAAGGTATTTGACAGATTTTTCTGAGCACTTAGGGTCAAAAGAAAGTAATTTAAAACAACTGTTGTTGAGACAATTCATTTTGAATTTGCCAGACAGCCAGACAGAGGATGATGACAGGTGGGTGTCCTGCCCCCCCCCCGCCCCAAATCCTGGCTATACCCATGGGAGGGAGTGCAATCCTCTGGTTCCCAATTTACTCATTATAAATCCCGTGATTCCCAGTCTTCTCATTTTAAATATCATGTCTCCCGATCTTCTATTTTAAATCCTGAGGTTCCCAGTCTTCTATTGTGTGGACTGTTCTTTGTAGTTCATGGAAATCTTTAATAAAAAATTATTTCAAAAAACAAACAACCTGCCACTTGCTTAGTTCCTAACTGCTGTTAATTTGTTTTGTTCTTCAGTTTGCATTTGCCTTGTTTTTAGGTCACATTTTTCTCATATTTTGCATCTGGCCAATTATTATTTATTATTTATTTATGTCATACGAATTATACGCCATTTGATCGTTAAAAATACCCTCAAAGTAGATTAGAAAAAGATAAAACAAGAAAACCGGGGGGGGGGATCACAGCCATACTTTTGTATGTTTTAAAGTGCGGTTGTGAATTTTTCTTGATTTTATTTTTTAGTATTATTGATTTTATTGTTTAGTATTACTATACTAAAACATATTAAAAATCCCCTGAGCTTCCTAAGCAAATTGGTAAGTGAAGTAGCACAAGTACCCTTATATTGCTCTAGACACAAAGTAAGAACAGGAGTGCCTAATCTTAAATTATATTCTAATACATTTCAGGTTAAAAAAATAATGCATATTCTTAATGATTCACTGGAGATCCCGTGGGTTCAAGTAGAATCATTCTGCACCCTTCCTTCAATTAATGCTCTGCCTTTAAAAAATCTTCCTTGGGTACAGATTGGGAAAATATACAGCCCGTTTCTTCAACTGACTTTTAGGGCATCTTTTTTTCCAAAAGACCAAGCCCTTCCTGTCTCTGCGTGTGAATGTTGGCTTCTCTTGATGTGTGTTTTCAGCAGCTGAAATATTGCCCAATATGTTTTATTGTGTTGTGTTATCTTGGATACTTTTAGTTGTATCCTACTCATAGTAGAAAGGGACGCGGGTGGCACTGTGGGTAAAAGCCTCAGCGCCTAGGACTTGCAGATCGAAAGGTCGGCGGTTCGAATCCCCGCGGCGGGGTGCGCTCCCGTTGCTCAGTCCCAGCGCCTGCCAATCTAGCAGTTCGAAAGCCCCCCCGGGTGCAAGTAGATAAATAGGGACCGCTTACTGGCGGGAAGGTAAACGGTGTTTCCGTGTGCTGCGCTGGCTCGCCAGATGCAGCTTTGTCACGCTGGCCACGTGAGCTTGGAAGTGTCTCCGGACAGCGCTGGCCCCTGGCCTCTTAAGTGAGATGGGCGCACAACCCCAGAGTCTGTCAAGACTGGCCCATACGGGCAGGGGTACCTTTACCTTTACCTTTACTCATAGTAGAACCGTTGATTTTGCTGTCGCTTTCCATGAAATTGACTATCTCTTTCAGCTACCCTGTAGATGTGTAGATAATTTATTACGGTCAAAGACCAGCTCGCATAATAATAATAATAATAATAATAATAATAATAATAATAATAATAATTTATTATTTATACCCCGCCCATCTGGCTGAGTTTCCCCAGCCACTCTGGGAGGCTCCCAATCAGTGTTAAAAACAGTACAGCGTTACATATTAAAAACTTCCCTGAACAAGGCTGCCTTAAGATGCATAACACAATAAAAACAGCGTTCATAAAGATAAAATATACAATTAGAGCAGTTTACCCTGTAGCCTGATGCTATATGAAGAGAATGTCAAATTCATGTCAAATACTTCCTCCTCTTCATGGCAGAGGACCATAGCTCAGTGGCAGAGCATATGCTTTGCATGCAGAAAGTCTCAGTTTCAATCCCCAGCCTCTCTACCTAGGGCTGGGAATGCCCTCTGTCTGTAAACCTAGAGAGCCAGTCTGTGTAGACAACACTACACTAGATGGACCAATGGACTGACTCAGTAGAAGGCAGCTTCCTATGTTCATCAGAAGCACCCACAGCTAATCAATAGAGCAGCTGCCTTGCATGTAGGTTCCAGTTTCAATACCTGGCACCTGCAGATTGGGCTGGGAAACCCTGGAGAGCTACAGCCAGTTAGTGTGAATAGTACTGAGCTAGAAGAAGGTAGCTTCCTGTTAAATTCAGCTGTTCACAGCCAGTAGTGGTGTAGTGGTTAGAGAGCCTAGGAGACCAGGGCTCAGATCCCCACTTAGCCACGCAGCTCACTAAGTGCCCTTGGGCCAGTCACTGCCTCTCAGTCTAAGCCATCTCACAGGGTTGTCTTGGAGATTAAATGAAGACAGTGAGAACATTGTATTCTAGCTTGAGCTTCTTGGGAAGAAAAGGTGGGGTAGAAATGCAGTAAATAATTAAACTTTGAGAACTAGAATCTTAATATATATATTTTTAGGCACAGGGGTCAGCAAACTTTTCCAGCAGGGGGCCGGTCCACTGTCCCTCAGACCTTGGAGGGGGCCGGACTATATTTTGAAGGGGGAAAAAGGAATGAATTCCTATGCCCCACAAATAACCCAGAGATGCATTTTAAATAAAAGCACACATTCTACGCATGTAAAAACAACAGGCAGCCCCACAAATAACCCAGAGATGCATTTTAAATAAAAGGACACATTCTACTCATGTAAAAACACACTGATTCCAGGACCATCCGTGGGTGGGATTTAGAAGGCGATTGGGCTGGATCCGGCCCCCGGGTCTTAGTTTGCCTACTCATGTTTTAGGGGAATGGCCTTCGTTCAGTGGGAGCAGTTCCGTAGTTCAATCTTTGACATCCCCAGGTGCAATTGGGAATTTCCATTGTCTGAAACCTCTGGGAGTGTAAACCATCCTGAGCAAGAAAGGACAATGTTTTGACACCATATAAGGCAGCTTCCTGTGTTCACTAGGAGTTTTAAACCATCACTAATGAACAAGTCATGTTTCTTGCCCCACCTCCATTCTCTCTGTGCCAGACTTTACTAATTTATTTTGATGTTGTTTCTCTCCCCCTCCCCACCCCCACAAAGGGAGCTGACGGCATCCGTGGCTTGAAAGGAACCAAGGGGGAGAAGGTGAGTAAATGACCATTAGTTAAATGACACTCTCTCTAGGAAATGGACCACAGAAGGCTGGCCATAGCAGAATGTGGCCCTCATGCCAAAAAAAGCTTCCCCATCCCTGATTGACAGTCTTTCCTATTCCTTGGTAACAAAAAAACAAACCCAAATTGTGGAGGAGGGGGAACTTCTGCAATGCCTGTATCCCTAAATGCAGATATCTGTGATTAATTTGCATGATAACCCTCGATGCAGAATTTCCTTGCTATGGAACCTGGAGGTCTTAACACACAGAGGTTTCCTTTCATATTTTCTCTTTGCAGAGCGGAAACCACACACACACACACACACACACACACCGATGCGACAGTCCCAATTACAGCTATAGATGTTTCTGAGTGATGCCGTTTGCAGAACGAGCTTAGGAGATTCCCTGGGAATTTGGCATGTGCAAAGGACTTAACAGCCAGAGGCAGCAGCAGCAGCATCTATTAAAATGCTGTGTTTAAAGGCTTTTTTGACAAGGAGGCTTTCTGTATATTTTCAGGTACACGGTTATGTTCTCCCGAAGGATGAGCAGAGGCTGTGTAATATTCCAGCCTGGTCCAAGCTTTAAATCCCCCTCACTTTCCCCTTTGTTCATGCCCATAGTCCATCACAGGGAAATCTGACAATTATAAGCAGGAAGCCCAGCTACCAGCAGCCTCCTCAACCCCCCCCCCATGTTGTTTTTTCATTACCACATCCACATTTTAGCACCTGACAGGCTTGCTTTAGGACTTGATACACTATCGATTGGAAGTCTGCGGTTAAAACCTGGAAGAAATATTAGTGCTGTCCTCGAGCTCTCTCTGAAAAGACTGGCGTGAGATGGCCTCGATGAAAATAATTTGTTGCTGGAGTGCCGGCAAGTTCCTGGTATTTATATCAGTTGAACTGACAGTCCTGCCTTCAGCAGCTTGAACAGACAGAGGGCACCCCTGGGTTTTTTAGTTGGGGGGGTAGGCAATGGTAGGGAGCCTTCGACAAGGTTCCTACACAGAAATTGATCGGATATATTGTTCAGGCCAAAGGTTTCCCTCTGAGAAAACATAGCCTTACACTACAGAAGCTTATTTCTGGGAGGTGGGAGAGTGAGGAGGGGCACATTGCTATGTTGTTGCTGTTTTTTTTAATCACCACAGTACTAGCTGGTCCTCCTTTGCCCCAGGCAGGACCTGGTTGCTGTGGAAACGAGGCCTTCCTTTCTTCCCACTGGACCGAAATATTACCTGCCTTACCTCTGTGTGGGAGATAAAAGCCTCTTTGAGGAGATGGGGGGCAGAGAATCACTTCTCCTGAGAAGAGGGTTTAATAAAAAGAACATTGGGGTTCCTTAGTAGCTTACTGTGGGTCTTCAGGAAGGAAATCTGTGCTACAGGGCAGGCATCCCTAGTAGACAAGCTGTTTCCTAAAAGCAACATGGGCTGTTGAGGTGGAGGGAAGATTGAAGATCAGGAGTAGGTAATATGATACATCTCCCCAAAACTGCAGCACCTCCCATTAACCCCAGTGGTAAGGAATGATGTGAATTGTAGTCTTTAATGTGAGATCCTGTGTGCTGCAGTAGTTACAGCGTTGAGTTAGGACCTTGGAGAATAGGGTTCAAATACTTAGTGATGAAACTTACTGGGTGACCTTGGGGCTAGCCATAGTGTCTGAGCTCCCTTGGTTGTGGAGGGCATAGATAAATCTGAGATGTAGGGGGAGGGTTATGATGTCCATCACTACAATGGAGGATTCCTTGAATAGAAGTGTGAAGTGCCATTTCAATCCTTTCCTCTATCCTTTAACTGTGGAGAACCCTCAAATATGACTTGCAAACTTCAGTTGATCCAAAATGCAGTGGCCAGATTCCTGGTGGGGATTCCATTTAGATCTCTCACAACCCCTGTTTTGAAACAGCTGCATTGGCACACTCCTCCATTGTCTCCAACCCATAACTATGTGCCAGTTCATTTCCAGGTCCAATGAAAGGTGCTCACACTGATATTTAAAGCCCTAAACGACTTAAGCCCCAAATATCTGAAAGGCATCTTCCTTTCCTACAGACCCTCTCAGGTGCTGAGATCAGCAGATCTCTTGGTAGTTCCTCCACTCTCAGTTGCTGGGGGTGGGGTGGCCCAAGGGAGGCACCTTTTCTGTGGTGGCCTCTAAGCCATGGAAGTCCCACCCCACAGAGGTGTGCCTGGCACCTTCATTGCACAGCTTCTGGAGGATGCTGAAGATGCACCTCTTTTCCCTGCCTTTTGGCACCTGAGGTGTATATTTTTAGGGTCCACCTTACTTTTGTAAGTCATTTTAAATTGTTCTTAATATTGTATTTTAAAGTTGTCACCTGTTATGGGACCTTGGGGTGAAGAACGGGCAATTAATCATAATGATGATAATGATTTGTCCTCATCCAGGGTGAAGATGGCTTCCCAGGTTTCAAGGGCGACATGGGCATCAAAGGAGACAGGGTGAGTTTTTTTGTAAACATGGTCTTCAAAGCTGGTCGTGATACTGAGGTTGCCACTGGGAGTAGATCCCAGAGCTGCTACCCTAGAATAACCCCTTCTGCCTGCAAGAACGAGGCATTCTAGAGTGTTTCAAAGACATAAGCTTTCACTTCCTGCCTTCTTCTGAAATTCATCTGAAGGTATACAGATCCTCTGGGAAGGGACAGTTTTTCTCTAGACAGTGACAGAATCTGACACTCCCTTCTTCAGACAAGGCCTGAAAGTTGGGGAATAGGAAGTATGTTTTGTTGCTGTGACTTTCACATAACTTATGTTAACTTATAGCAGGGCAGTCCAGGAACTGCAGGCAGTTGAAGATGGGATCTCCAGTCATGGGGCAGGGATATATGGATTCATTGGCTCTTTCGGCTTGCTAGCAGTATAGGATCTGCTGGGGGAAGGGTCCTCATCTATTTGCTCCTTCTCCTCCTCCTCCTCTTTGGAGACCTCAGTTTCCAGGTCTGGGCAGGGCTGAAAACTGACACCTTGGTAGTTCATTGCCAAAGCACACTTGGTAGGGATGTGGGAGAGGGCCTTCCCAGTGGCAGCTCTCAAACTTTGGAATTCCTTCTCTAGAAAAGCCAGACTGGCTTCCTCAGTGCTGTCCTTCCACCACCAGTGAAGACCATTTTATTCCAACAGGCCTTTGGGAAGTGACTGTTTTTAAAGGAACAGGCTCTTAATAGGGCTGTGCGGTCTTTTATTATATGCATTTTAATAGATATTTTTATATTGTTTTAATTGTGTTAAAGTTTAATTACTGCTTGATTATGATATTTGCTTTTTACGCTTTTTGTATTTTATATGTGTTTTGTATTTTTATCTGTAAGCTGACTTGAGTTCTGCTCTGGAAAAATGTTGGGATGTTGTTGTTGTTGTTTTGCAATTCTGTTTAACATCACCCTTAAAAATTAACCTACAGCTTAATGGTGAGTGTGAGATGGGCTTTGTAAAGGATCAATAAATTCATCTCTTTTCTGATTCTTGACAGGGGGAAATTGGACCCCCAGGTCCACGAGGCGAAGATGGCCCTGAAGGACCAAAGGGTCGTGGAGGCCCCAACGGCGACCCTGGTCCTCTGGGCCCTGCAGGAGAAAAAGTAAGAGCACTATGTGAATGGTATTGGGGAGCATGTGATGAGTTATGATAGAGCAGAGCTTGCCAGACTTTTCATGTTGGTGGCACACTTTTTAGACATGCATCATTTCGCAACACTGTAGTCCAGTTTTACTAGCAAACCAGAGGTTAAACTAACCCCTTTCCAGCTCTGGGAGGAGTGTGGGGAGCGTTCGCATGGCACTCCTATGACACGCATAGGAAAGCTCTGTGATAGGGTTTTGAACAGTCAGAATTTAGGATTTATTCTACAGCATCTATGTCTGTTCCAATCAGACTTCCTGCTAGTTAAGAGATTTGCGTGTTCAGACCTAGAAACCTCCCCCCTAAATAAATTCACACTTTACTCAAATTTTGGTTTTTGGCAGAATTTAGGCCACAACTTTATTGATTACAGAAAGTGATTGGTTGCATAGGCTCTGGTTCGACTAGCTCCCTGCCATGCAGGTAGTGCTGACCCAGGGTTCCAGCATAGGTCAGCCGAGGGTGAACACCTGGATAAGCGGAAAGCCGGGAACAGGCTGTCTCCACCACCCAAATGTCCCCCTGGACTCAGGCACAGACACAACTCCCTCTCTGGGTTGGCCACACCATCGAGTCCCTGGATTCCTTTAACGGAATACCTTTCACATAGGAATGGTGAGAGCGTTCTCCCATCCCTATCACCTGAGCCAGAGCCTATCCGCAACCTTGCAAGTTGTGACGATTTGCTACGGAGCAGGCAGAACCCAAATGTCAACAGCCAATCAGCCAAGTGAGAGAAATTCCTGCCATGCCCCTGTCCCAACAACAGATGACACACGACGGCATAGCATGGTCAAGTGCAAAACCCTAAAAGTAGGGAGAGGTGGGTGAGTGTTCCGAATGCACACGCCGAAAGAGGAAGCTCTGGGTCACATGCATGGGTATAAATAGGCCTCTCGAACCGTTTGGATTGCGTCCCATTGACCAGTTTGCACCCAGCTACGAGGGACCTTCCAATCAGGTGTTGTGGCTGACCAATCGTACCCACCCACAACACAGGGTGTCGGTTTCCAGGTCTCACCGCAATACGTGCCCTCTTTAAGGGAGGACCCGATATACCAAATACTACCTGGATCGTTTTACTGGTGCCACTGGTAGTGTCTTGTTCAAGCAGAACTCTCTAGGTTTAGGAGACCAGGGGTGGATCAAAACCTATTCTGTTATTACTGTTACTATTTCTTGGATTACCCTGGAACCATGAAGTCGGGTAGAGAAAGGGCTGCCCATCATTCACCCATCCAATGCTGGCCTAGTCTTCATTTTGGATCATGTCCCAAAGCTAGGGATTCCTTCCCACCCCAAAAATACTTGAGCTGTGTCACAGTTTTAGTCAAAGCAAATGAACTGAAACTAGCAAACCAAGGTTAGTCAGGTTTTTTTTAATTTTAATGGGTCTATTTGTCCTACTCAGAGCAGACCCATTGAAATTAATGGCTCTAAGGCAGTCATGTCCATTAAATTCAGTGGATCTACTCTGAGCAAGGCTTGCACTGGGTACAACCTCACCACCCTGTTCTGAATAAGACGAATGATAGATACAAGTCCGTTTTTGGTATTGTGTAAGCATAAAGGTTAATTCTGGAGTTAAGTTAAATATAGAGTTCCCCAAATAAAACCTGTTCTCTTCATTTCTTAAATATTGATTTGTTTTTACAGGGCAAGCTTGGCGTTCCTGGGTTACCGGGATATCCTGGGAGACTTGGCCCCAAGGTAAGCCTTGTTTTGTTTGTGGAGGATTATCTGTTTGGGATGCTCATATTAGTTTCAGAGATTGCTATACCTCTAGGAAGAAGGTCTTGTATCTGAGAGATGCCTCTCTTCTCAAGTTTCCTTTTAAATTGTCCTTATTTATCCTCCTGTCGGAATGATGTATGGTCTAGCAGTGGAGCCAATGGTGAGAGTTTGGGGGCCAGAACTGAGTCCTAGTCCCTCCATTCCAGCAACCTTTAAAAATGGAGTATGGATCTTTCTCCACTCTGTCCAGGATAGTTTTAGGAAAGGAAGTGCCTCTACTGATGGTGAAGGGGGAGGGGCCTCAATGTGCACCCATGGAATGTCATTTTGTTCCCTAATCAAGGGGATCTGAGATTTAATCTGAAATGCTCCAAGACGTCCCTTATTATGACATTTCATAATTTATTCTAGATTTTCCCCCTGAATGAGACAAATAGAATTAGCTTTCATTGCCATTTTTAAGCAGAGAAGAGAGAATACAGATGAGCAAAACCTGAAAAAAAATATGAGAACTTTAGAAGAATAGACATTTTAATCACAGCTATCCTGCCAAGCCAACTGAGATTTGAATGCTTCCATTTCACCAATTCTTGGGAAAGATCTTTGAGCGAGTTTTATAGTTTCTGCAGCTAAGCTGCTTAAGATTTGATGTTAAATTAATGCCAATATATTTAAAGGCACCGTGAGCAATACTAAATTCTGATTGTGATATTAGTTGTTCAAAAGTCATCGTGGGTAAGTTAATTGGAAGAATGGCAGATTTTGCATAATTTATTTCCAGTCCCACAGCTGCATGAAATGCATTCAATTGTGTTTTGAGTGGTTGGAGTGCATTAAGAGAGTCAGAAAATTAACCAGTGTCATCAGTGAACATACTGATTTTGTGCTCAATATTTCTCATTTTTACACCCTAAATAGTTGCATCTGCCCGCAAATGAATGGCAAGAACCTCTATCACCACTACAAAGAGCAGTGGTGACCTTGACAAGTGCCCCTATTGAGGTGGATGGGTTTGGTGTCATACCCATTTACTGTAATGATGATGTTAGACTGTAGGTAAAATTGATTGATCATATGCAGGAATTGCTTACCAAATTGTCATTTAGATAATAAATATTTTTTAAAGTGCCATTGAATTCTGTCAAAGACTTTGAAGGCATCGAGAGAAATTAAAGTTCCAGAGGAGTTTTGTGTGTGGAGCTCATGAATAACAATAAGGATTCTCCTTACTGAGTCTAATATATTCCTGTATGGTATAGAGCCAGTTTGGCCGGTTGAAATATGTTGTCCAATAAAATTATTAATCTTTTCAGCCATTACTGCCGTGAAAAGTTTTGCATCAACGTTAATAAGAGCAATAGGTCTATAAGAGTCCCTGGTTTCAGCAATAGGGTCAGTTCTGATGTTCACCGTGTTTGGGGAATTTCACTTCAATCTAAAATGGAACTAAATAGTCTAATTTACCAGAGTGAGAGCTCCATTTCAAATGCCTTATAACAGGCATAGGCAAACTCCGGCCCTCCAGATGTTTTGGAACTACAATTTCCATCATCCCTAGCTAACAGGACCAGTGGTCAGGGATGGTGGGAATTGAAGTCTCAAAACATCTGGAGGGTCGGAGTTTGCCTGTGCCTGCCTTATAATATTCCCCTGAGGAGCCTTCTGGTCCTGGTGATTTGCCCAATGTTAGTCTTTTTATTGCTTCCTGTACTTCCTATTGGGATATTGGTTGATTCAAATAATCCCTGTGTACCTCCAACAAAAGGCACACTTGAGAGAGATAAAGTTCTAGAGAGGATTGTGAAGGATTGTCGGGATGAGTACAGGGAAGTATAATGGTTTTGGAAGATTTTACCAATTGCCAAAGTATCAATGGCCCTTCCTGGAGGCTTTCGTCAAACACCGGACTATCATAATTGGTATGATACAGAACCAACCTTGCCAAACATGCAACCTTTAGCTGCCCTGGGAGCAGAAAGCTCCACTTGTGCGGAATCACATGAGCAGTAGAGATCTGCCACACAAATGCCCAGGCAAACACAGGAGCAAGCAGGGGCCATCAGCTTTACTCCAAGCCTTCCATTCCCATGACGGGATGATAAACACAAATACAAGTACCTTAAATATTTTGACACTGGATAACTGCACTCTTGATAGATGAATAAAACAGATAGTATTGTGATCAAGCATGTGGTGTCCTGTTTTTCTTGTTTATCTTGACGTTCCAGGGGAGATTGCCTTTTCCTAAGTTGTGGGAGGGCACCGTCAGCTACGTTAACCGATGTTGAAAGTTGAAGATCTTTTAGCATATTTTCAGCTGGTTGGTTGTCACCCAGCACACACTGTCTGTGCTGAGCTATTAATATTGAAAGGAAAGCCTCAATGGTAGGCAATGCCAGCCTCCTTCAGGGCAGCTGTATAAGGGCAAAAATCTTGTTGCTGGGCGAGAGTGACCAGACCAGATTGATTTCTTGAAATATGGCAGTGCTGGATTCTTCATATTTTAAGCCCCTGATGTTACAGAGTGCTTTAAATGTTGTAAAGTCTATAATGCTTAAAGCAGATGACAATATTACGCGAGGCTTCACCCATTTTGCTTCGGCCTCCAGGGACTCTGTGTGCCCTCTCCACATCTGCTATTGACATGGTGGTATTTATATTCAAAGTAAGTATCCAATCCACCAAAAATTGAGCCACATCTCTCCTTTCCTGATTCTCTGGGTAGGCCTATGTTTTTGGGGGGAAATACATCTATTTCTGTCTGATTGTTCCTCGAGCTTCAGGGCACGATCCTCCATGGCCTTATGCATTAATTGTATTTCAGATTGATTAGTGGTTGCAAGATTCAGCACTACATTTGCACTTTGAGAGCTGGTTAATTAGAAAGGATTTTAAATTTATGTGAAAATGGTGCCAATGCTGTGGTCTAGTCACACGTTAGGGCATGGCAGATTCTGTCTATGTATAGTTACAGGTAGGTAGCCATGTTGGTCTGCCGTAGTCGAAACAAACAAACAAAATCCTTCCAATAGCACCTTAGAGACCAACTAATTTTGTTATTGGTATGAGCTTTCGTGTACATGCACACTTCTTCAGATACCTTCAGATACCTGTCTTCAGATACATATCTGTCTATGTAGGCATCTGAGTCTCTATTGGCCTGCATAACTGCTGCCACTTTTCTGCCATTTTGTGGGCAACCGTTCCCATTAGACATATCGGTGTCTGAGGCCTTGTCTGAGTCCTCAGATATTGAGCTTTGAGTTTGCTCAGACATTAGATCGAAATGTGTGGACTTGAGTTTAGATCCTCAAAATCCTTGAATCATTACTGTTCCCATGTGTTAATTTTTTTGCTGTTCCAAAGCCTATGGTTGTCCCTCAATGCGATTATCACCCTGTTGTGTTCAGAGATGTAAGATTATGCTGCCATTTAGATTTGCAGTTAGCTACGCCACCCCCCCACCCCCCAGTTTTAAACACAAAAGCAATTTTAAATAAACAGATCTTCAGAGCCTGCAAACCTTTTGCAAATCTCTAGGAAAATTTACGCTCATAATAAATGCCTCTTCAAGACGAGAGCTCGTAGCATTCAAGCTGCCTCATCAACCTTAAATTATTAAGCAGGGATGCTACTCCAGGCGCCAGGAGTGCACACGAGAGATCCGACAGGGTACCAGGGGAGTAAGGAATCAAAGCATCCCGGGTGATGCCGCTGTAGGCGCTCTGAGGAAACCCTTTGATGCCGGCATCGACTGCCTCCCTCTCTGTGCTTCCACTCCGAGCAGTCTTAAGGAGGAGAGCACCAAAGCCAGGCTCCCATATTACTCTCCATGCAAACTGTTAGATAATTAATTAAGGATAATGATTACAAAGGCAGTGCCACTGTAGCATAAAAGTGGTGGCCCCATTTCTAGGATAAAAGGGGGTGCCCACCCCATGCTCACTTTCATTTTGAGTGGGTGTCCACAAATTCTCTTTTTTAAGAAAATGAGAAATACCCTGTGCTTTGATTAGAAATCTCTCTCTCTCTCTCTCTCTCTCTCTCTCCCCCCCCCCCCGCCCCATATTTTATCACAGCCTCTAGAGATACTGTGTGTTTGGAGCAATGTTAATGTTGTTGTTTTTCTTTGATTTTTTTTAAAGCATGGTGTTTTATTATTTTTAATGCTTGACGGATGGGGGACAGATTTGTTTGATGTTTGAGACATAATTAACCAGGAAGATTCGTTCCTTGCCTGTATATATTTCACAGAATCATAAAATCATAGAGTTGGAAGGGACCCCAAGGCTTAGCTAGTCCAGCCCTCTGCAATGCAGGAATCAGAGCTAGATAATATTGTTTGTATCAGTCAAGTAATATTCCACATAGCACTTCCAGTGTCCTTTCAATGTGTTTCCTCATAACGGGGCAAAGTCACCTATCATGTTCTTCTCTGTGAAGATGACATTCGAAAAAAGCATCACCCATAGTTTTGACTACAACATTGGGCAATCTTTTGGGCCACCTCACCTCACCATGCCTTGCTCTGGGAGGACTCTACCATTTCCTTGTTTGTCCTGTTGCAATTGGATTCAATAACTTTTTTTCTTTTAATCATTTTCCTTTTATTTTGACAAAGTAATAATCATAAATAAATAAGAATAAAAATGTGCACCCCACCACCGAGACCATTCCATTGTAACTATAAAACCTCCCAAAATTTCAACACCTCTTGCGATGGTTTGTCCCCTTTCCGTTTTAACAGTACAAATTCTACAAACACCTTCCATATCTCCTCAGAATCATTTCTCCTGCATATTCCCAGTCTTACCTTAATGGCACATGTTAATTTAATGGCACATGTTAATTTATCATTAATAGCTATATCCCACACCTCTTTATACCATTCTTCCATTTTATATTCTGCTTTCCCCTTCAACTTCCTAGCTATAATAATTTGTGCAGCTATCAATAAATTTGTGAGCAAGTCCTTCATAGCCTGTGAACCTTCCACCCCATCGTAAATTAATAATAATGCTACCTCTGGACTTTCAGCTTTAACCCTGTGATTTTTGTTATCTCCTTAAAACGCCTTTGCCAAAGAAAGTGCACATATTTACAGCCCCACCACATGTGAACATAATTTCCTGTTTCCTGGATTCAATAATCTTGTTGTAGTGTTTTACTGATCACTATCTGATGCATTCTAGTGATTGTAAACTGCTTTGTGAGAAGATGGGTGCTGGGTAGAGCTGGTATGGTTTGTGGCTAGAGTGTCAGACTAGGACCAGGTAGACCAGGCTTCAAATCCCAACCAGGCCATGAAGCCCCCTGGGCCAGTCACTGCCTCTCAGACTAATCTACCTCACAGGGTTGTTGTGAGGATAAAATGGGGAGGAGGAGAACTATGTAAGTCAATATAAGAGTTTAAAACAAACAAAGGAATGGTCTTGGAAATTTCACTCTTTTTGACTTGTTAAGGGCCCCACAACAACTTCATTTCCTTCTCTTCTCCTGGAAGTGCGATTCTTTGGTCGCTAGGGTGCCTTGTGATGTTATTTTGGCAGCTACAGAATGTTCACAGTGACTTCCTTCACTCTCTTTCTCTCTCTTTTCTCTCCCTTCAGGGCTCCATTGGATTTCCAGGGTTTCCAGGAGCAAATGGTGAGAAAGGAGGAAGGGTAAGAGCCTTTTTTTCTTTTTATGCCAATGCTTGACTCATTCCTATTGCAGAATTGTAGAGTTGGAAGGCACCCCGTGGGTCATCTAGTGAAACCCACATCACTCTTTGCCCTGTTCCGAAGCCCCCATTTTTCCTCCAGTGCATGTTTATGACACCTGAGGATGGGGAAACCAAAGCGTAAGGGACGTGACAAGGATCCCTTGTGATTAGGATAACACTGATGGGCTGGTTAAAAGGCTTTGTGTTTATTTGTCCAAGTGCAAAGCAAACTCCATTTCCATCATTATGAGACCGACTGGCAGACGGGTGGGGGTGGGAGCTCTCATGTTCTTCAACAGCACCCATGTTACAATGAGAGAGCATGGACAGTGTTAAATTTCCCTTTTGCTCTCATTTAAATTCAAATTGCTTCTAACAGGCATGCTTGATCGGAATGCAGGAGGTATAAATTGCTTTTCAACATGTTAATATTGTGCCATCTAAATTTAGTTTACATAACTTGAGGACGGGAGGGGGGCCATGTACTTTCTGTCTCCCTCCCCCCAGCCCGCCTGCTCTTATTTTTCTGGTGCACAATTTTCATCCCTTGATTGTTAGCCACAAATCACTTCCCCACCCCACACCCCTAGCCCGCTTTAGGGGAGGCTTTTGGCAGCATTTCATTCCACTGAGTCGTGTCTTACGAAATGCCACCCTCTCCTTGCTGAATCATGGGACAAATTCAAATGCCATGCAGTGAGGAAAACTAGCAGTGAAAACACCACTCTACTGTAACTGTCTGAAGCCCAGCTCAGCTCATAGAATTACAAAGTTGGAAGAAACCCTGAGGGTCATCTAGTCAAATTTCCTGAAATACAGGAATCTTAACTATATAAGACATGACAGATGACCATCCAAACTCTTCTTAAAAACCTCCAAATGAAGGAGAGTCCACCACCTTCTGAGGGAGTCCATTCCACTGTCAAACAGCTCTTACCTTCAAAAAGTTATTCCTGATGTTTAATTAGAAACTCCTTTCTAGTAACTTGAATCCATTAGTTTTGGTCCTACCCTCTGGAGCAGGCGAGAACAAGCTTTATCCATCTTCCATTTGACAGCCCTTTAGATATTTGAAGATGGCTATCATATCTCCTCTAAGTCTCCTCTTTTTTAGGCTAAGCATACCCAACTCCCTCAACCGTTCCCCATAAAGCTTGGTTTCCAGACCCTGGATCATCTTGGTCACCCTCCTCTCATCTGTTGAAAATCAACAGAGTTCAAGATAGTAACATTTCATTTTGTCCTGGGTAGCATTTGACTGAACTGATATGATGGAGCAGAATGTTCATTAACATTCTGGTTGCTCAGAGTAGATTGCAAACATTTGCAATCCAGATAGGGGAAAAGATGGTGTCAGTTTGGCTGGGGGAGCCTATAACAGCCAGGAGACAAGAGGCAGGGGTGGGAGAAGCTGCAGGACTGGAGAGTGAAGAACAGGTACAGGAGGAGGGAGAGATCGGTCAGGCAAGTGTAAAGTCAAGGGCTTCCATACCTCCTCCACCTGCCCATATCTCTTCTACTCCACTGTCTCCTGGAACCAGAAAAGAATTGAAGCAATAGGAGCAGAAACAGGTTACACACAAGCAGAATCTTTGTCTGCCTGTGCGGAGCTTGGGTGGGGCCAACACATAAGCTGAGGTCAAGGGCAGGGCCTCTCTTTTGCCGCAGCTGCCTCATTGGGTGCATACCTAGAAGTAGCTGAGAGACATACGACTGATGGACATGCCTTTTCCTAACTTGCAAGTATAGTTTTGATGATAAAGAGTGAATTCCTCACTCGGGACATCCCATGCCTGAGAGTGCCATGACATCCAACCTCTGCTTGAGCACCTCCAATGAGGAAGAGTCCACCACCTTCCAAGGTACTCTGTCCCAAGTGATTTAAGGTCACCTCTTTTTTCTGGTTCTAGGGTACTCCTGGTAAACCTGGACCAAGAGGACAGCGGGGCCCCACGGTAAGCCACCCTGTCCCTTCCTGCTTCTTGGCTTCTCTGGGATTAGCTTCTGGGCCAGTTTCTGCATCATCAGACAGGTCACACCGTAACAAGTTTCCTTCCTTATCTTAAGGGTCCCAGAGGAGAACGTGGTCAGAGAGGCATCACCGGAAAACCAGGACCCAAGGTATTTGGGATTCCAGACACCCTCCCCCCAGATCTATGTTGTGTGCTCAAACTGATGTTTATGTCCTTTTGGCCTTGGTAGTGCTCTCATTCTAATGTCCTTATTTTTTCTTCATTAAAAGGGCAACTCTGGCGGTGATGGGCCCCCTGGTCCTCCAGGCGAAAGGGTAAGAAAAAAAACAGACTGAGACAGGAGCTTAGATGAGAGATAAACATGGACTTTTAGGCAGTAAGGGGCAACTTGATAGAAGTTCATAAAATGATGTCACAGCAGGAGGGAGAGAATAGAGAGAGGTTTCCCACCCACCTCTCCTGACACTGGAATTTGTGGACATTCAATGAAGCTGAATGTGGGAAGATTCAGGACAGAGGAAAGAAAGTCCTCCTTCACACAGTGAAACTAGGGTACTTGCTTCCGCAGTAGGCAGTGATAGCCACCAACCTAGATGGCTTTAAAATAGAATTCGACAAGTTCACGGAGGAGAAGGAGGTTATCAATGTCTGATAGCCATAGTGGCTATGCTCTGCCTCCATTGAGGGAGACAGTAACATTTCTAAACATCCATTTCTGGAAACCTCAGGAGGGGACAGGGGTCTTGTCCTTGAATTGTGCTTGCATGTTTCCCTTTAGGACAGGATGCTAGACTAGATGGGACATGGGCCTGTACCAGCAGGCTTTTCTTACGTTCTTATGAAGGGAAGTTGTAGTAGTAACAACAACAGAAGATCCTCTGATTGTTGGATCTTGAGGTTCTACCAAACCTGCCCCACCCCTTGCTCTAGAGCCCACCCCCAAGTGAGAGGCCAATTGCTTTAGCATCACCAGGTGGCAACACTAACTTTCTTGTGTTCTTTTGTCTCTAAGGGTCCTCCAGGGCCCCAAGGACCTACTGGCTTTCCTGGACCCAAAGGCCCTCCAGTAAGTACAACAAGGAGAGAAGTATCTGCCCTTGACCCACTAATGCACCCAGTAAACCAAAACAGAGCTTTAAAAACTACTACAAGACAACCCACTGGCTCGGATTCATCACACCTTGTATGTGAAGAAAATCTTGCTGGCTGTGTCCTCTTAGCATTTTCTTTCCTCCTCTAGGGCCCACCAGGAAAGGATGGGTTGCCAGGACATCCTGGGCAGAGAGGTGAAACTGTAAGTACACAGAGATATTCCCCATTCTGATAGGTACTTGATGTGTGGTTGTGTTCTGTGTATTTGTATGCTTTGCAGAGGATTCTTGGGCATGTTCCATTGCAGAATGAGAGTTCAACTTTCTGCTGGGGATATGTGTTGGAAGACCAACTGTGGCAGTCAAGATATCTTGGAAGGCCAACCATGGCATTCATTATATATTGTAAGACTAAACGTGGTCAAGATCTCTTGGCAGATAAACCATGGCACTCAAGATATATTGAAACACCAACCATAGCACTTAATAAATCTTTATGGGGCCTTGTCTGCCATTGCTGATCTTTTCATTGTGAGGAGCCACTGATAAACATCTAAGGGTCCCCCTAGACATTATTTGAAAATCAGTGGTAAGTACAACAGGCAACCCTATTCAGAAGGAATAAAAGGGGGACATTTCAGCAGTTTTCAGGGGACAATAAAATGAGTGGGGGAATGTGGACCATAGCACCATCATCAGTATTCCTTTGGTTGGGTTGTAGTCGGTTGCCACCATTCTTCTTTAAATGACAACTGAGAATTCCTGCCTCCTTGGGAACAGGAGTTTATGGCTTTACTCTTCTGCTAAGGTCCTGCTTGTGGGCTTCCCATTAGGGCATCTGTTAGGCCACTAAGTGAATAGGATGCAGAACTAGATGGACCACTGGCCTGATCTAGCAGGCTCCTCTTATGTTCTTAAAATTCCCTTTTTCTTCTTAGAGCTCATTCATCAGAGTCATACAGTCTAAACCAGCCTCCTCTGCTGAAAGCTGGTGCCCTTCTGATGTTTTGCACCCCAACTCTCATCCTTACCAGCCAATTGTGCTAGATTTGGGGGAGTTTTGGTGCAAACCATCAGTTCTGTTGCACTTGATTCACACACCTTCCAATCTGTGGAAAGTTTTGGTTCAGTAACAACCAAACTTTTGAACCTCATATAATCTGCTTTCCCATCTGATAACCTGCAAATATTCAGATACTCCTTCTGTCACCTTTCATTTCCCTATCGCTATCTCCTTCAGGATTTTATTTTTTTTATAATGTATATAAAACAGACAGAACAGTTATAGCAACAGATGAAAATGAAAACAAAATATGACAAACATAACTACAAAATAGGCACCTAGAGTGAGTCCACTTGCACATGGGTTAAAATAGCAAGGTCACTCTTAAGTAAAAACTATCAATATTATCTAATTATCAAGTCTAGTTCCAGATTTGCCAGGCTGGTGACAAGGCTGTCTTGAAAATGATGGCTCTATTGTATATGTCATGAATGCCAAATCATATTCAAAGTGTCTGGAGGTTCTGGTCCTTGTCGAAATTTAAAATTATGCATAATTTTATCCATTTTAGCTATATTCCAGAGTAAGTGGCACCAAGCATCCAGTGTCGGATTTTGCGCTGTTTTCCACTGAGTTGCAATTACTATTTGAACTGCCAATAATATAGAATCATAGAATTGCAGAGTTGGAAGGGACCTTGAGAGTCATCTGGTCAAACCCTTTGCAATGCAGGAATCTCAACTAAATCATACATGACAGTTGGCCATCCAATCTCTGCTTTTAAAAACCCCAATGGAGGAGTCTACCACCTTCTGAGTGAATTTGTTCTACTGTCATACATAAGACCAGTTCTTTTGACAATATATCTACATTGGTACCATCAAAAATATTCACTAAGGTTAATTTTGGACAACAAACAATAGTTTCTTTAGTAATACCTATCATTTCTGTCAAAATTAAATTCCAAGAATCTTGCACCAACTTACATTCCAAGCATAAATGATAATATGTATCAAGTCCTTTGGGATTTCTCCCTCTTTCTAAGATGATAAGAAAACTTATTTGGAGAAAATAAGCTAATCAATGTCAGCTGGATCATTATCTTGCATGATAAAAGATTAGCAATTTATTTAGCTATCCACTGCTCTTTTAAAACAGTAATTTCTTATTTACTTTTTTCAAACAGGGTTTCCAAGGCAAGACAGGTCCCCCTGGGCCTCCGGGAGTTGTCGGTCCTCAGGTAAGCACCCCCTCCCCACCCAGCCCAAACCACCCTATTCTCTTGCCAATTTCCTTCTCCCAACCTTACAGGGAGAGCTGCCAACTATCCAATTATCTAGCAATTAGTAGACCCTGTCGGATTAATGGCAGAGTTAATTCTGTAAGCCCATGTTTGTGTCTGCTTTCTGGGGTGTAAAAGTCGACTGCCTGGTAATTATTGTTTGGATATGCTAAAACGTAATTAGTGTAATCTTTGGAAACAGCATCGTTGCCAAGGCATTGTTAATGGAGTCAATGAGAAGTTTTGCGATGTTTGTTTTTCCTTTGTGAGGAGATGCAGGATTGGGACACTTAGGGATCTGCCCACACTCCCATTTGTCTCATGCTTTCTTATAATTTGCATCGGGTCAGTAGCACTGATCTGAAAGCTTATCATTTCTAAGCCCAATGCAGAAATGCGAAAACCGTTTTGTTTTTTACAAAAAATTGTTTTTTTTACAGAACAAACGAAATACCCTTTAAAACCCAATTAGAAATTGGTTGTTCTTCTGATCCATTCCTTTTTGGGGGGCTCCTGAATGGAAAAACCCACACTTTCCCTTGTGACACCTTGTGTAGGTGTTCCTCTTTGGCCTCCCCCCTTCTGTCTCCACCCATGCCTTGTGTAAAAATTTCCAGTTGTCTCAAGAGCCTCTTCATGTGCACTTCTGGTTCTCTGCCCTACACTATTATTTTTAACAAAAGGGTTCCCCTTTTGCGCTCATGTGGGCATTTCAAATATATGTGTACGTGTGTGTGAGCGAAAGCAGCTTCCCTTTCCAGTGCCAATAGTATCAGATGTGTGACCGCAATGCAAAAATGGGGAATAACAGGGGAATGTAAACCATCCACGTAGCCCCCCATTCCTTGGCTGCAGCAGCGGTCAGCACCCTGTGCTGTTGACACCTTAAATGTTTACATTATGGGCTATGTGAGTGGTCTTCCTTTAATATTAATCAAATTACAGTCTATTTTTAACTTGTTCTTGTTGGACTTCCTCTTGGGAGTTTCAGAGAAGTGGCAATATTTTTTTTTTTTTATTATTATTATTATTATTATTTTGCTTGTGAACATGGGCACAGAAACAAAATGGACTTCAAGAACCTCTGAAAAAGAGCAACAGTAAAGCAGGGCATGCACTGCAGTGCTGTGGCACAAGGGGGCAGAGAAAGGGGTGGTTAAGAAGGAAGAAAAGTGGAACAGCGATGGACAGGATATTGTGAGCTTCCACAGGTGCCTCCTTGAATAGTTGTGGAGGAAGGTGTGGCATGAGGACCCAGAATCCCAGACAAAACTTGTGGCAATACTAATCTGCACTGCAACAAGCAGTAGAAAACTTGGGACAAATGGAAAAGTGGATAGGCCCTTTCAGTGCTGTTGCTCCCTCTCCACCGGTCTGAGAGTGGCTAAGGGAGCAGAAAGGTCAGGACCACCAAGATGTACATAGATGTATTCATTCATTCAGTTGCAGATTGCATAACTATTTAAAACAATCCCAGTCCTTAGGCAGAATATACAAATATGCACAGACTTTTATAGATGTGAAAAGGTTGCAGCACTTGGGACTTACTTATTCTTGCTAAACCACAGAGCTTGATATACCTCTCAGATCAAGCTCCCTCTCTCCTGTTCCGGTATTTTTGCATGTCTTGTTCTTGCTTTCAGTGTCGTATGGAAAAGAAGTGTCTCCTTCTGTGCATTTAATTACTCTCTGCGCTTTCCTCGTAGGGTCCTACTGGGGAAACTGGTCCAATGGGTGAGCGTGGCCATCCAGGACCCCCTGGACCTCCAGGTGAACAAGGACTTCCTGGGTTAGCTGGAAAGGAAGGAACAAAGGTGAGTCTGTTTTGATGCAATCAAGGATTGAACCTGGGCGAGACCTTCTGCATTCAAAACAGATGCTCTACTTACCCCTGAGCTATAGCCCCTCCCCAGATAGGATTGGTCTGTATTGACCATAGGGGAGATCTTAATGATGTCCCCCATCAATATGATTTCTCTCTCTCTGTTAAATCAAGAAACTTTTTAAAAAATGGCCCAAGGAATAGGAATTGCTTTTTAAAAAATGCCTCTTGCTTTGTTGTTTTTTAAAATACATATTGTTTATTATTTTTACTTTGCTAATTTCTGTTCTTAACATTTGAATCCTCACATAATAAACAGAATGTTAACAACAAAACTTTTGTTTTTAAAAAAATCCAACTGTGCAAATAAGCAATGAGTTTCTCCTTCCAATTCTGAACCTTGAACCTTTCCTTGCAGGGTGACCCGGGTCCCGCTGGCCTTCCTGGAAAAGATGGTCCATCTGGTCTGAGAGGATTCCCAGGAGATAGGGGTCTTCCTGGTCCAATCGTAAGTAACAGGACTTACGTTGGAAGCATCACGGTGTGCCTTCTGCTAATTTCCCCCAAACAATTTTAATAGTTTCTGCATAGCAGTTTGAGTCTGAGATGACAGAAACATATAATTGGTGTACATCAATATGTTCCTTTTCTGTGAGCCTGGGAATGCTGGAAGGGTAGCTTTATTGGATGAGTGGACAATGATATCATTCACATATATGATAACCAAAAAAGGGGCCTGCAAGCCTTACACATTTGTTGACTGTACAGTTGACAGCTGACATTGTCTGTCGGCTCTAACTTACATTGTATTTCCAGTGCACAGGTTATTAATTATGGTCACCAGTCGACTATCCATCCCTAGCTTCCATAATTTGAGCCAGAGCATAGCTTTGTTGGTTATATCAAAGGCTGAGGTCAGATAGCCAAAAACATCATTTAAATATTTCTTGAGGGTGCCTGCATATTTCTCTCTTAAATGGTTTTTTAAAAAGCACTGGTACACAGTTGACTTCCCCTAACAAAAGCCTGATTGGTCATCTGCTAATTTTCCATTTGGGTGACCTTTCTCCTCTTTCTCTCCCATCTTCTTGCCTGCAGGGACCTGTGGGATTGAAGGGCAATGAAGGACCTCCTGGACCCCCAGGCCCAGCAGTAAGTACAAAACTTAGAATTGCCTCGAATCTTCACATTTGCCAACAGCCAAATTCTTCCACCTTAGAAACGCTGCAGACTGTTCAGTTCTTTGTTTGCTTATCTTCTAATCAAAGCAAATTGCTGCACCTAAACTGTGGCATCTGGTGTCTGGCCCTGGGTTCTTTGGTAGGACTGGATTTCCTGTATTAATTCTACATAAAGTGGGGTTCTATGCTTGTTTGAGAGCCAGCAGTATGTTGACCCATTAGGAAGCTGGAAGAGTAGCCCTTATGTAGAGGGTGTAACGAGGCTGTGATTTTGGTTTTGACCTGCATTTGTCACAATCACTGCTGTTTACATGCTGCTGCAGTTCAGTTTCTTCCCAATACTATGTTATTAGTCTCACTGTCCACTACTTAATGTAAGTTAGGTAACTTTTTACATCATGTAGGTAACAACAGACATTGATTTCAATGTAATGGAAACATCAGTATGATGTTTAAAAAGCCGTTATACATTGTTTAGGGATGTTAATTTTTCTATTTTGAGAACTAGTAGTTGTTAGAAGCATAAAAGCATAGAAAATTGTAGAATTAGAAGGATCCCTGAGGATCATTCTAGTCCAACCCCCTGCAATGCAGGAATATGCAATTGTCTCATACAGAGTTTGAACCTTCAATGCTCTGTTTACACAGTCAGAGGCAGTAATACTTTGAATAACAGTTGCTGGAAACCACAGGAAACAAGAGAGTGCTCTTTTGCTCAGGATTCTCACTGACATCTGGTTGGCCACTGTGAGAACAGGGAACTGGACTAGATGGTCACTGGCCTGATCCAGAAGAGATCTTCTTATGTTCTACCTCCACAGTTGGATGCAGTAATGCTTCTAAGTACCAGTTGCTGGAAGCCACAGGAGGGAAGAGTGCTCTTATGCTCTGGTCCCCATCCCCTCACTAAAGAGGGCTCCAGGTCTGCAAGCAGCCTGAAAGAGATCACTGAACCTGAAGTTAGCAAATGCTGTTCACACTCACATTATTTTTGATGGTTTCATAGCAGCCTTTGTCTTGTTGTTGAATGTCCACCAACCCTCTCTCCATCCTCTCATCCAGGGCTCTCCTGGTGAGCGAGGTCCTGCTGGCTCAGCCGGCCCCATCGGTCTGCCAGGGCGGCCTGGACCACAAGGGCCACCTGGCCCTGCTGGTGAGAAAGGGACCCCGGTAAGTCTTACATTCAGATCACAGTCAGTGGGTGGGGCTGGGGTAGTCTGATCCTGCAAGTGATGCAAGTGGTTAGTTAGAAGAATAGAATTTTAGACTTGGAATGAACTCCCTGCAATGCAGGAATCAAAGCTAAATTGTTTAGAATGGCAATATTTTTGTTAGGAATGTAACTCTGAGTTGAAAGGATCATGCCCTAAGTTCTGCTTGGTGTAGGCCAATGAGAATGAGCAGACCTGAGCGAGTGGATCTACTCTGAGTAATAATAATGATTTTATTATTTGTACCAGCACATACAAAAAATAATAAAACACTGAACATTAAAGAGAAACAGGACAGGGCCCATTGAACTCACAAATAATAGGCTACAGCACATGCAATCTCAGCAGAATTCAGCAAAATAGCCTGTAACATTGGGTTATATATTTATTTATTTTCATATCATTTATACACTGATTGATCCTAAAAAGACAACAGCCTCAAAATGAGCTTACAAAAAAAGACAAAACAGTAAGAAAAGATGAACGATAGTTTAAGGCTTTCAAAAAGTTAAAATCACAATAGGCTAAGCAAGATTAAAACTTGGATCAACCATCTAAACATGTAATGTGGTGAGATGCGTGGGGGAGAAGCTTCTGTGTGTGTGTGTGTGTGTGTGTGTGTGTGTTTTAAAGGTATGATAATTCAATAGGGAGCTTCCATGTTCAGTAGCAGTGTATCTCCTGGCTCCCAGTCACTGGGGATGTACCACTGGGCAGAATGGGTGGGTAGGTGTTGATGTTGATGACCCTTCTTACAGGAGAATATCATTATTATTCTTGCTTTCCTTTCCACTCCACTCTGGGCCATGATGATCTCCCTCTCTTCTTTCCCACCACACACAGCTTGTGACTTTCAGAGGCGTGGAAAACACAGCCTCAGTAAGGCCTTTTCCCTCCTGCCTGCCCGCCACCTTGAACTGTGTTGGCTTGGAGTTTTTGAAAGATGGCAGCCAGGCCTGAGGCACTAATCTCCCTCTCCGAGTTGTGTCGCAGACGTCTGCACCGTAGCATTTATATATGTAATGTTTTCAGAGAGCTGAAATGGGTAGTTTATCTGATGCCAGATTGGTTACTGCAGAGAGCGCCTGGAATTCAAGGGAGAGGATGAAGTGATGCTCTTGGAAAGGAGAGAAACATCAAACATTCATCCTGTTGCAGGCAGGGGGAGGGAGTGCAGGGCAACTACCTCTCTCTGCTCACACTCTAAATCTAGGCCTTCAAGTAAAGGAAATGCTTTGAAACAGCAACTCATAAGAATGATAAAGCCATAGAAGTCTAGAGTTGGAAAAGACCCAAAGGGCAATCTAGTCCAACCCTATGCAATGCAGAAATGACAACTGAAGAAGCTAAGCTAATTTCAAAGTTTGCAGTATTTCTTCTCCAGTCAATACGAAGCATCAGTGACATTTGAAGCTAAAAGTCTGCCCACTGAAATATAGCACCTCGGCTAGGATGTACGGCGGAATATTTCCACTGCAGAAGGCTTCAGCCCAGTGGCAGAGCATCTGCTTTTCACGCAGAATGTCCCACTTTCAATCCCCACTTGTAAGGCTGGGAACACCCCCTGCCTGGAACCCTGAAGACTGCCTGCGGTCAGTCAGTGTAGACAATCCTGAGCCAGACGGACCAGCAGTCTGAGTAAGGCAGCTTCCTATATTCCAAATTAATTCAGCCTTTTCTTGAGAACTGTAAGGACTAAAACCTTACTTTGTGTTTAGGGAAGAGCCATGGCTCAGTGGCAGAGAATCTGCCTTGCATGCAGAAGGCCCCATGTTCGATCCCCACTGGTTTCTCCAGGCAGGGCTAGGGAAAACACTCCTTGCCTGAAACCATGGATATAATCCGATAAGACATTGTGGAATAGGAATGCAACACATTTGGCCCTCCAGATGTTGCTGTACATTAACTCGCATCATCCCTGTTCATTCTGGCAGCAAGGGCTGCTGGGAGTTGGTGTCAAACAACAACTGGAGAGCCAAAGGTTTCCCCATCCCTGATTTCTGACTCAACATAAGGCACCTTCCTGTATTGTTATTCAGCATCTTGGGTCAGTGGTACTTCACATCTCATTACATTCAGGTTCAGTTCCTGGTGGCAACTCCAGGTGCAGCTGTGAATATACTGTGCCTGAAATCCTGGAGAGGTGCTGCCCGTCAGGGTAGACAATACTGAGAGATGGACCAGTGGGTCTCACTCTGTATAAAGCTGCTGATATATGTGCTTTCTTAATATATGATTATTATTTTTTAAGGGGGGGGGGAAGCTTTAGTTGCACATTGATGGGAGGGGAGATCCATCCTGCCTGAGCTCATTACTTACTCTCTGATATAGATCTCCTTCTCATCTTCTTGAGGTAGAGACAACTAGAGAGATATTAATTTTTGATGTTTTGTTATATTCTTATATGTGTTGGAAGCAACCCAGCCAGATGGGTGGGGTATCACCATCATCATCTTACTTTATTTTTTATTTCTCAGAGCAAGGATTGGAGTTAGGCTTGTTTTAAAATGAGCAAGTTACACGTGTCAATATAGTGGAGAGGAATTCGATCTGGGATTTTGATTTCTCCTCCTCCTCTAACCTTTCTTAGGGTGAAAAAGGCCCTCAAGGACCAGCTGGTCGTGATGGTATCCAAGGTCCAGTTGGGCTACCTGGCCCAGCAGGGCCTGTTGGACCACCAGGGGAAGATGGAGACAAGGTAGGAGACATTTCCCAATACCACCCCCTGCCACCCCCCAAATAATCAGGTTAGCAAAACCTGCCACTAATCAATTATCAATCTAGCATGTATCCAGTGAAGGATATCCTCCTCTCCTTGCTAATGTTCTTACTGGGTTTTGTTTAACCTGCGTTTTACAGTTTTGTTTAACCTGCCCTACATTGTTGTGGAAATGAGCCCACAAGATAATCATTTGAAATGTACACCAGGGTATCCCTTTGTTTTCTGATGTGCATGTCTGTCTGTACCATGGGTACTCTGAACATTGTACAGAGTGCAAAAGATTAAATCAGTGGTTGACACATAACAAGCAAATATACTGGAAAATTAACAAAAGTTGCAAAAAGGTTTCAACAAGTTACTATAATCAGTTTGCCCTTTTAAAATCAGCTTTCTTAGCATTATGTGGCAAGCTGTGGTTATACATGATAGAGTGTTTTTGCACAACTAGTGCAGGATATGAACCAAGCTAATGCCACCCTCACACACATAACCCTTATCAATTGCTGACCAGAGCAATGCTCAATATCCTTAATCCTGAAACCAAACTTCATTGATTGCTCTAACAAAATATAATGCTGTTTGTGTTCTCCCCTTGTTGGATAGGGTGAAATTGGTGAACCAGGACAGAAGGGAAGTAAAGGTGACAAAGGGGAACAGGTAAGGTGTGGTTTTCCTCTTGAGGTGGGTTGTTGCAAGTGGCGATGTAAAAAGGTATTATTTTCTGTTCCCTGTGGGAATCAAACCACAGGACAACTTTTGTTCTTCACCTGATGCTCCTCTTTATTCCAAGTACCTGGGAGAGGTCCCTGAACTCTTGAGATCCAGAGTTCTCTGAACACACTACAAAGTGCACAGTATAGATATAGTCATTGTCATGCAAATCACAGAGACTAACTTCCTCAGATGTAGTGGAATACTACAGAGTGTCCAAAGCAATGTTGCAGAAATAGTTTTTCACCTTTTAGATTCAGTTTGTGTAGCAGTTATTTAGCTCTCCTGCAGTCTGAGGTTATTCATGTTAAAACATTTTTGCACAGCTTTGTTTTGTGTTGCTAAAGCAGTACATGAATCACCAAATATCACCTTCATCCTTATTCCATATCACATTCTTTCTTGTTGTTGGCCAGCACTAAGTTCATTATCCTTAATCCTGAAGCCAAACCTTATTGATTTCTCTTACACCTGTACCTGAAAGATGGTATTCCCTCAACCAAACCTGCCCAGGTTTTGAGATCTTCAGGGGAGGCCCTTCTCTTGGTCCTGCCACCCTCATAGGGCCACTTGGTGGGGATGTCGGAGAGGGCCTTCTTGGTGGCTGCTCCCAGACTTTGGAACTCCTTCCTTAGAGAAGCCAGACTGGATCCCTCCTCATTCTGTTGGCAGGTGAAGACTTTGCCAGTAGGCTTTAGAGATCTGCCTGCTCTTAATTAAAGAGCTGGTGCCAAGCTGTTTTCATTGTAATTATTGGTATGGTTTAAACTGATTTTATATATGTATATAGTTCTAATTCTATCAGAGTATAATTGTTTTTTAATTATGGTTTTTGTAATATGTTTTTAGTAGTTCTTGTTTTTATCTGTAAGCTGCCTTGAGAACTGTCATGGGAAAAGGCGGAGTATAAAGAAGTATATAATAATAATGGTCTCATGCAGCATTCTTTTCATTTTGCTACCAAACCTGAATTTCATTTCCTTGTGTTCATCTTCCACTGAACCTGGCATTATTATGTAATTTGGTTATCTTGTTATTACGTCATTCCACCCTGTTTGTTTCAATGAAAAGGAAACGCAGTGTGGGGGAGAACATAATCAATTACATGTTGTTTGCAGTTGGCAGCTTGCTATCCCCTTGATCATTGCACTGAGCATGCATCTCTTTTTTTCCAGGGTCCACCAGGCCCTACTGGTCCACAGGGCCCAATTGGTCAACCAGGTCCAGCTGTAAGTATGGCTACTATTTTCAATCATCCAATATCTTGTCAAACTTCACTTATATGGGAACTGTACTGGACTTCATTTGAGGAATCCTTGAATATGTGAAGATCATAGTCTCTGATCATGTTCAGAGTGCCTTCCTCTACCATTGAAAAGTCACAACCTGTTTCCTAGGATTAAAGGATCTGGTCTTCTGGCTTCAGGCTGAGTTGGGACCTCACAGCCCTTTCTCCTCAAAATTAAAGCAGGGGTAGCCAATGTGGTGACATCCAGATGTTTTTGGACCACAACTCCCAAAAGTCAATATATTCAATGATCAGGGGTGGTGGGAATTGGAGCCCACAACACCTCAAAGGCCACCCCGAAATCAAGCCCTGGGTTGGGACATGACTGTAGAAACAAAAAGAGGAGAGACTCATTTCCTTAAGGTTCTCTCTTCCACCAGTTACCAGCCATCCAAATGAAACATGCTCCATTTTGAGATGGCAGCCACAGTAGGGTAAATTTGCTGTGCTGAAATCTGTCCTTCCTTCCTGATCTGAAAAAGTTCCAACCATGTCCTTCATCAGGGATTTACTCCATCCCCTCATTCATTTTGGTTGGGTTTTTGGGGGGTGTTTTTTAGGGAGCTGATGGTGAGCCTGGCCCTCGAGGACAGCAGGGTCTCTTTGGTCAGAAAGGGGACGAAGGACCAAGAGGATTCCCTGGCCCTCCAGGACCTGTGGGGTTGCAGGTAATTTCCAAAACAAGTTAAAGAAGATTTATGGGAGGAAGGGAAAGGAAAGAAATGTGTGATACAGATGCTCTACTCACTCTTCTGACACTGTTCCACAGGGCTTACCAGGACCTCCTGGTGAGAAGGGCGAAACAGGCGATGTTGGCCAAATGGTAAGGTTCCCATTTTCCCTGGTGTTGCTATTGCCGTAGTCTGCTTATGTCAAAAGGTTAACTTTTTCACCAATTAAATGTCTCTTTTTTCCTATCCTCCAGGGTCCTCCAGGGCCTCCAGGGCCGAGGGGTCCATCTGGGGCCCCAGGAGCGGATGGGCCTCAAGGTCCACCAGGTGGGATTGGAAATCCTGGATCTGTTGGCGAGAAGGTAACCTATCTTTGGCTCATCTCTATGCCCAAGTCCTTTGGGGTGGGGATTTGAGAGGAGGAGATGAGCATCTGAGCAGTGTTGTTACCTGGATATAGGTAAAGTCAGGCAAGCGATGGACCTTGCCTAGGCTATAGCTCAGAGAGAGAGACATCTGAAGGAAAGCCAAGAGTATGGTTAGCTCCAGTGTTTTGAGGGTTCCTCTCACCAAGAGGCCATCAGGGGACCATTTAACCATCAAAGGGTGGAACTGTGCACGGCAAGGAGATTGAGAATCTGCTCAAGCATCCTTGGCCACTTAAACCTTTAAGCTAGACAAGACACTTGCTAGATTCCTCTTTTCAGCTCTTGGTGGTCATGCAAGAGATAGCTATGATCTGCCTCCATGGTCGGAGGCAGCCATGCTTCTGAGTACCAGTTGCTGGAAACCGCAGAAGGGGAACTGCTCTTCCTCTTAGTTCCTGCTTGTGAGCTTCCCGTAATGCGTTGGCCACTGTGAGGACAGGGCACTGGACTAGTTGGGCCGCTGGCATGACCCAGAAGGCTCTTCTTATGCTTTTATGCCACCATGGAATCAGGCAAGCTTGTGGTCTGAGGGGTTAGGAAGTTTGGTTTCTAAAATACCCAGAGTGGCTCCTGCAGAGTGAGGTCATACAGGCCACTGGGTGGAGGTTTGAGCTCCAGGATTGTCAGAGAAAGGAGAACAGGTGGGGTAGGAAGGTCAGTGGTGAGGGCTAGAGTACAGCTCTTCCCAATATCAAAAGCAAAGGGCATGGCTATATTTCATGGTCCTGACCTACAATTTTTACAGGGTGAACCTGGAGAATCTGGAGAACCTGGCTTGCCTGGAGACGGTGGACCCCCGGTAAGGCCTTTATCTTCTTATAAAAATGACTATGTTTGGAAATAAGATGGTATGAAATGGTGCTGAGGCTTTGAAGTTGTCCTGTCTAAAGTTTTCAGTGTGAGGTTCATATAACCTCAATAGCAACCCAATCCACTTTTCTGCTATAGGCACGATAATGGGACATACAGGACATTACTATGTTACTGTAGAATAAGTAATTAATAGAATCACAGAATTGTAGAATTGGAAGGGATCCCAGGGGTCATTTAGTCCAACCCTGTGCAGTGCAAGAATCCCAGTTAAAGAATCCCTATGAGATAGTCACCCAGCCTCTGCGTAAAAACCTCCAGCAAACCAGAGCCCACATTAACTGAAAAGATAACTCATCAGTTATGTGTTGCCAAAGGCCAGGAGGACTGAAAAATATGCTGTTTGGTGCGATTTTACCTTACATGCAGATACGCAGGGTAGCCTCTCCATCTCACAATATCAGATTTGCCTTTTCTGATGGCCTTAACTACTCTGCCCACCTGATATTAAGTCCCAGATATAGTGTGCTGCTTTTGTGGACTTCTGTTGTTTTTATTGTATTGATTTCTTCTATTTACTTTAATGAAGTCTTTTGCCGTGAGGAGAGGGAGTCTTTCAGAAAAAGAAGAAGCAATTACTACTTGTCTTTACTGAGGACCAAGGCATTTCTGATGGGGAGGGGATTAGGAATAATAATAATAATAATAATAATAATAATAAAGATGCTGAGTTGAGGATGATCCTTTTCATCATTTCCTTAGAGATTCTGTGTATTACCTTTAACTGAAGTGGCAGGTGTTTCAAGGAGTTTGTGCCTAATGTGATCTCTTCTCTTCCATTTTCAGGGTCCTAAAGGCGAGAGAGGGGAAAAGGGAGAAGCAGGCCCCTCAGGTGCTGCTGGCCCCGCAGGACCCAAAGGCCCCCCGGGTGATGATGGACCCAAAGGTAGCCCTGTAAGTAGTCCCCACGTGGATTCCATAGGCCGTGATCCCCAAAAGGAGGACAGCTTTCCCCATATCTACATAACTGACTGATCTTGGCCAATCAAGAATTGCGTTTGCAGTGTATTCTGGAACAATCACTCGTAAGGGTTGCTTTTGCTTCAGTTTCATTAATCAATTTTTGATGAATCGAGTCTCAGTTTGCAAACTTGAGTGGTGGCCTCACGTTCTGATACCCTGTTTGAGTAACTGAAACCACAGCTGTTGCATGGAGCTGGGTGTGTTCTGTACATCCTTGGATTGGCTCTAGATGTCTGTGGGTTGTATCCAGTGTTAGCCCAATGTTAGTAGGTCCATTAAAATCAGTGGGCTTAAGTGAGTAATTTCCATTGATTTTCAATTGACTGGCACCATTACATAATACCTGTTTCACATTTGTAAGAAATCAGTCTTTCGGTATGGTAGCACCTACACTTTGGAACTCCCTGCCTATTGACATCGTTGGCATTTGCCATATGCTTTTTTGGCACCTGCTAGAAACATTTTTGTTTAGGCAAGACTGTCCAGAAACATTGAATGTTAATGTGCGTTATAATCTGCTTTTAATTTATTGCTGATTTTATCATTTGAATGTAAACATGGATGACTTTGTTGTTTTATTCTCTTTGTAAACCACTATGAGGATTTGTTAGTTTTTTAACAACCAAGTGGTGTATAAATTTTATGAAATAAATATAAATACATACTTTTAAATATTGTAAAAATGAATTAACAACTGAGATCTAATATTTGATACAACCCTGTGTGCTGCTGAATCAGTGGCTCATACTCTAGGTTGCAGTTTACATTCTTTGTAAGATGCCCACCCAGGAACTGTAGATTTACATGGTTTCATTCTGCACATTTTTATTTTTTTTGTAGGGTCCGGTTGGTTTTCCTGGTGATCCGGGACCTCCAGGCGAACCTGGCCCAGCCGTAAGTACCAATTATGAAGCTGTTAATTTGCATAACTTCCTCCTTCTGGTTTCCTCTTTGAAATATGCCTCACAGTGCAATATTCAGAAGTAGGTCCCGGTGGGTTTGGTGGAACGGACTTTCTTGTAAGCGTGCATAGAATCAAAGACAACTCTCATTTTTACTCAACTGCCTCTGTAGCCTTACTGCAGGGGAGGGAAATGAAGGTCACAGAGGACATTTTCCCTTGTAATGAGCAGAGCAGGTAGTGGAGATGTGAGAAGCCATCATTTTCTGTTCTGCCATGTATCCGTTAATGCAATGCTGTTTCCGTTTCACTGCCGTTCGTCTTCCACCGAAAAGCAACATTATTTGCCTCACTGTCTGCTGTGGCAAAATGTGTAATTTAAATAATCAATTATGTAATGGTCGCTACACTATTCCACCATGCTCATTTTAATACAAAGGAAAAACAATGCAAATGAGGAAAGGGACGTCCACGAAAAGCATAAAATCATAGCATTTGGAAGGGAGCCAAAGCACTATCTAGTCCAACCCCCTGCAAAGCAACAACTGCAGTAGATTCTGATCATATTCTTTGGGCTGATTTCTGTCCTGGGTATGGAACAAATAAGCAAACATTGTAAGTTTCCATTCCTGTTGCTTTTTGCTTTGGAATTTTTCTGACATCTCTGCTTGTGACTCATTTGAGTACAGACAACACTGTTCCGCCTTCATCCACCAAGCCTTGTTGCCAAATTCCACCCCACTTACTCAGGCAAAAAATGGTTTCATTTTCACCAGTGAAATCATGGCGGGTTTATGATTCTGCCTTTCTTATTTACCCAAGCCTCTGTTATCTATTGTATCCTTTTAAAGGGATTATTTAATAAGATGTGCAAATATAACAAACGAGACATCAAACTAAGCATATCACCAAACTAAACACCATCAAAATGGACATAGAGGCAAGATGAGTAGAAACACAACAATAATAATATAAAAACTTGTAAAAGAATGAGTAGCATAAAATATATCCCACGGAGGATTTCAAGGCTTATATTTATGCAGTACATATCCAATATTCATGAACATTGCTGGATAAAATCAAATTTAGTAGGTAGGTGCCAGCCATGAGATTCTTTGGCCAAATCAATCAGAAACAGCCACCCCAAAAGATTCAAAGTCTGAGGTGTCTGCATCACCCCCTTGGGACCAGTTTTTCAGAGATAAACATGACTTTTTTAAAACTGCAAGTCTAAAGAGGAATAAGATGTGTCCTATCCTTGAGAGATCACTAGGTAAGCAGTAGAGGTGGAATTAGTTGTGGTCAACAATTATCTTAAAACTAGGGTTTTCTGAATGCAAAACCCATTTCAACACTGAACACAATCAACCATTTTTAGGTTGCTGTCCAATAAACATGCATATATTTTATAATCTTTGCTTTTGCAATGTATTTGCAAGATACGAAACTCTTCAAATAACCCTGGGAATCATAGTGTGGTAACTGGAATGCTGAAAACTGCTAGATTCTTAGCGCCCCTGCACAGAACAATAGTTCCAGAATTCCTGGGTTGGGAGAATCAAATCTTCTCTGTAAATATGACCATATCTCCATATCATTAACAAATGTCATATCTCCATATCATTAACAAATCTTCTCCATATCATTAACAAATGTCAAGCCAAGTCCCTCATCAATTGCCAATTAATGGATCCTGTTTCCATTTTTCTTGAAATTTTCTGGCATAGGTTGCAATATTTTATTTTTAATTAGTTTTTATTGAATTTTTTCAGTTAAACAAAAAACACATAGTAACAAACAAGACACATACAACAAAGCTTGACTATAAGCATAGGTGCTGCTTATAAATGCACAGAAAGAAGGAAAAACCCAAACAACATTTGCTGTAGAAACAGCAATCTGGTAGACCAAGATATTTTTTAGATTTTAATATAAAGACCAAAAGTATACAGTATAGGTATAACACCAGTCCATAATAGACAATGGAGATCTGCGGGGAAGACAGCTCCTCGTTGTTTCAAAACAAATATGACAAATGGAGAGCAAATAACTGAGAAGAGTGTTTTGGATTTAAGCCCCCTAAGCTGCCTGTTATGCTCCATAACTTTTCCTGCAACTGCCAACAGCCATACCTTGTTCCACAATCCCTTTAGAGTACAATGGGAATAATGTCTCCAATGCTAGACCAGTTCCAGCCTAGCCATTGTTACAAGGTGGATGATTAGATCTTTAGGGACGCAGATGGTGCTGTGGGTAAAAGCCTCAGCGCCTACGGCTTGCCGATCGAAAGGTCGGCGGTTCGAATCCCTGCGGCGGGGTGCGCTCCCGTCGTTCGGTCCCAGCGCCTGCCAACCTAGCAGTTCAAAAGCACCCCCGGGTGCAAGTAGATAAATAGGGACCGCTTACAAGCGGGAAGGTAAACAGCGTTTCCGTGTGCGGCTCTGGCTCGCCAGAGGAGCGATGTCACGCTGGCCATGTGACCCGGAAGTGTCTTCGGACAGCGCTGGCCCTCGGCCTCTTGAGTGAGATGGGCGCACAACCCTAGAGTCTGGCAAGACTGGCCCGTACGGGCAGGGGTACCTTTACCTTTATAACAAATTTTGCATAGTTTTCTGGAAAGTGTGATAGCAGTGCAATTGTAAACAGAAGGAGAAGAAGATCAGGGTCTTTATTCAGTGGGGCTCCCCTGCTGGGGTGTGGTCTTCAGCAGTCACTCAGTCATAGCAACCCTTGGTTTCCATATCCTGTGATTGCCTTCAAAGAACATGAGTTGGTGGATGGCAGAATATGAATCTCTTGTCTTCTTTTCAGGGCCAAGATGGTCCACCAGGTGATAAAGGAGATGATGGAGAACCCGGTCAGACTGTGAGTAACCATCTGTGTGTCACATCTGTTTGTTACAGACCAAATTTACCAGCTGTCAAGCATTTGCCCTCCTCCTCCCCAGAAGGAGATGGCGGTGGGGAGATGAAACCAGCCTGCTAGGGTGAGGGCATGGGCAGGAAATCAAGGGGTACTTACCTCTCCCCTTCCCTGCCACTAGCCTCTGATTCTCTCCCCTCCTCCCTGGTGATGGCCCCCCAAAACCCATTGGGCACCCGCCAGTATTGCCCTGTCCCCATTTTGTGCTCCTCCCAGACCCATCCTCCTTCTGGCTCTGCCAGCTCCTGAGACCTTTATAGGACAGCTAATGGCCTATCTTGGTTGGTTGCATGGGGTCAAACTATTTGGCATCTTCCTGTGTCATCTCAGAGGTGCAATGATGAACTGGCTTTCATATTCCTTTCATATATACAGGGCTCTCCTGGTCCAACTGGAGAACCAGGTCCTTCAGGTCCACCAGGGAAAAGGGTAAGTTATCGTTTTACGTGGTGTCCTGTAGCCTTGTGGCAAGGCTTATCAGAAACTTTCAGGGGAAGACCAGCAATGGTAGTGGGTGTCAGAGAATCATAGAACTGTAAAGTTGGAAGGGACCTCAATGATCCTCTTGTCCAGTCCCCTATAGAGTGACAATGTGAAGCTCAGTTCTATTGTTGTTGTTGTTGTTGTTGTTGTTAATGTGAACAGAGGCCATATCTGTTGCTCAGCCTGTGTATGGCAACATCAGAATCACACATGAGACTCTTCATTCTGGGATGGGGAAGGCTTTCAGCCTTGTGAGCAACCCTTCTGGGGGGGACACCCAGCAGAGGTGGGAGGGGCCAAAGGCAAATGTAGGGAGGGCAACATACATGACTTCCCTTTGCACATTAGGCTACATTCTAGCCACACACATAAGTGAGAGGTTTCTACACATAGAGGTTTCTATCCTCCACAGAGGCCTTCTTAAAGGGTCAGGTCTGGACCCAGCATCTGCTGTTCCAAAGTGTTAAGTCCTCCATGGAGTGGATGTTGGTACCACCACTGAAAAAGCAGCTGCCATATTCCATTGAACAAGACATGGAGGGGGCGGGGGGGAGTGAGAGAGAGAGAGCAGGGCCTTAGATACTGGATGAAATACACAGGGGCATAGAGGCAAGGGGCTTACATAATCAGAAGGGACCCAAAGGGTTGTCCAATCCGCTGCAATGCAGGAATCACAGGGGGCATATGGATCTGATTCTGTTTGCTTATCAACCTTCTTTATCTCTTTTAGGGCCCACCTGGGCCAGCGGGTCCTGAAGGCCGACAAGGAGAGAAAGGTGCCAAGGTAAAAAACGTAATTTTATTGAGGGTTCAGAAGGTCAAATCCATGTTCAGTTTCAGCCTCTGTTTCCCTCCAACAACAGCCTGATTCTCTTTTGCTTTTTCACCACAGGGTGAATCAGGCTTGGAGGGACCTCCTGGGAAAACGGGGCCTGTTGGCCCTCAGGGACCACCAGGAAAGCCTGGTCCAGATGGACTTCGAGGGATCCCTGGCCCAGTGGTGAGTATTAAGAGCACAGAGGTCATCTATAGGAAAGCCTTCTGTTGTAAGAGAAGCATTACATCAGCATCCTAGACCCTGTGCTGGCTCCCTGAAGTCCAAGCAGTATAAAAAAACATGAATGGGTTCTGCATCTTCAGAGGCTGCCGCATAACACAGGGCCATAGAAAGTTGCCATGTATCAAGAGAAGCTCTCAGAGAAGCTCTGCATGGGCCTGAATTGAGCTATGGAACTTGCTTTAAAAATTCAACAAATGAATAAAAATGAGTAATCCTTGTTTGTTTTGCAGGGTGAGCAAGGACTTCCCGGTGCTCCAGGCCCAGATGGACCTCCAGGACCACTGGTACGTCTGGAAGTTTTGCAGGATTTTTGTTATTTGTTTGTTTGTCGATAATGGGGGTGGTTGTGGAAGTCCACTTCCACTCTGATTCCACCATATTCCTGGGATCCACTGTATTTCCAAAATCAGGTGTCATGATCTTGTTAAGGAAGTCTGCTTTGTAATGATGGGCATTGCAGTCATAAACTGTATGCCAGCTTTTACCAGGCTGTTACCCTAGATGTTTCGGACTCCCAACTCCCATCAGGCCCAACCTGGCAAAGCTATTGCAGAAGCTTCTGGCTGCAGTTTTAGCTGCCCAGCATGCCTTTGAAATGAAGGGTGTATTCCCATTTGCAGTCAAAGTGCAGCTTGGAATTCCACTCTTCTTTCTCGCATAACTTGGCTGTATTTTACAAAACCTTGTTTATCTGTGCGGAAGAAGCACCACTGTGGTTGGACTAAAAGTCTGCCGAAGAATCTTTATTAAGAAGAAGCAATTGCATTAGAGAAGACTCCCATCACCATCTCTTCTGAATTGTTAATTCAAGTGTTCTAGGGATGACAAAGTTATCACAACCTGGTTAATAAGAAACCACAAGAAACAAGTTACACAGGAAAAACAGCATTCCATCCTTCCTTCATTCTGACTTCTTCTTATACTTGAACAGAGATGTGGGCTTAAGATAAAAGCAGGCTCAAGCCTGTTGCAGGTCCAGATCCTTGCACACCCCAAACCCACACATTCTGCTTCAACACGTATGTTGCTGGAGCTGGGTGGTGGCAGGAAAGTTTGGATCTGAGAATATTATGAGATTCCAAAGATACTGGATTTACATTTTTGAAAACATGAGTATAAGTAGATGAGTTGGGTCTGGATTAGGTCTGGATGGGGGAGAAATTTGATTCAGGTCATATTTAAGGGCAAACCTACTTCCTTTGTACTGTTGCATGCCACCCCCATCTCTGAGTGATGCAAGATTTCAGGGGTTCCAGGCTCTTGGCAGGGTTTGTGTTTCCTTTTGGAATGAAGCACAGAGGAGACTGTGGTGTCTTTATAATATATGGTTTATTTTCATTTATACAACCTGAGCCTACGATGGAAGGGTTCACAGCATTAACACCCCAAAGGGAGGGGCCCCACTCATATTTTATCTTGCACAGAGCCCCCTTTCCTTTGTTCTCTTGATTCATCACTGAGGCGACCATAACACAGGAATAATAATAATAATAATAATAATAATAATAATAATAATAATAATAATTTATTATTTATACCCTGCACCCATCTGGCTGGGTTTCCCCAGCCACTCTGGGCAGCTCCCAACAGAATTAAAAGCACAATAAAACATCAAACATTAAAAACCTCTCTAAACAGGGCTGCCTTCAGATGTCTTCTAAAAGTCAGATAGTTGTTTATTTCCTTGACATCTGATGGGAGGGTGTTCCACAGGGTGGGCACCACTACCAAGAAGGCCCTCTGCCTGGTTCCCTGCAACCTCACTTCTCGCAGGGAGGGAACCACCAGATGGCCCTCGAAGCTGGACCTCAGTGTCCAGGCTAAATGATGGAGGTGGAGACGCTCCTTCAGGTATATTGGGCCGAGGCCATTTCGGAAGGCCGAGGCCAGGAAGCTGACCTGGCTTATATTTTAATACTTGCTAGATCCAGGAATTAGAAGGAACTGCATACAGCCTACTTCCTCCCCCACCCTCAAACTCATAACAGCACTTTGAAAACAATTTGAGAACTGAAACACAGCCGTCCTTTGAACTTCTCCAGATTTTGCAGTGACGTTTTCCAGCTAAGTAATGTGTACAAAAAGCCAAATGCTAGTATAAATTATCCCTATAAATGCATGCATTAGTGAAATTGGCATGTGTATATCAGGAAAGATTTGCACCTAATGTTTTCATGAGAACTTTCTATAGAAATCACAAATTGATGTGGAAATAATGGAGAACCAAACTAAAGACGGCAAAAATAAGAAACCAGAATCTGACATATTCACCCCTCCCTCATAATTTCCATCTAAAACAAGTTTAAGCTCTTGATTATCTAAAGGAAAGTTTATGGTGTGGTGCTATTTATTTATAGTATGTTCCTCTTTCTTTCTTAAGGGACCGCCTGGTTTACCTGGCTTGAAAGGCGATTCTGGTCCAAAGGGAGAAAAGGTAAGTGGCCTGATTTTGGACTAGACTTGCAAGTGTACTTTTGATGATAGTTAATTCCTCACTCCAGGCCTAACAGCACTGTGACACATAGGTCCCAGTCCAGCACTCTAACCACTAGGCCATGCCAGCTCACTAGTCCACAAGAATTGCTTACATCTCTTTTTTAAAAAAAAATGTTTTAATGGTTTTTAAGATGTTTTAAATTGTTCTTCAATACTTCAGTTAATGAGATTATTTTCAGTTAATGAGATTATATTATAATGAGATTATATTATAATACTTCAATTAATTAGATTATTTTATCACTGATTCATTTCCTGTCCTGGGCTCCCTGGAGAGGAAGGGGTGGGATATAAATTTGATTAATGTGTTAAATTTAATAAATAAGCTTTTCTTTACCTTCACATGCTTGAGATTTTGAAATGCATCATTTGATCTTTCCTAGGGTCATCCAGGTCTGATTGGTCTGATTGGGCCCCCTGGTGAGCAAGGTGAAAAGGGAGACCGAGGCCTTCCGGGCCCTCAAGGAGGATCAGGGCCTAAAGGAGAACAGGTGAGCATCCAGGAGCTTGATGGGAAATTTCCTTTCTCATTCTTATGTCTTCTGTTCAATCAGCAAGACTGATTTCTAAGTGGTGACTGGGGGATAAATTTGATTTTTGCTTGTGTTTTAATGAGAAGCTACCTAATCTGCACTACTCATACCAATACACTGTGCAGCTGTCCTTCAGATTTCCACATTCCTATATTTTGCAATGCACTTCTTATACCAAACAACCTGTACAAGAAATGCATTTGTGGGGGGAATGTGAGAACCCATTAGTAAAAATAGCATATAAAAATATATTATATATGGAGAAATTGCTGTCAAAACTGTTATTCATTTGGGGTAGAGTGTGTGGGAAATCATGCTAAGATGCTGCTGAAATTTAAATTAATAAAATTGCTACATTGGATTGAGAAAACATGGTTTGTCACAGGTGTGGGGAGTCTGTTGTTGGATGTTGCCAGACTCCTATCCCATTAGCCCCAGTCAACGCGGCCAATGACAATGGATGAATGACTTTGTAGTTTAGCAACATCTGCAGCGCCAGAGGTTCCCTACACCTGGTCTGTTGTAATGATGATAGCATTAACTTACTTTAATGCTATCAATCAGCCAAAGAGATTTATGGGGAAATGTTTTGGAATGATAAATATGCAACATAACATAAAACCATACATTCCTTTTAATTTACTGTATTCCTATAAATATTCACGAGTACTTCTGTATTGTATAATAATTAATTAGTTTGATTAAAAATTTAAATATTTTTAAACATCCAAATTTAGAATTGGCTCCTCCAAAGCTTGTTGTTAACAACAGATACTTTCTGAATTCCTCTTGAATAAACATTGGTTTTGCTGTTTGGGTTTCTTTCTATAGGGTATAACAGGTCCGTCTGGTCCAATTGGGCCTCCTGGTCCTCCAGGTTTACCGGTACGTAGCAAGTTCTCAGAGATCCTTATTCCCAAAACGATGGTGCAAATGAGTCACTTGTGCATAAGAGAGGCGAGCTATTCAGTAAATAGCCTGGTAGGCTACATGTCATTGTGTCCTGTTGTGGGTTCAACAAGAAAATGGGAGGCCTGGAAACTACCAGAAACCTCCTGTTACACCAGATCTTTCTCAGATTCTACTGATCAATCCCTAGAATTCACTGACCCTCTTCTATATAGAAGAGCAGCTTTCTAGGGTTTCAAGCAGAGGACATTTACAGCCCTACCTAGAGATGTTTGGATAGAACCTGGCATATTCAGCATGCAAAACAGATGCACTAAAACTGAGCTATGGCCCATCCTGGAGCATACCTAGGAGTTGGCTGGGTTGGCCCCCGAATAGAATGAATGGACATGACTAACTTCCGAACATAAATTTCTGTGAGTCTATGATTCTATGATACTCTGAGTAAAATGTAGGTGGGATACAACCCATAGTAATTCTGGAATTTCTTTTTTTTAATGTTAAACAGATGTTTTAAAATATTACTTGGGGGCTTCATAGAATTATAGAATTGTAGATTTGGAAAGGACTCCAAGGGTCATCTAATCCAAACCCCTGCAATGCAGGAATCTCTCAACTAAATCATGCATGACAGATGGCTATCCAACATCTGCTTAAAAACCTCCAGTGAAGTAGAGTCCACTGCCTTATGAGGATGTCCTTTCCACTGTCGAAGAGCTCTTACTGTCAGAAAATTCTACCTAATGTTCCGTTGGAATCTCCTTTCTTGTAACTTGAATCTATTGGTTTGTGTCCTACCCCGTAGAGCAGGAGAAAATAAGCTTGCTCCATCTTCCATATTTGAGGAGAAATGAAGTGTATCCCTAGCACATTCATTTGAAACCTGCAATAGTGTTTGGGATTTAAATCAGTAGCTTACATTAATGTGAGTGATAATTTGTGTATGTGTGTGAATCTACTAACTGTTGGTTTGGCTCTCTCCATGGTCTAGGGTCCCCCTGGTCCAAAAGGTGCTAAAGGATCATCGGTAAGTCAAACCTATGCAACTGGGAACATTAATTTGGTGGAGTCATGCCAAAGTCACATTTTGGTCTCCCATCTTGATTCAAAATGGCACCTGGCTTCTGAACATCAAAGATCCCTGCCCAAGGAACCCTTGAATTGAGTTTGGAAACGATATCTTGAGAAGCAGCCAAACTTACGCCAAAAAAATGTGCAAAGTCACACCAAAGTTGTTTTCTGGGCTACCATCTTGAATCAAAATGGCTCTCTGCATCCAAACATTGATGAAAACTGCCACCCCTATTTTGAGAATTCTTGTGTTAAGAGGTAGCCTTACCTGGTTCTTTTAACTACACTCAGAAGGCTATCTTTGTTCATCATGTAGCTGCTCCCATGTAAAGGACTTGGGGCCAGAGGCCCACAGCAAATAGGAGTTATCCCTTGATGACAAGCCTCTGATCTGTGGATATCTGTATTGCCCACCTAACTAACATGTGCTGGTTTCTGTTTCTTTGTCTTTCTAGGGTCCAACAGGTCCAAAAGGGGAAACGGGTCACCCTGGGCCACCAGGGCCTCCTGTAAGTACTGGTCACCATGTCCTTTGTGGTTTTGGAACACCTCTCCCCTTTTTATTGGAAATATTTACAGGCAGCTTTTTGATAAACAAATAACAAAGTGGTTTACAAAATGACATAGGACCATACAGTTAATACACAGGAAAGTTAAAAGCAGACATCAGTTAAACATTGTGAAAGGATCTCTTCTTAACTGCCTGCACAGGCCTGGGAGAATGACAAATGTTTTCAACGGGCATTTAAAAGTTGGTATAGAAGGCTCCTGCTGAAACTCCAGTGGCATAAAGTTCCACTAGACTGGACCAATGGCACTAAAGGCTTATTTCTCTTTGTTGTCAAACAAGCCTCCCCAACTCAGGGGATGACTAACAATCCTCCTGCAGACAATTTCATTGTTCAACATAGAATATAAAGGCTCAGGCGATCCCTGAGGTACCCTAGATGTTAGTTGTTCAAGGCTTTGTAAATTAATACAAGGACCTTGAACCTGGCTTGGTATAGATGGGCAGCCAGTGAATATGCTTTAACAGTGGTTCCCATGTTCTCAGCCAGATGCCCCCATCAGCAATCTGGATACCACATTCTGCACCAGCTAGAGCTTCCAAACCAGGCCCAAGAGCAGTCCCTTGAAGAGCAGCTTACAGTAGTCCATCCTTGATGTTGCCCCTTCCCTACGTGTTGTCTTTCTCTGTCTTCAGCACCAGTTAAACCGTGTCACTCTACTTCTCCCTTGCCCCAGGGTCCTCCAGGGGAAGTGATCCAACCACTTCCCATCCAGTCTTCCAAGAGGACCCGGCGGAACATTGACGCCAGCCAGTTGGTCAACGAAGGCAATGCTGACAACTACATGGACTACGCTGACGGCATGGAGGAGATCTTTGGCTCCTTGAACTCTCTGAAACTGGAAATTGAGCAGATGAAGCACCCGCTGGGCACTCAGCACAACCCAGCTCGCACCTGCAAAGATCTGCAACTCTGTCATCCGGATTTCCCAGACGGTATGGATGGGCATCAGTGGATATGCAGGAAGGGGAAGGAGGGTTTATCTGGGAACCAGAACAGTGTTGTACACATCTGCAGTTTCTACATGCTTCAGATAGGGATAATAATAATAATAATAATAATAATAATAATAATAATAATAATAATTTATTATTTGTACCCCGCCCATCTGGCTGGGTTTCCCCAGCCACTCTGGGCGGCTTCCATAGAAACCAAAAACCCCACTAAAATATCATACATTAAAAACTTCCCTGAACAGGGCTGCCTTAAGATGTCTTCTGAATGTCAGGTAGTTGTTTATCGTTTTGACATCTGATGGGAGGGCGTTCCACAGGGCGGGTGCCACTACCGAAAAGGCCCTCTGCCTGGTTCCCTGTAGCTTTGCTTCTCGCAATGAGGGAACCGCCAGAAGGCCCTCGGCGCTGGACCTCAGCGTCCGGGCAGAACGATGGGGGTGGAGACGCTCCTTCAGGTATACTGGGCCGAGGCTGTTTAGGGCTTTAAAGGTCAACACCAGCACCTTGAATTGTGCTCGGAAACCTACTGGGAGCCAATGTAGGTCTTTCAAGACCGGTGTTATGTGGTCTCGGCGGCCGCCCCCAGTCACCAGTCTAGCTGCCGCATTCTGGATTAACTGTAGTTTCCGATTCACCTTCAAAGGTAGCCCCACGTAGAGCGCATTGCAGTAGTCCAAGTGGGAGATAACTAGAGCATGCACCACTCTGGCGAGACAGTCCGCGGGCAGGTAGGGTCTCAGCCTGCATACCAGGTGGAGTTGGTAGACAGCTGCCCTGGATACAGAATTGACCTGCGCCTCCATGGACAGCTGGAGGAGGAGACATTCAATTCGGTAGCTGGGATTCCTGCATTGCTGGGATTGCTGCAGGTATTCAGACTAGTTGACCCATGGAGTCCCTTCCACCTCCACAACTCTTGAGTCTAAAGCTGATTCCATCAAATTCACACTTTCTGAAACAATAGGCGAATCAAAAATTTGTACTTACCCAAATTTCGTGATGCAGTTCTCCAATCAACCAGTGTTTCACAAAATGCATAGCTCAGGGGAAAGTGTGCATAAAAAATGAGGATATTAGTGAAAATAACATACAAATACAAATAACGTTTAGGGAAATCTCTTGCAAAAATGTATTTGTTAGTGAAAACTGCACATAAGCATTTGTTGCATAAAATTGGTTTATTAGGAGAAATTGACTCCAAAATGCTGGTGGATTTTCATGAGGATTCTTTCTAAGAGAGATTGCAAATTTCTACTTAGAAAACAAAACATCCTTCCATCCCTAGTCCCTTTTTATTGTTGCGAAAAGAAATTGGTGTCATATAGTAGGATTTTCACAAACATAGGAATGTGTTAGATGATTAAATTGTAGGATTTGTATCAACTCTTCCTGTCTTCCTTCCTCCCCTCAAAAAAACATGGTCCCAACTCCAGGTGAATACTGGGTAGATCCTAATCAAGGTTGTTCCAGGGATTCCTTCAAAGTTTACTGTAATTTCACCGCTGGTGGGGAGACCTGCATCTTCCCAGATAAGAAGTCAGAAGGGGTAAGTGATTCTTGTGAGCTTTTTCTCTTTCTTTCTTTCTTTCTTTCTTTCTTTCTTTCTTTCTTTCTTACTAATCTGGGCATCCCTTTCACTTTCACGTTGGAAGGCAGGCAGAAAAGTTGACTTGTCCACTGGATCCTTGATTTGGTTCCATGGGAAGCTTAAAATCATATAACTGTAGAGTTGGAAGGTCCCCTGAGGGTCATCTAGTCCAACCCCCTGCAATGCAGGGGTCACAGCTAAAGAAGTGGTGATAAGTGGCTATCACCACATAAGAAGTGATAAGTGGCTATCCAACCACTGCTAAGAAACCTTCAACGAATGAGAGTCCACCACCTTATTTAGAACCAAGCGGCCCCTATCTTGTGCCTAATTGCACTCTAAAAAAGCTACTCAGTTCCTAATAATGGCTTGATCTCCAGAACTATATTTGAAGTGAGAGGCCGTAGCTCAGAAGGCCTGTGTATAAATTATTGCGATAAAAAAAAAGTACTTGCTTATTCACAGTACATATTTTTTATAAGCCTAATAGCTCACTGTCCTGAAAGTAGCCTTGTCCCATGTTTGCATATAAAATGCAGGAAAAATGTAGCTGTGTTGCATTTCATAAAGAAATCATGAGAGCAGTTAATAGGCTGGGAGTGGAGAAATTATGTAGAACTGTATTAAGGAGGAACAGGAGACTTGGATAATTTTTTCCAGTGGGCTGTTATGAACATTTTAGGAAGAAAACACAATTTCCTTAATCATTCCACTGTTCAGGATATAGTCAAAGCCCTCCAGGTCAGATCCTTTAAGATTATGCTTCAAAGAACTCCAGGCTTCAGGGCTCCATGGCAGAGCATCTCCTTTGCATGCAAAAGGTCCCAAGATCAGTCCCCAGTTGCGTCTCCAGCTAGGACTGGGAAAGACCCCTGTTCAAAATTCTGAAGAGCTTTTGGCAATGCTAAGCTGGGTGGACCAATGGCCTGGCTCAGTAAAACCATATTTGATAGCCGTCTTCAACTATCTGAAGGGTTGCCATGTGGAAGATGGAGCCAGCTTGTTTTCTGCTGCTCCAGAGGGGAGGGCCTGAACCTATGGATTCAAATGACAAGAAAGGAGATTACAACTAAACATTAGGAATAGCTTTGTGTCATTCAGTGGTGGAACAGACTCCCTCAGAAGGTGGTGGCCTCTCCTTTCTTGGAGGTTTTTAACATCCAGTGGTTGAATGGCCATCTATCAAGGATTCTTTAGCTGTTATTCCTGCATTGCAGGGGGTTGGACTAGATGGCCCTAGGGGGACCTTCCAATGCTACAATTCTATGTTTTCATGATTCTAAGATAGCTTCCTATATTCCTATTTAACTCAACCTTTTATTCAGAACTACGAGGACTAGAATCTTTGTTTTTAGGGGAAGGACCACAACTTAGTGATGAAGCATCTGGTTTGTATGCAGGAGGCCCCATGTTCAATCCCCGACGGCATCTCCAAGTAGGAATGTCCCATGCCTGAAACCCTAGAGAGCCACTGCTGCCAGTCAGTGTAGGCAGTACTAAACTAGATGGACCAATGGATTTCGCTCAGTATAATGCAGCTTCCCGTGTCCCTTTTTCAACTCAACCCTTTCTTCAAAAGTATGATAACTAGACTGCTACTTCATTTTTAAAGGAAGGGCTCAGTAGTAGAACATATTATTTGCGTGCAAGAAGATTCTGGGTTCAGTCTTCAGGTAAGATTGGCACTGTCCTGTGCCCAAAATCCTGGAGAGCCTCTGCCACTGCGTATTGGAAATACTGAGCCAGATGGACCAATGGTCTAACTCAATAGAAGCCAACACCCAATTTCTTGTCTTTCCCTAAGGATGGAATTGCTTCCAATTTCCTCCTTCAGCTCTGTGCACTTTTCTTCACTTCTTCCTGCAGCACATAAACTATGGAACTTGCTCCACAGGAGGCAGTGGTGGCCACTAAGTTGGGTGGTTTTAAAAGAGGACAAATCCATGGAGGAGAGGGCTATTGATGGCTACTAACCACAATGGCTATGTTCTGCCTCCGCAGCTGAAGTCAGTAATGGTTCTGAGTACCAGTTGCTGAAAACCGCAAGAGGGAAGAAGGCTCTTGTGCTTGGGTACTGAGGGGTTCTCCTAATGGGCATCTGGTTGGCCACTGTGTGAAGATGATGCTGGACTAGATGAGCCACTAGCCTGATCCAGCAGGTTCTTTTGTTTTTATGACAACATGATGCTGGATTAGATGAGCCATTAGCCTCATTCCAGCAGCCTCATGTTCAAGGTAATCACCAACCTATGCAGTTAGCAAGTGGATTCTGTGGCATCATGGGTGCCCAAGGAAGATGTCAAGGACACCATTGCTCCGACAGATTCAACACTGGTGGCTCCTGTGATACAAACCAATTGGGCTGAGCCTACATGTGCTCTTCATTGGTTCTGGGCTCAGAGTAGCAGTTTTGCCATTCTGACCATTTGCTTCCAAACCTTATTCAGCCACCTCCAACCTTCCTGGATAAATGGACCATTTACCCAGGAGAGTGATATTTCTGCTTGTTCTTTACTGGCAGGGCTTGCTGATGGTTGTAGCCCAACACCTCTCCAGAGGTTATACAGACCATTAACCCCAAAGTAATGAGAGTTGTCACCGGGGGCATAATTGTTTTACAGCTGTGCATTCGTAAGGGTTGAAAAGTTTGATCTTGAAGTCAAGCAGTTAACTTTCCAGTTCAGGAATTCTTCCAAGATAAAGAGAGAGAAAGAGCTCAGATTTGGCACCAGGTCACCTTGATTTTAAACAGAAAGGAGGAACATAGCTGTCATGGTAACAAAAATACCTCTGGGTGGGGGGTGGGGATTTGAGCCGCTTATATTTCTAATGTGAACTTTTCAGAATTGCATTTCCAGAACCAAAACACCACTGTCCTTTTGAAATCAACAGTTTCCTGAATTTTGCAATGCCGTTCTCCTACCTAACGGGGGGGGACGGACATTTTTAAAATATATTTGCAGGAGATGAGAATTGCTGTTGTGGTCACATCCTACTTGCTGGCTTCTCCTAATGGGCACCTGGTTGGCCACTGTAAGAACAGGCTGCTGGACTACTTGGGCCCCCTTTGGCCTCATCCAGGAGGGCTCTTCTTGTGTTTTCACTCTGCTATTGGAGGCAGTAATGCTTCTGAATACTAGTTGCTGGAAGCCACAGGAGAAAGTTGCTCTTCTCAGGTCCTGCTTCCAAGGCTTCCCACTGGGACATCTGGGTGGCCATTGTGAGAATAGGAGGCTGGACTAGATGAGCACCCTTTGGCTTGATCCAACAGCCAGGCTCTTCTTATTTTCTGTGTCAAGGGAGTGGGGAATCTGTGGCCCTCCAGGTGTTTCTGCACTACAGCTCCTATCATCCCCAACCATTGACCGTGCTGGCTGGGGCTGATGGGAGTTGGAGTCCAACAACAACTGGAGGGCCACAGATTCCAAAATCCTATCTTATATTCCTCCTCCAGTGTCTGAGTTGATATGCCTCTGAATACCAGTTGACGTTAATCTCAAGTGGGGGTAGTGTTACTGTTGTACTCGGTCCTGCTTGTGGGCTTCCCATTGGAGCACTTGGTTGGCTATTGTCATGAAAGGATGCTGCACTATATGGACCCCCTTTGGCCTGACCCAACAAGGATGTCCCTATGTGTATTTTGGGGAGAAGTTGGAGATATTTCAATGTGAGTCTGTGCCCCTCTGAATATAACTCTTCTCTTTCTTTTTCTCTCTCAACCCTTTTCCTTTTCTTCCTCCCCACCACGCCTCTTCCGCCACTTTCAGGCCAGGATTACCACATGGCCCAAGGAAAACCCAGGCTCCTGGTTCAGTGAATTCAAGCGTGGTAAACTGGTAAGGCACTCCCCCTTCTCACTTTCCAGTTTTGCTTTAAACGTGTCTCATATTTTGCAGAGCAAAATGGCTCGATGGCCCAAAGAGCAGCCGGCCACATGGTATAGTCATTTCAAGCGGGGGTCCCTGGTAAGTTGCTCAGCTTTTGGCACCCCACCACGCCTCTGACTGGGATGGAGACACGCCAGACACGCCCGCTTCTTGGTTATGGCCATCTCCTGAAAAACCCGCCCGCTCACACACTGCATGATGGACTAACCAGCACAAGCATTGGGGGCTCTAAATGACTACAGAGGAACAGTTTAAGGAGGAGCTGGGGTGTATCCTTGCTTCATGCCTCCTCCGAGATCTGCCTGTCACCATCTGGCTGGCTAATATTAGCCACAAGTGGCTGGCTAGGGCACTGGCGCAGCACACATGCACCCAGACCCAATCCAAGGCCCCAACCTGGGTAACAGCTGACCTAGATGTGTCGCTGAATCAGTTCTAATTAAGGTGTGTCTCCTTCCACCCTCCTGACATCACTGAAAGCACAGGAGGATCCAATAGCACTGGGGTCTGATTGCCCAGTGCCTTCAGCCAGTGAGTGAATAGAGGGTTCATGTTGGTGTTCCCCTGCTGGGAATAGGTGTGTGCAGCTGACACAGTTTCTTTTCCACCCCACCCTGCAACGCCCCACTCCTGGGGTACTCCAGATTGCCTGATGGAACTGAGGGCAACCTAGGACTGTCTCCACCTGACCTGGCCAAAGCCCAGATCTCAAATGAACTGATTTTGGATTTGGGCTTGGGCTGAATCTAGTGCCCAACTTGTACTCAGTTCTGCATAACTTAGACAAATCTCAGGATTCAGCCTTTCATGGTTCTGAACTTGAAAGTCTGCAAATTCGAACTTGAGCCATTGATGGAGTGGGAGCAATAAAAAGATTTTACTGACTGCTGAAGCTCCAAATTCATTAGATTCCTTAATATGTTATTCATGGATACCTTTAACAAGGTACCAGTTAGTTTAATTAATTAAATGGGTTGGTTCCAGCTAAGTTGTATTCAGAGGACACCTACTGAACTGAACATACCCAAGTTAGTAATGCCAGTAGGTCTACTCAGAGCAGCCCTATGGAATATGAGAATCAGTTGGTTTTGGTTTAGATTCTTCCCTCCAGTTTATGGCTCTCTTGCAAAACCTCTTTGAAGTTTATTGCTTGCATTTCTATATCACCTTTTTCACCAAAGATCTTCTGCATGGATCTCCCACTCCTCATTTAATCCCCACAACAACCCTGTGAGGTAGGCTACACTGAGAGGCAGGGACTGGCCCCTGAGATCACCCAGTGAGATTCATGACCAGGTGAGGATTTGAACCCCGGTCTCCCAGGTGCTAGTCCAACCCTCTAACCACTGCACCACATTAGCTCATGATGCTTCTGCCTTAAATCTTCAAAACCAAACAAAATAGGCATCCTGGTCCTTCAGCCACCATCACTTTGCATGCAACACTCTTGAATCTGCACCCACATGGCTGGCAAGAGAGCTCCCACTTAACAGAGCACAACTGCCATCTCCTGTGTACGTGTTAAGAGCCCCTTCCCTCCCCATGCAGGGGAGAGAGTTGTTATGTCCGCAAATGCACAGCACTGTACTAATTTGCAGTATTGGTGCTGCACCACATGTAGTCTTTGTGCCTTGGCCAGTTTCTCTGCTCTCTGCTAGCCATAGGCAAACCTATTTGTGCTGGGGACAGGGAGACCTGAATGGTTAGCAACTCCTCAAAATCTTCCTTCCTGCCTCTTTGCACATTTTGATGTCCTGCTGCTCTCCTTCTGCTTTAGTATTGCATCTTCTGTTCAAAATAGCTACCAGCATCTAGAAGACACCCCAACCCGATATTTTGGAAGGAGCAGGTGACTTGTTGGAGAAATGTCACTAGCCTCACAGCAGAACAACCCCCACAAACTCTTCTGGTGCAGAGAAGATTGCTGAGGTCTGTGGGAGAGTTTCTCCTGCAAGTCCCAAAAGGTCTCAGAAGACTCCAATCCTCGGTGATGCACTGCAGGGCTTTTAATGTGGCTAACCCCATTTCTGAACATACTGTAGTTCTCAGGATTCTTTCGGGGGAGAAGCCATGACAGTTGAATGTGGCATCACTGTGCTTTCAATCTCTGGTGTGGATGTGGCTCTCTGAGTGCCTTTAAAAAGGTAAAGGGACCCCTGACCATTAGGTCCAGTGGCAGACAACTCTAGGGTTGCAGAGCTCATCTAACTTTACTGGCGGAGGGAGCCGGCGTTTGTCCACAGACAGCTTCCAGGTCATGTGGCCAGCATGACTAAGCCGCTTCTGGTGAACCAGAGCAGCGCACGGAAATGCCATTTACCTTCCTACCAGAGCTGTACCTATTTATCTGCTTGCACTTTGACATGCTATTAAACTGCTAGGTGGGCAGGAGCTGGGACCGAGCAACAGGAGCTGACCCCATCGTGGGGATTCAAACCGCTGACCTTCTGGTCGGCAAGCCCTAGGCTCTGTGGTTTAGACCACAGTGCCACCCATGTCCCTTATTCACCTCAAAACTCCTAAGCTATTCAGAAGGAGGGTTTCCCCCCTCCCTCCTTTAATTGCCCAGAGCACCTTTTCCATCCAGGAGACTGAAAAATGGGATTACAAATTGTGAGTTTCACCTTGGGGGGTTCCCCCCTCCCCCTGCTCCAGCCCTGGAACAAATGCATAACTCCCATTAGATTTTTATGAGCTTTTGCACCTGTTCAAGCTCATTATAATCTTGCAGCCATATGGCTCCAGTCACGAACTCTTATTATTATAATATTATAAGTAAACAAGCAGCTCTGAGGACATGTTGTCCTGTTGGTTTAATAATAATTATTATTATTTCACAAAATCTGCTTCGTTAAATATCCGCCCCATTCCCTTCACAGAGTTACAATTTCCAGAGTGGTTCACCTCTTCCCAGGAACTGTAGTTCTGTAAAGGAGGAACAGAGATCTCATAACAACTCTCAGCACCTTTGACAAACTACAGCTCCCATAATTCTTTGGGGAAAGTCCACACAACAACCTTGTAAGGAAGGTTAGAAGTTGTAGTTTGTTCAGAATGCCTTAATAATCAATCAGTCTCCCCAGAAAACCATGGAGATTGCAGTTCTGGGAGAGGGAATAGAGGTCTCCTAAGAACTCTTAGCACCCTGAATAAACTCAAGCTCTCAGAATTTTTTAGGGGGGACCATGACTGTTTAAAATGGTATCACTGTGCTTCAAATGTACGGTGGCCTGTGATTTGGAGAATTCTCCTGTACTAGAAGAATTCCAAGGAGGAGGATAAGGCTAGTGACATGTTGCAGGAGATGCCCTACAATACTCGTTAAAAAGCAGTGACCTGTAATAGTCTTGGAGAATGGCACAAGTGAGCTTCATTATCTTTTCCAATTTGATTTGGGATCCTCTGTTGGGTGAGCATTCCTCTTTCCCAATCGCCACCGTGGCTATAAATCAGTGCCGCCTCCCCAAAATGACTAAGAAAGGAATATGGCAGCTCTCAGGTGGTTACAGCTGGTTGGCTAGTTCGTCTTCTAAAATGCAGGTAGCGCCTTCTCTGTTGGCATGCTGAGCTTGCCATGATTAGTCATGTTGATCTCTCCGGATAAGCGTGGACACAGATCCAGATCATTGGTTGGTATACCCTTTCTTTATTTCTTTGTGACGCCTTCCTTGTGAAGTTGCTCTCACTATGAGTCTCTCCTGTTTTCATTTGGTACATCCCTATTTCCTTCCGCCCCCTTCCAGGTTCTTTCAAAGGAACAGGCTGTCTCCAGAACACGTTCCTAAAATGCAGCCCATAATATCTAGCGAGGGCAGGTACTTCTGTCTGAGAGCAGTTGCAAAACCAGAACAGAATGCCCAAATATACCATCTGTTACACCCAGTAGCCTGTTCTTTGCTGCATACACATTTCCCTGCCTACCTACCCGGAGCAGATCCATTGAAATGAACTGCGATTCCTGCATTGCTGGGGGTTGGATTTGAGGACCCTTTGTGTCCCTTCTAACTCTACAATTCCAGGATTCTATGAAATTGCCGTATTTTTTGCACCTTAACACTCACTTTTTTCCTCCTAGAAAGTAAGGGGAAATGTCTGTGTGTGTTATGGAGCGAATGCCTGCGGGTGGCGGGGGGGGGGATCTGCTGCAGTCGTGAGCAGAGGATCCATGGTTCCCCTTCCTTCCCTCCTCCGTGGTTACAAAGCATGGATCCACATGGATCCTCAGGATTTTTGCATTGGGCTACTCCAAACTCAATGTCAGATCACATGTCTGTGGCCACAGCATGAACCACAAAAATCATATATCCACTATTTCGTTTAGAATATTTTTTTTTCTTGTTTTCCTCCTCTAAAAACTACGTGCGTGTTATGGTCTGGTGCGTGTTATAGAGTGAAAAATATGGGTAATGGAAGCCACAGTGGGTGGAGAGTGCTCTTGTGCATGTGTCCTACTTGACATCATAGGCATCTCGTTGGCCTGTAAGGACAGATGAGCCATTGGCCTGAACCAGCAGGGCTCCACCCACTGTTGGAGGCAATATGAATAATTCTGAATTCCAGTTGCTTGGAATCACAAGTGGAGAGAACTCCGCGGTTGCGTTCAGGTCCTGCTTGTGGACTTCCCATTGGGGCACCTAGTTGGCCACTGTAAGAACAGTATGCTGCCTTTGGCCTGATTCAGCTTCTTATGGTCCAGCTTTCTATACGCCATCTGTTGTTAGCCCAGGATGCCTCCCAAGTTCATGGAATCATAGAATGGTAGAGTTGGAAGGGACTCCGAGGGTCATCTAGTCCAACCCCCTACAATGTAGGCATCTCATCTACAGCATCTCTGACAAATGGCTATCCAACCTCTGCTTCAAAGCATCCAAGGGAAGGAGAGTTCCACCACCTTCCAAGTTGTTGCACAGCCTTGCCTTCCCTGCTTCCTCCCTCTCCTCTTCTTCTTTCCCCCTCAGCTCTCCTATGTTGATTCCGATGGCAACCCCATTGGCGTGGTGCAGATGACCTTCCTGAGGCTCCTGAGTGCTTCCGCCCACCAGAACCTCACCTACAATTGCTTCCAGTCGGTGGCCTGGCACGACGCCACGGCTGGCAACTATGACAAGGCCATCCGCTTCCTGGGCTCCAATGACGAGGAGATGTCCTATGACAACAACCCCTTCATCAGGGCTGTCCTGGATGGCTGTGCAGTGAGTATCTGCATGTCTTAGAATCATAGAACTACAATGGTACCTCTGGTTGCGAACAGGATCCGTTCTGGAGGCCCGTTCGCAACATGAAAAGAGCGCAACCCGGAGCGGTACATCTGTGCACGCGCGGGTCGCGATTTGCCGCTTCTGCGCATGCGCATGACATCATTTTGTATGTCTGTGCATGTGCGAGCGGCAAAACCCAGAAGTAACCCTTTCCAGTACTTTCGGGTCACCACAGGACGTAACCTGAAAGAACGTAACATGAAGTGGACATCTGCTTTGCAAACAGAAGGCAACAGACCTTGATTTTTGGCATGTTTTCTAAGAAGGATATTTGATGGTGAGACTGGTAAGGATTTTAGCCCTGAGGTTCCACCCCTCTGGGTTGGATGCCCCCTCTGCTGTTAAAGGCAGGATGCCTCTGAATACCAGTTGCTGGGAGTCCCAAGTGGGAAGAGTGCCCGTTCAGATCATGTTCTGCTTATGGGCTTCCCACTGGGGCATCTGGTTGGCCACAGTGAGGACAGGATGCTGGACTGGATGGGCCCACTTTGACCTGATCTACCAGGCTCTTCTTATGGTCTACCTCCACTCTTGGAAGCAGTATGCTTTTGATTGCCAGTTGCTCAGAATAATAAGCAAGGGGGCCTGCCTTTCAATTTTCTCCATTTCCCCCCAGGCAAAGAAAGGCTACCAGAAGACGGTCTTGGAAATCAACACCCCCAAAGTGGAGCAGGTCCCCATTGTCGACATCATGTTCAACGACTTTGGAGAAGCATCGCAGAAGTTTGGGTTCGAGGTGGGACCAGCTTGCTTCATGGGCTAAGGGACCACTCAGAAAACTAGTTCTCCAAAATGAGCAACCTCGTAACCTCATCGCGCCTTCGGTTTTTGGTTCCATTTTTGTGTCATCGTCACATGCACGTTCTAAAACTGGACAGTTTGATGGGATTGCTATCTATTTGGGTTTTTCTTTCCTCCCCCCGCTTCTGTTTTGCCTGCGCTCCAACTCTGCCGCTGGATCACCCTTCCCAAACCATTTTTAAGCCCCAGGATCATCATTCCCACTGCAGACTCCAGAATCACATGACCTAAGGACATCCACTACCAGCAAAGGCCATCTCTCCAAAAACCCTCTTGCTCTGCATCTCCTCTGAGGCCACCAAAGAGTTTCCTGCACTTGAACATACAGCTGTTGTTTCAACACACTGAGACCACAAAACCAGGTCTTGTTCTTCCGTAATTTTGACAACCTTGCCAAAGCTGGGGGAAGACCAGGTACTGTGGATCGTTAAAGTTCCCCATCTCTTGGAAGGTTCTGGAAAAATCCCACAGAAAACTATTCTCCGGGCGTGACACAACAACTCACTTGTCCTCGGCATAGGAGCGTAGACTTAGGATGCTCCAGAATCCTCCCAGGTCAGATTACCAGACCGCTGGTGTTTCAAACAGAACTCATATGGAATAAACTTTTTTTTTTAATTGCTTTTTGTAAAACTTTGATCCTAAAAGTTACAACTGAAACCAATAACAGGAAAGAAAACTTTTCCCAGGTTCTGACTGTCTTCCCCATATGATAAAGGTGCTTCTATTTTTGTATGTTGTTAAGTAAATATTTGTATATTATTATATTAAATATAAAATGCCTCTGGTTCAAAGCATGCATGTGACTTGCCCCATGTCCCTGATTGATAATTTAACGAGCCCACATTTCTTACCAGCAAACCAGCCCATCTGATGAAAAACACCAGTCCAGGAGGCATAAAATCATGTAGAGTTGGAAGGCACCCCAAGGGTCAACTAGTCCAGCCTCCTGCAACCCAGGCAATGAATTGCTGTTGCAGTTCCCTCCCTGCACCCGTGGGGTGGGTGCACCTGGTAAAAACATTCAGGCACTTTGAGCCTTATGCATAAACACAGATGTAAGGCTGCACTTGAGTTTCTCCTCCTTACTCCTGAGTAAGCGTGTCTTCCAGGATTTTACCCTTACTTCTGACTAAGCTGGTGCTTTCTCTATTGATAATTACACAATCAATATACACAGTATTCCTCATGTGCCTGAGTGGTTTTACTTTTGAAATGGTGGGGAGGTGATCAGATAAACCATGCCGCAGCTCTCCAAAGGAAAAGAGACCCTGAGGAATGTCAGGATTGTGTGTGTGTTTTTAATTAACAATGCATATTGTTATACTGGAAATCCATGACTCTGCTGAAAAAAGAAAAAGAAAGTGCCTTTGTCAGCTCTGACAAGTAGTACAGACTTGGGGTCAGCTGTCACTCCATTTGATTTCAAGGTACAGGTTTCATTTTTAAAAAAATATATATTCCCCCCCAAACTAAAAGCCTCTTCCCCCTCCCCAAAATTCCACCTCCTCCCTCATTGGAGGATTGTACATGGCAGGGATCTCCATTATTATTTTTACTTTAAAAATAATTAAAAAAAATAATAAAAACACAGGTGCTTATATTTTTTATTATTATTATTTACATTTTCTCTTTTTTTGTTGGTGCTATCTCTGACGACGACACTGGTGGACACCCCCCTGCCATTTACCTCCCTCCAAGGCTCATTTAATGATGTTCTGATTGAGCACCTTTCCAGCACCCCATTCTACCCCCCCTCTCGACCCCCACCCCATCCACAGTCTTGAATGGAGTTGCATGCTAGTCTAATTATTTCAATGCATAGACCAGCCCACTTCTGTAGAAAAGTATTAAAGCTGTGCTTGCTTGCGGGGAGGGGTTTTTTTTGTTTTGTTTTGTTTTTCCTTTTGTAACAAATAGAATATTCATGCATTTTTATAGGATGATTAACTATGCCAGATTTGTACTCGTGCGCTGAATATTTGTGGTGCTAATTTATGTATTTGTTTGATGTCCTGAAGTCAAGCTTGCCCCCGCAACCCAAAACAACTGCATTGCAACAGCAATAAGAGATGGTGTGATCCTGTGTGCCTTTTAACTACAGACCACTGAGGAAGGGGAGGGCAGAAGCTTGCTAGCAATAAACTGTTTCAGTTGGGGCCTTCACTTTTTTTGTTTCTTCTCTCCATGAGTTGGGTGAGTGGTACTCCGAAAGAAGGAAAATAAGAAGCAGTGCACTTTTGCCAAAGACCCCTGTCCAAGGAGGTCAATTGGAGGTCAGTCTTTGCAAAGGAAAATACATCATGTATACTGTGAACAGGAGCCTTTATATGATGTATTTTCCTATTTTTTAAATGAACCAAGGGGACAGGGCCCTGAGGTGCTCCATGGTGCTTTCTAGTTCAGACTCCATTCATATTTGTACCATAGAATTCTCGGAGCAAGCTTGGAAACACACACCAGGGATCCCTCATTGAGAAGATCTGGGAGAGCGAGGCAGCTTCCCTGGTGGATAGAGAACTGCTATCACATAGCATTCCTTGAGCTTCCCCCCAAAATGCAACAGGTAGAGGCAGGAATGCATTAGCTTAAGGATAACGACACCCTGAAATGAACGAGCAAGCCTCCCTTCTCTCACCCCCTTTGGTTAAGGTGGTGTTTGACCCCAGATTGCACTTTTGGTTCATGGATATGAAGAGTCAGCCCCAAAAGGCTCAACTGGTGCCTATGCATTAGACCATCCCTCTGCAACCTGGTGCCCTCAGGGCTACAATTCCCAGACATCTTGAGGGCACCAGGTTGTCAAAGGCAGTTTCTGAACAGCATGGTGGACATTCAGCCCCTTTGCAGCTGATGGATCAGGTTCCCCGACGGTTATAAAGTTCGAGCCCTACAGTTCTAGAACAGCATCTTTAGCCAAAAAGACAATTTAGGAATACCATACCTTATTTTTATTTCCTTGCACCTTGAAAAATGCTAGGAAATCCAAAGGCTTGAGTGTTTGCACCTGCAAAAGAAATGGCTTATTAATATGGATGGATGGAGATACCTACTAAGCACACCCACACACTTAGGTCATGTGATTCTGTTCTGCTAATTTCTCTTCAATGAATCTTTAATTCCCCCCCCCCCTTCTTTCTGTTGGGTGTTTCTGTCAAAAAAAAATAATCCTACCAAGTGTTGTAAAACTGTACTGAAGTTTTGACCCTTTTTCCTTCCTCCCCTCCCAGACCACTTACCTAACGGTATATTGCAATAAAAATTATTCCTTGTATTTGCAGACATATATTTCTGTGTAATTTTATCCCCTCCCCTTTTCCTCTCTTAATATATATTATGACTTGAACAAATGTTGATTGAGAAAAAAAATAAACCTATGAAAAAACAAAGTTTTAAATACATACTCCTCCCCCAGTTTTTTTTTTAAAGTATTATGGGATATGTGTGTGAATGCCCAGACCTCTTTGTACAGGTTCGAACATTCCAATCCAACAGTGCCCATCAAAAGGTAATTTTTTAAAGGGGAAAAACAAAATTTAAACCTGTGTAATAAAGGAATAAATGTAATAGGTTTTTTCCCCCAATAAATCACGTTTACTGTTTCCACCTGACCCACCCTGACGTTGAATGCTTCTTGAACAAGATAGGCTTTAACAGAGGATTAGACAGGTCCCTGGAGGAGAGGACTGTCGATGGCTGATAGCCACAATGGTTGTACTCTGCCTCCATGGTCAGAAGCATCAATGCTTCTGAATTCCAGTTGCTGTAAACCCCAGAAGGGGAGAGTTGCTCTTGTGCTTGAATCCTAAGTAAGGGTTTCCACTTGGGGCATCTGGTCAGCTACTGTGAGAACAGGATCCTGGACTAAATGGGCCATTGGCCTGATCCAGCAGGCTCTTCTTATGTTCTCATGAGTGTGATTCCATCTGTCTTCCTGATTTGCTTTCACTTAACCTAAGCAAGATGGATTGATCACAATTAGTGATACATTTCCAAATGAAGACCAATGCCCCAAGAAGGCCCTCTTCGAATTCCTAAAACAACTGTGGTGGAGATCTTCAACGAACACACCATTGTGCCAGCTTTATTTTGGACAATGCAGCAGCAGCTGTGGAACCCACAAAGGTAGAGTCCACAGGCCTATAAATCACACATGCTTATACATAGGTAATTTTTTGCCGTAGCTTTACACAGGTGCAGAAATTAAGTCCCATTCTTGGAGGAAAAGCATGCCTGCAGTATCAGAGCTGGATGCCTGATTCAGCAAAGAGAACAGGGTGTCTCTTCTCTACCAGAAGCTGAGTTTTCCCTGCACAAATATTCTTGACACATTCTTAATACAAGAATGAGAAAGTGGATTATCCTAACAACATCCTCTCACATTCTCTTTTACAGGTTTTACATCTCTTAGCATGCAGGCTATCAAAGCATATACTGTTATTTCCACTACGCAACCCTTTCCACCCTTCAGTTGAAATCAGTTACACTGTGTATATTTGACAAGGGATCTTTCTTGGAAAAGATGTATAGAATTATCATGTATTTATTGCATTTATATCCCACCTTCCAAGAAGCTCAAGGTGATGTACATGGCTCTCCCCCACCATGTTTTATCCTCACAACAACCTTGTGAGGTAGGCTGAGAGGCAAGGACTAAGCCCCCAAGGTCCTCAAGTGAGCTTCATGGCCGTGAAGTTCAGATTGGAACCCTGGTTTCCTAGGTCCTAGTCCTCATTTTAACCCTCACAACTATCCTGTGGGGTAGGCTTGACTGAGAGGGTGGCCACTGTTGGACCTAGATGCTGGACTAGATGGATATTGATGGCCTCATCAACCTGAGACACTGTGCCTTCTCCCATAGTGACCCACAAATCATCATCACACCTCCCCACCTCTTTTCTCTTCCTGCATTCAAGATTCCAAATGAATCACCTGCAACGGATATCAAAGCCAATTTGGGCTTGCTCAGCTCCAGGGCAATGTGCTCAGAGCTCAGATGTGGTGCTTGTTCCATTATGCAAGACAGATGTGGATAGGGCGCATTTTTACCAAAGGGGGGAGCATCAGATCGAATACCTGCTTTGGAGCAAAGCAGGAGTTTCTGCTGACATGGCAATATGGTGGGAGGGCAGCTCAGCTGCTTGATTGATGGTGTGGAGTGGGGGAGACACACCTGTATTGAATAATAACTAGCACTATGCCAAAAAGGGCTCCATATCCCTGCCACCCACTGGTTTGCTATCAGTTAATGTGAACAGAAATTGCATTATTATTATTATTATTAACCTTTATATCCCGCCGCCTTTCCTTCAAGGAGCTCAAGGTGTCATACATAGCTGTCCCCATTTTTTCCTCCCAACAATCCTGTGAGGTAGAATAGGCTGAGAGTGCGTGACTGGCCCAAGGTCACCCAGTGAGCTTCATGGCTGAGCAGGGATTTGAACCCCAGTCTCCCAGATCCTCAACCAACACTCTAGCCACTGCACCACACTGCCTCTCCATGAACAAGGGGGAAAGAAAGTTTTGCAATAATTCTCTTTCCTCACTTTCATTCACCATCTATTAATGCAAACACGGATTGCGTTTGAAAATGATCCAAGGAGAGTTAAAATGCTTGAGAAATTCTCTTTCCTTACTTTCAAAGAGGCCAGGAGTGTCCCTGCAAGTACCCTTTTTTCCTTTGGCAAATCGCCTTGCCAGCAGCCCACATCTTGCAGCTGCTCCAGATGCCTGAACATTGAGGATTAAACCTGGGGCCTTCTGCAAGCACAGCAGATGCTCTGCTACTGAGCTATAGCCCATCCCAGAAACACATAAAGCTGCCTCTTACATAGTCAGACCATTGATCCATCTATCTCCATATTGCCTATACTGACTGGCAGTTGCTCTCCAGGGTTTCAGGATGTAGGAACAATTCCCAGCCCAACTTGGAAATGATATTGTGGATTGAACCTGGGACCTTCTATGTGCAAAGCAAGTGCTCTAACCACTGAGCTACGGCTCTGTTGGAAGCCAGCAGGTTGGAAAACTTCGCTGCATCTCCAAGAGCCTTGCCAGATGGGAGGAAGAACCTGTGGCCCACTTAGCAATTTTATCCGGGAGGCTGGCACTTGCCCATTCTGCTCTGAGGAAATGTTGCAGTGTTTGGCAACAAGAAGTTTATAAAATGATGCAACACATGGTATGGAGAACGTGGAGAGAGAAATATTGCTCCCTCTTTCATGACACTAGAACTGGTAGACATCCAACAAAACTGAATGGTGGAAGATTCAGGACAGATTGAAAAAGGAAGGACTTCTTCTATACCCTCCAACAGTTCTCTGAAGAAAATAGCAGTGTCCTATTCCAAAATTAGGGACGCGGGTGGCGCTGTAAATTAAACCACAGAGCCTAGAACTTGCTGATCAGAAGATCGGCAGTTCGAATCCCCGTGACGGGGTGAGTTCCATTGCTCATTCCCAGCTCCTGCCCACCTAGCAGTTCGAAAGCACGAAGTGCAAGTAGATAAATAGGTACCGCTCTGGCGGGAAGGTAAACGGCGTTTCTGTGCGCTGCTCTGGTTTGCCAGAAGCGGCTTAGTCACACTGGCCACATGACCCAGAAGCTGTATGCCAGCTCCCTTGGCCAATAAAGCGAGATGAGCGCCACAACCCCACAGTCGGCCACGACTGGACCTAATGGTCAGGGGTCCCTTTACTTTACCTTTATTCCAAAATTACAATAATAATTTTACCATTTATGTCCCACCCATCTGACTAGGTTGCTCCAGGCACTCTGGGCAGCTTCCAACATATTAAAAATAATAATAAAACAGTAAACATTACAAAAACCCTTCCCTATAGAGGGCTATCTTCAGATGGCTCAGGGGTTTGATAACTCCATACCCTCCAATATTTCTCTGATGAAAATAGGGATGTCCTAAGGAAAAGCAGGGCATTCTGGGATCAAATCAGAAACCGGGAAGGCTTCTGTAAATCCAGGACTGTCCCTGGAACACTTGGAGGGTCTGTTCTTCATTCAGCACAAAGTTAAACTACAAAACTCTCTCCCACAGGAAGTAGTGCATACCACCAAATGTGGGTAGCTTTAAAATAGGATTAGACAAATTCATGGAGGAGGAGAGGACTATTTATGGTTATTAGCCACAATGGTGGGAGGGCAGAATACTGGGTGAAATCAGCCACTGGCCTGATCCAGCATCAAGGCTCTCCTTATGTTCTTATGTTCACCTGTGAAAGGAAGACACACCCCAAGGAGGCTGAAAGACACAGGATTTTCTGCTGTGCTGGAGTGAACAATTCCAAGGGAGCACAAAAACCTGACAGTCTGTGTTGTACAAGATGTAATTTTAGCACTCACAGCTCCCTTTTAGCAATGCATCGTCGGGGGGAAACAGCAGGTTTACTGCCGTTGCTTCATTCGGTATAATTTGCTATTTGGAGGGGGAAACAAAATCACCTCAGGAGGGATGTTCATTTGTCACGTGGGGGAGTTTCACAGCAGGCATTTGTGTGCAGGGGGGGTGGATATATTATCCTGCAGAGAGAACAGAGCAGGTTATCTGCATGTTGACCCAGCCCTGGAGCCGTAAGTGCCTGGAAGCCACAGGCAATGAAAGAAACCAACTGGGGCCTGCAAATGGCTCCTGGGTTGTCCAAATGACAGAATGCAGGTTTTCTCTCCCCATATCTGGAGCCCATGTCCAATACTAAGTTCCAAGAGTAAAGTTGCACCCCTGCTTCTGAAGTCAACAGCTTCTTCTGCTTCAGTATAAGAGAGCTTCCTACTTCTTGTTTATTTCAGAACCATGAGGACTGGAATTTTTTTCTGATTTTAGAGAAAGGGCCAAAAAGAGTGAACTTTGCATGTACAGAGTCCCAGGTTTAATCCCTGACATCACCACATAGGGCGGGGAATGTCCCCTGCCTGAAATATTGAAGAGCTGCTGCCAGTCAGTGCAAGCAACACTGAGCTAAATGGGCCTGTGATCTGACTAGGTATAAGCAACTTCTTCTGAAGTATTTTAGTTTGGTTTATATATATGATGATGATGATGACTTGTTCCCCAGTTCCTCTGATGTAAGAATTTGTGGGCCATTATGTTATTTTTAACCCTGGGTCCTTCATGCTTTGGAGAATAAATCCCATTAAAGGTGTGGGTGTCAAACTGCTTACAGGTGGAAAGAGGAGGAGGAGGAGGAGGAGAACCAGGTATATCTGGAGGTTCTGAATTGGGCTCCTTGATCTCAATCTACTCTCTCTTAAATAGAAGAAAACGTTTTAGGTGTGTTTTAAGTGCAATATACAATGTGACACTAGATGGCGATAATGAGCCTTATGGAAAATTCAATGTATTTTTAAGCACTTTTTGTAAAAAAGCATTTTCAGAACATTTTTTATA